ATCTCCTAGGTCGCTTCTAGCATCATCAACTAATCTGTTTCTACTCTCCATCTGACGGTTAAGACCAGTCTCTAAGTCTGTCCTTATTGCTTATTCACACTCTACGTTTAATCATCTGGTCTAAAAAATCACTACCTCCTAATTGATAGGCGGAAGTTGGAATTCTACCTCCGTAACTTAAAATACCCATTGACGTCCCTGTTGTTATTGCCGTTTGTCTCAATTGAGTTTGTCTTAATTCTTCCTTTACCTTGTCTTCTTCTTGATTTTTCACTCCTAGAAAATCAATATTATCAAATTGACTTCCTAATTGATTGTTTCTAAATAATGTTGCCGTTCTATCAATCACTGTTTCAATTGATGGGCGCGGTTTTCATCACCCTATTCATTAATCATCCCTATCATTTCATCGTAGATTGGTTTCAATTTTAATTCCGATTTTAATGTTTTAATCATTATTATTAATTTAGATTATTTACGATATTATATTTTTAAATTCTTTTTGTGTATTTTCTAATTCCTCTTTTGTTCTTATTGGCATCCTCGCTCTAATTGTCTGTTAATAGTATCAATTCTCCTTGATATATTGTTTTCTTCTGATATTGTAACCAATCATTTCGAAGCCTAACATTTTTTCCTCTGTTCTCCGCTTCTTCAATTCTCATCTTCATGTCTTCTAAATATTTTTTCTACTTGATGCTCCTATTGATTCCTCCAAATCGGAATATTAATGAATCTTTGATATTCTTTTAAATTCTGGTTTGCTCTTAAACATACTCATATTATTAATATGTTTTTAGATAATAATTAATATTATTAACCATTTCGTATTTCACTTAATAATCTCAATTGTTTCTTCGGAAAAATCAATAAAATATGTATCAATCTCATTCAACATCATTTCAGAGATGTTGTGAGTGCCGAGAGTGGTTTCTATCCTCGCGTCGCGAATAGGAAATATATTTTCAGTATTTCTTAAATGATCTTTTAATTCATTTAAAGGTAATAATTGTTTTGGAACAGGATATTCGGATTTTTCACACATCTCTAATATACCTATATATTTTTTAATTTCATCATTAGTATCAAAACCTTTTTCATTAGCTAAATAAAAAACATAATTAAATATTAAGCTACCTTTTTCATCTTGTGTAAATTCTTTCATATAAGTATATTTATATTAAAATATTTTTGATTTAGAATTGTTTAATTTTCAATATATACTTCTCTCTTTGCTTTTCGTATTTCATTATAAGATGCTTCTAATAATTCTCTTGCTGTTAGTTGCCGTGATTGTTCTTCCATTCTAACGGACTTTGTATTTGTTTTAACTTCAATAGATTCTGAATATTGAATTTATTCCCTTGGTATATTTTGAGTATTTTGATCGCTTTCTTTGATATCATATTTTTTACATAGTTCTTCTTCAATCTCTTCTCGCAGTTTCTGTTCTACCTTCGACCCATAATTTGCCTTCTGCTTGTTTATAGGTAATTTTTCGCTTGGTTGACCCTTACAATAATGGGGGTGCGTGTTTTTTAGACTTTTAGGCAATATCTTTTTATTATAGGCGCTAAATTGAATTAACTTAATCACTTTGATAGTTCTCGCCAGTTTCTTCGGCGCTGCTTTTGCTTATAAATTTCATTAAAATAATTCAATTTCTTTAGATTTCATCTTTAATTTGAATGATATTTCTAAATTCTTTCTTCAATATTTCAAAACCTGAATTTATTGAAATTTCTTAAATATCTTTAAAGGGTTTGATAATTCTGAAGTTCCGAAATTCCTATAACATTTTCTTTATGATTTTTCTGGTCTTTAAATATCATTGAGATAAAATTGTTTAAAGATTCTATTATATATTAGAAAATTTGATAGGCAATTGGAATTTTGAATAGAGACCAAATAAACTTAATTATATATTTGATAATCATTAAATCAAGATATGGAGAATCATTATATTCTTCGAGATATGGTCTTCCCCACGATCTATTAGGCGAGAATACGAGGAAACCTTGAGTGAATTTGATGGGTAAATGAAATCTTTCTTGAAAGGACGAATCTCTATCGATATCTAATACGATCTAATTCATATTCTTGAATGATATCGGATTATCCTCCCCATTGAGGGAGATATGGAAGGATATATTTAGAGATTCAAATAATGGATAATTTATCTCGAGCATCTGGAATTAGGATATCTCATCTTTTTGAAATGATCCATGAGTGGGCGTTTCTTGCCACCAATGGCGCGTGGCCGCCAATCGTGATGCCTCTTCTTTTCTCATCTATAAATGAATTTTTTCGATTTGAATGAGGATATTTGGGATATTCTATCAATTCGGGATGATAATGGATTTTTCAATTATCATTAAATTTATGATCATTTATTCTCGAATCTCTTAATGATCTTTATCTTCTCTTCTGACCTCCGATGATCCTATATTATATCATTCTTAGAATATAAATCTCCTCTCTCTCTATTCCTTCGATCAAATTAATATTGGATCACGAATCATGATTAATGAATATTTTTGGGAAAAAATCTTAAAAGCCAACTATTTGAAACATATCGATGGAATCATAATGCATTTTGCAATGATATCATCCTTCCGGGGGAGGGCCGACTCGTAGATTGCAATGGAACAATACATTCAATATAAGCGCTAGGATCGAGCCACTTTGACCCAATATAACGAGCAGGGAATCGGTTTTGAACCAATCGTAATTTTCGCGGCATTACATTTGAAGTTCGGAGGGCATTCGAGGGAAAATCAACGGAAATTCAAAGGGAAATCGAAGGGAAAAATAAAAGGAAAATCCATATCTCACCGGAAATTGAAGGGAAATCGAAGGGCAACCAAGAAGAAATCAAAGGGAAGCTCATGGGAAAACGAAAAAACCCAAGAGAGAATCCGTGGGAGTTTTTCCCACGAAAATTCGTAAGAATAAATTTTCGTGGGCAGCGGTCAATACTTTGATGATTGCCATCTATCGTGAACGAGGGAGAAGCCAAACAATGGTACGCATAACAATGGCGTCTACGAGTCCACCTTGTTCACGATACATGTTGGCAACAAGGATATATTCAATTTCTCCCTATATTCCATTGATCACGACGCAACTCGTAATAACGAAATCATGGCGTATCAAATTGGAATGGGGAGAGGTTTGGGAGACGACAAAATTATAAAGATCTTAAATATCTCTAAAATTCTATATTCCGGAGTCCTTTCTGAAGAGACTCGTGGAAGGACCCTATTTTATAAATAAAAATCCTTCTAATCTTAAAAAATCTTGGTCCCGCGGGGAGGTCCCCGGGACGACCTAAATATTCAAAAAAAGACCCATAATTCTAAAATTCTAGATTATTTGAAAGACCGAAATTCTAGTATTTTTGAATTCTAACATTCTAAAATTCTATAATTTTCAAAATTCTGAAATTTAAGGAGGCTCGAGAAATTTGAAGGACCATATTCCTAAAATTCTAATTTTTTTGAAAGATCGAAATTCTAGAATTTTTTAATTCTAAAATTCTAAAATTCTAGAATTATTTAAAAGGATCCCGGCAAATTTGGAAGACCCATTTTTCTAAATTTCGAAAACCTAGAATTTCAGAATTTCATATTTCTAGATTTCTAGAATATTCTAAAATTCATAATTTCATATGATCCGGGAGCCTGAAAGACCGAATCCCTAGGACCAAAAAAGATTTGAAAATTTCAGGGTTCCCGAAATCCTTAAATTTAGAATTTTGAAAAATTTCAGATTTCGAAAAATTTTAATATTCTAGAATTTTTGGAAAGGCCGAAATTATAGAATTTTATAGAATTCTAGATTTCTAAAATTCTGATTAAAATTCTAGGATTGATTGAAAGGTAGAAATTCTAGAAATCTGAAATTCCGAAGTTCTAGAAGATTCCAAGGTTCCAAAATATAAGGATATCAGAAATTTGAAAGATCAAAATCAAATTCTAAAATTTCTAATTTTAGAATTCTAAAATTCTAGAATTTCATTCTTGCAAAAGAATTCTAGAATTTTAGAATTCTTTTAATTCTAAAATTATAAATTCTAGAATAGAATTTTCAATATTCTAAAATTTAAGATTTATCGAGAAATCTGAAAGATCCAATATTCTGAAATTCTAAAATCAAAATTCCAACATTTAAGGGGTCCCAAGAAACCTGAAAAATCATAATTCTAAAATTCCTTTTTTTGATACGAACTTCTAGAATTTTAGAATTTTGGAATTCTAAAATTGAAAAATTCTAGAATTTCGAATTTTCAATAATTCTGGAATATTGGAATTTTCGAATTCTACCCTTCTAAAATTCTAGAATTTCCAAAATTCTAAAATTTAAGGGATACCAAGAAGCCTGAAAAACCCATCCTTTTTTTCGTATATGTATGGGGTCTAAATCCAGAAGTAAAGTTTGTTACGACGGTGGGCAAGGCTCTTCGAGAATATCCAAATATATTTCGAAAGGATTGGGGGTCGTGGATCGAAGTCCCAAGTTCTTGCCGACCATGTTGCGAAGTGGCAAAATCAAGTCTCCTAAATTTGCGGGGCTTCGGAGAAACACAAGCACTAGTGGGTGGCGCTTTGGACTTAGCACGGAAGTATATGGACCCTGCAAAGCCTGGCGAAAAGGCGATATTGCGAGTTGGGACAAGGATCTGCATGCGCAGGCGCACATGGCTCTCTCGCGCGGTAAAGAGACATATTCTGATTGTGATCTCGTGGTGGAGCTGCAAGATGAGGCCTTTTGGAGGCTCGATAAAGAAAACTTCGATGATGTTCTTCATTTCAAGTTTGCCATTTTCAATCTACGAATTTCTGCGTGCCAATTATGGCTTTGCCATGGCTTCGGGTTGGCTGCAATTACAGCGCAAGACCGGAACCTCGATCTCGACTTTCGGGAGAGGAATTGACGTTAGCAGCTAAAAGGATGCTCTGCACATCATGTGCTGCTTTGCAGCAGAAAAACAGGGCAAATCATTTCTTGATAATCTCTGATTCTATGAATGCTCGTAGTTCCGACTTGCTAATGGTGCCATTCTTGTCGGCATCTGCAAAGCTTATGCACTGCTCGGCAAGTATTCTGCTCACATCCAAATCACCAAGCCGGAAAGACATTGCTACCATAAGCTCATCGAGGTCGATCTCTCCGTTCCCGTCCGTGTCTGCCTCATCAAAAAACTCATCAACCTCATGCATCTCCACAGTGCCATCACCATTCACGTCACAGAGGTTTGCCCAGATTCGGTTGCAAAAATACCGTACTAACATTGGCAAAGCCGGCTGTCCGGACTCATCGGAAGGAATTGCATCAGGGTGCGCTTCCGCAAATCGCTTGAAGACAACATTTGTGCGCATGATGAAGGAATCAATCACAATGTGATATACCCGATCCGGGTCAAAGGGTTGTCCGGCCACCTGGAAAACCATTGAGGTATTTGGATCAACCTTCATGTTGTCATCACAATGAAGGGCATCTCGTGAAGTGCCTGGTTCAGAGTCCACACGTTGTGTTGCCGAGACGACACCACGCCACGGGGCACGGCTTTCTGCTATAGCTTCGAAGAGGATGGCCCCAGGAATGTTCACAACAATCTGTGAGGACGGGTATGGACACTCGGCGTTCAAGTCGGCAAATCGGACTTTGCCATCAGAGTATGTTTTGTTTCCGCGAATACTGCCCGCATTGATCAGAGCACCATCTCCCCCAGCAACATCCCGTAAAGCTGTGCAGATTAACGTGGCCATGCTGCGTTCTCCGAGGCGCACGCCAACAGACGTAAGAGAGCCATCTGCTGGATAAACGGCTAAAGTTGCCTCCTTCAGCTCTTCCGCAGGTCTTTGCCTCTTCTGCACCTCCTCCAACACTGCTGGATCAGCCTTGTAAACCAATTCCAAAGGAGGGCCTTTGTACTTTGGCGGCGTCGCCAAAGGAACTAGCTGGATGCTCACGCTGGTCGGAGCAGATCTTGCCGGTGTCCCTTCCGCCCAGACGAGGTCAACTACCGCGACGTTGAACAAGTCAGATCCCGCCTTAACGATGTGTGTATTGTTGTGTAGCTCATTGACAACATGGTGATCATGCCCACCCAGGATCACGGGAAAGTTGTGTCCGCGATTTGCCATTTCGACATCATCGCGCAGCTCTTGATGCGTCAGAGGAATGATGCAATCAACATGTGGGTGTACTCTGCGCACACGCGTAACCGCATCATCCACAGCTTCTAGCACAGGTACAATCTTGGCCGCGTGGCCGTTGAAAGCACCTTTTCTGTACAGACTGGCGTCCTTACCGCCGCCACACAGCAGGCCGAGCAATGCGACAGACCTGCCTCCTGCCAGCTTGATCACGTGATTGTCTACCAAAGAGCCAAGTCCTGGCTCCTCTGAGAATGTCGGGATGTTGGAGTTCAACCAAACCCCCTTGAACTCTTGCACTCGTTGGCACATACTGAGGAACGGGATATCACACTCATGGTTTCCGAAGCAGACGGCGTGCACCGGAAGCGAGTTCATGACCGCCACAACTCCTCGACCGTGATCCACCGAGGAGAGAAGCGACGGTGCTAGAAAATCCCCGCCCAGCGTCACAAGAACGTTGGCTGCATCTATCCCATCGCTCAGCGCATCGATGCAACTACGCAGAAGCGGAAAGTTCTCCAAAGTGTACACGTCATTGACATGGAATACTCTCAAACGGCACTCACCAAGCGGTTCTTTGCTAATCTCCTCCGGTTCGGGTTCATCAATGTTGTCGCAACCTGCATCCTTGGCGCAGGATGAGCAGTGATGAACAGCATGCCCTAGCGCATGCGACCTTGAACTGAACATGGGCTAGGATTCCAGGTAAGAGCTTAGCTGAAACAATCCGAAGTCTATAATGTCTACAGGTGCAGAACTTATGACTGTGGCCCTGGCAATGACATCCACATTCTGGATGGACGCAGCTGGCGGTGATTTCTGCACAGGGATAACCTCGCCGTGACAGGCAGGCAGGTCTCTATCTCTCCCTCTCTTCTCTTCTTCTTCTTTTTCTTCTTCTTCTTGTTCTTCTTCAGGGCCTGGGTTGTCTTGTTCTAGCGGGCTTCGGAAGACCCCCTGTGCGCCAGGCGCATTCTCTCTTTCTTTCTTGCTTCTCCCTTTCTTCGCTTTCTCTCCTTCTAGGGGCTTCGGGGCCAGAGGGTTGTAGCCGTAGCACCCCTTCATTCTCCCCGTTCTCCCCTTTTGGCTGGTGCAGTAGGCGTCTGTCCTCTGAGAACAGCCCCTCTTGCCGTAACGAGCGTGCAAAATAACGGCGACCAAGAGCAAAACCGCGTACTTCCATCGGATTGTATCGGATCATTCAGGCCCATTGAGTCCCCCCCCCCTAGTCCAGGGCTGGGCCCAACAAACAACACCCTCTATAAGTTTTTGTGGACCCTCGAGGCATGAGGATGCCCTTTGAGCGGTTGCCATTGGTACACGGCGGGGGATCCCTTGGTCTTTGATTCTCCGTTTCGTTAGCTTCTTCCTTTTTCTTCTTCTTCTTCTTCTTTCTCCTATCACTTTTCTTCTTCTTCTTCTTCTTCTTCTTCTTCTTCTTCTTCTTCTTCTTTTCTTCTCCTGCACTGTCGCTCTCGCTCTCGCTCGCGCTCTCTCACTCTCTCTCTCGCTCTCGCTCTCTTCCTTCCTTCCTTCCTTCCTTCCTTCCTTCCTTCCTTCCTTCCTTCCTTCCTTCCTTCCTTCCTTCCTTCCTTCCTCTGCGCTTCACCCCCCCGAAGGAGGCTGGGGGGGGTCCACAACCGAGTCAGTCTATGTGAAACCCCCTGATGTCCAGCTGCGTGGACTTTGCAGGGGTCCAGAAAGCGGCCTCTCTCTCTCTCTCTCTCTCCCTCTGTCTGTTTCTCTCTTCCTCTCTCTCTCCCTCTTTCAGGCTATGTTCATTATCTGTCAAAAACCCGTCTCGAGAACGGTCACCCTTAGCATAGTGTGCCATGAAAGCGTCATCCCTAAAACTCTGCTAAGGTGCTGGGTCTGGATCGAGGCTCACCGAATTCACTGAAGAGCCACAGCCCATGGCTCGACCCCACAACCCCGGCAAACGGTTGAAGCTAAAGACTGAGCATGATCCTTGCGGCAAAGCTCGGACCCTTAACATGAAGAAGGCCTCAGGTGGCGGCAGCTTGCTGGGGCATCTCAATAGTCACAAGTCAGACTATGCAATGGCCGACCGACTAGCTGCCTGAGCGATTGGCAGTGCACAAACTTTTTAAGTCCTCCCAAACACCCCGACAACAAGATCTGCGATCTGCTACAGCGCTGGCCAAGCCGGCAAAAAGTCAGCCCGCAGGAATACTGCGGCTTCCTCTTCGTGCGTGTTTGGAATTGCAGAAATTGGCCTCACACTGTCGTAGGTAGCGAAACGCGGTGGATCAGAAAGTCCGACTGATCTCGCACAAGAGGCCACGACAATTCCGACGTGCGCTGCGGCGTGCTTGTTGGCCGGCGTGCTTCTGCAAGTAAAGTCCGGGTCTTGGAAGGCCCCTCCACGGACCCTGCTGAAGCAAGGGTGAGGAATGCGGCTTGGTGGCAGCCACAGCGTCGTGCAGCATCACGGCAAGCAGAGCAAGAACCCTTAATCCGCAAGGGCGGCGACATAGTAGAGCATCATTTGTTCATGCGCCATCTGATGATATGCCTCCAGCACTCGGCGGACGAACGGAAGCCGGTACCTCTCGAACCACCATCGGCCTCCACATCCCACAAAGCCCCATGCCCAGCCTGCGACGGGAAAATCCTTCACACTTGTCATCAGCTCAATGTCCAGGCGCTCAACACACTCGTCACCGACGTCGCTTTGCACTCTGTGGACTCCCAAGGATCTACAGGAAACGATCAGCTTCGCATCATGGTCCAGCAGAAACCCTGTCTCAGGGCCGTCAAGTCTGTATAATGATAGCAATGGCGGAAAAGGCTTGGGCAAATACCTGGAGCGCAACTCAGCAGGTTCTTGATTCATACTGGCAGCCGGCCAATGGGCTACACCTCCTCGGAGTTGGAGAGGTGCTCCTGTCAACTGAAGTTCCGAATAGTCTGCTGCAAATCGGGGCAGCCTGTCAGCTAGCACGTCTGCCATAGACTCGGCAACGTCTTGAGCAGAAAGCTTATCACGGGGCCATCCTCTCTCTACAGGGAGAGAGAAGACCGACAGCGCCTCAATGTCAGACGTGGGCCTCCGACCATCGGCCCCCGGCTTCACGTGAGCTGTGAAACGAAGCTGGAGTGGAGCAGGGACTACCGGTGGCTTCGCAAAATTGAAGTCGAACTCCTGTTTGCGGTCGATGGGTACAGCTGCAGCAGACAACACTCGATGGTGGAACATAATATACTCGCTAGCTCTTCAGTCTCATCCCCGCATGGTCCTCATCCTCCTCGCTTCCGTCACCCTTGGCTTCTTGTGTGTGAGTATGCAGGTTCCCTACATTGCAAGAAGCATTTCAATCTTGCGTGCCTCGTTCTCACAGAGGCACGGCCAGGATACCAACGGAGTGGCACCTCAACGTCTCAAAGATGCGTTCAGCATTCTTGTGCCGATGAACGAAGCTCCTTGCCCTTGTTCCTTGTTGCTTCATGATGCTTTGTTCTGCTGCACCAGGATCGGCGTGCATCCTTGGACCTTCCTTCCCAAACCCCCATCCGGCCGTGTCGAGTCAACGGAGATCCTTGTCACTGATTCGTTGGATACTGGCGATCGGAGGAAGCTTGCCTGTCTCTTCCCCTGACCCTCGAACTCCTACCTATTTAGTTCACTTGCTGCCTTCAGTTGCTGCGTTCTTCAATCATTGCCTAACCACCAGAATCTTCATCAACCTACAGAACATATTGCATGTCTCCTCAATCGCAAATCAGTACGAAGCCTCCACACTCATCTCTGTTACCTGGATCACTGGCTGCTTGCTCCCTTCGGCCAGGCTCCCGCACAAGCGACGAAGGCAAGCAGAGCGCGCCCAGCTTGCGGAGTATATCGCACCTGCAGGACTCAATTAAAAAATCTCCCTCGTCCACTGCCACCCAAAACACCTCGCAACACCCTGGCTGCGTTTCTAAGAACTAGATAACTCAATGAGCAACGGGCTTGCCTGTTGAAATCTGGTCAGATGCCCAGGGCCGTTTTGCAGGTCCGACTTGACGAAAGAATGGTCAGCAACCCAAGCCACAAAGCAGCGTCTGGATGAAGGCCTGCGCTCCGCATGTCACAATGCTTGCTGTCGAACCAATGAAGCCAAGACATGGCCTGGGGTACTGCGTTCCGCGGCAGCAGCGGGTCGCCGTGTGAATAAACATGTGGTCTCAGTCGGAAGGGAGGAACGGTGCCTACACTCCCAAAGCTTTGTATTTGAGAAGGCTGCACATGCATGATTTGTTGGCTCACGGCTTTAGTTTTGGAGCCTTTCCACCCTTACATCCAACCGACGTGAAGACGCCAGCCACTGCAACTGCATCACTGCAAGACCATTGTGTCAAAGTCTGGGAGCATGGAGCATTCGGGATTAGAATCATCCACAAGCCTTCCTTAAGTCTCTTTTTCTCGACTCTATCGCAAGCATCTGCAACGCGTCTGGTTGGGATGACATTGGAGCCAAGGGGAGCAAAAGGCGGTAGTCGTCCTAGCACTGAGACACGGTTGGTGACGGCATGCCTGCACACTGGTCCACTGAGGCCTGATTCCCCTGGGAGCATTTCAGGCAGCTGCTAGAGCACCACGCCCCAAAGAGGCAAGGAATCTTGCAGTTGTCGTAACTGTACTGGCCCGACATAGCATAGCAGCTGGCGCAGCTCGAGCTGAGCTTTGTCTGCTGCGTGATGCAGTCTTGCATCTTGCTACGCTTGAATCCACTCCAGAAGCTGTACGCACCCTTGCCACAATTGGACAAGATCTTTGGAAAGGTGCCGTCAGCATTGCCGCCGCCCAATTTCTTCATGACATCCGCATCTGCTGATGTGCATTTGCCAGCAGTCTTGTTCTCCGATTGACCTGCCTGAAGTACTTCCTTCGCTTCCTTTTGGGCACGGAGCTGGTGAAGCTCCAGACTACAGGCTCCATCATCGGGACCACACTCATCATCCACGAGTTCTGTTCCCAAAACGCTGAGTGCACAAAGGCAAAGGCCGAACCAAACTCGCAATGCTGTTGCCTTGGCTTTGAGAAAACAACATTCCGACCAGCGGCATTGAAGTGACCAGAAAGTGTGTAGTGTCTCTGACACAGTCTGAGGGGGCGGCCATGGATGTGTGCGCTTTTTTCTATCGCCGAGAGCAAATCCGCGCTGAAGATTAAAGCGCTGCAGCAAAGCACACAAGAGCTCCGTTGAGATGCCACCTAGTGTTGATTCGAGCACTTTCCCTTCAACCAACTCGTGGATTGCAACTGCAGTGCCAAAAACGGCACAAATCGAAAACCAAAAAGACACGCAATTTTTTCCCCGGGGAGCGACACCACGATCGTGTCTATGCTTTGTACAGCTTTGTACTGCCAGGACTCCTGCTAAGGCGCCTTATCAGGGTCTGGCAGAAAGATTCGCATCCTCTCTGCGACGTCCACCTCCCAGCAGTAAAAGCAAAGAGGAGCAAAGCGGAGCTGATGGCCCCAAAGCAGATGCAAAGATGCAAGGCGCCTGCAGGTCTTGCATGTCCACTTCCGACAGCTCCTGGCACTACTGCCGGTCTGACTGCCGAAACACGGACCACGAGATGCCTCATGACAGAGTAAGATTTGTTCGAAGTTCGATTGCAGGCACAAGTTCCGTCTCTACAGAACGCTTTCGAGCTCAGCTCTGACCAGATGTCGAGAAAGGCAATGCGGCAATGCCCCACCACACCGTCATCGGAGTACATCAGCACCGTTTTTCACTTTAGAATCCACCCATCCCACAATGCTGCCTTGCCGTTGTTTTTTGCAATTTCTGCCCAAGCCCTCACCCTTGCCCACGAAACTTCTCTGCTGTACTTTCAAAGCAAGAGGAGCTTGCAAAGCTCTAGCATGCAGGATTCCTCCACCTTGTTTTTGATTGTTTCATGCGAGGAGACAAGACATGCTCAGTAGGGAGATTCAGGATCCCCCAATCTTCTGGAATGACGACCCCAACTCGGTCAGAACTTGCTGAGAAGCTGCTGTTGCACTAGTTGGCTTTTGAGCTCTGTCATACTGCGATGCCAGCAGCTTGCTCAAGAGCAAAGTTGTCGCATTCGACCACAAGCCAACTATCAAGCACACGTTGCCTAGAAATTACGCCTTTTAGCCAACTGGGCACATCGGACCGGCAACCTGGTAGCAACATCTCACCAACTGACCGACTACAAAGCGCAAACTAATTGTGCAGGTCGCACCCATCCAATGATGTTCAGATTCTCCGCCATCCGCTTGTCCGACGAAGTTGACCTTGCGGGAGCCACTGCGATTCGCCTCCCACACCCTGCCCCTCCAATCCCCTCCACTGTCAACCTCTTGACGATGACCTGCCCAAAGCCTAAAGTTGTGCGACACGTCTCACAACTCATCGAGCAGGTCAGTTTCTGTCACGGGGCGGGATTATTCGCGCCATGGTAGGTGGAACCTCTGAGCTCATATATGGACTCAGCGAAATCGGCCCAAGGTGCTGTGATGCTACTGGCCTCCTTCTGCACCGGCTGCTGCCGAGTGATCACCACCATCTAGGCCAGCTAAAGCTGGATCTTCATGCGCTCCCTCTTGTGGGGACTCTGGGAAAGGCTCCGAGTGGTCACCGGCTTCATTCATCGAATTGGGAGAGTTAGGTTCTGGGACTTCTGCGGGTCCAGGATGTTCAGGCCCTTCAGGGAATTCTGGGTTCGGCCCATTGAGGCCGTGTTCCTGCATTTCCTGCTGCGCCAGCGCATCCAGTTCTGGGGAGGAGTCTGCGGCAGAGTGCTTTGCCATGCCATCTCCAGCTTCACCACCATCATGGCCGTCATGGCCTTCATGGCCGCCCTGGCCGTCATGGCCATCATGGCCATGAAAACCTTCCGGTGCCTGAGGTTCTGCACCTTCGAAGCCATGCCCAGGATGGACCGGGCCATCGCCCCCACCTGGGTCCCCTTGTTCAGGCTCTGGCACGTCTGGCTCCGGCTCGGCTCGGCTTGCAGGGCCATGTCTGTTGCGATATTGTGCTTCTGCCATCTCCTGTGGGCTCGGAGGCTCGTTCGCCTCTGGCTCTGAAACCCAGTGATGCTGCTCATGAGGTTCATGAGGATCATGCTCGTCTTCCAGCCCATGTTCCATACCGGGTGGAAGGCGCTCATCGAGGATCTGCTCGCTTTCGCCTGGCACCTTAATTCAGTTTCTTGCATGAGGCGGTGCCGGAGCCATTCTGACTACTCCAATGCGTTCGTCAATGCATCAGGGCAGCATCCTCGGCCGGTTCCGCAATTTGTATCAGGCCTTAGCTGGCAACCGTATCCCCACCGTTTCCTTTTCTAAATCAGTTTTGTCACTCCAACAAGCATTCCCGAGTCGAGGCGTGCCTGAAAAGGTTCTGAACCGTTCGCTGTGAGCGAATGCTTTTGGCGCGGCATTCTCACGCTTTGGAAATTCCGAGATTCCCTGCCAACTTGAGGGGCAAGCCGAAAGTAAGCCCAAGCTCGGCGAGACGCTGTCTCCAAGCGAGCAGAAAATAGGAGAGATCCGATAGAGACAAGGAGGCTGCAAAGCGCAGAAGATCATGAGGAGGACGATTGATGTGATCAACATTGACCCCCCTCCCCCTCGCCCACCCCCAAAGCAGCAGATTTCTGTTTCAAGACTCAACATCTGTCAACGGCATATCAAAAATTTGGCCCTTGGCTGCTCACGACATGTTGCTGCGATCTACTTTGTTTCTTGAGTCACTTCCTGTCCCTTCCATGTTCCGGGGGTCCTCGTCTCAACAATCGTCCCTGCCACAACAAAGAACAAACACAAAATGTTCTTTCACCGATGGTTAAATGCTGCAGTCCAGAGGAGTTCCTGCAGTTGAGTTCTTGTTCTTGCCCGCATCAAGCATCATCAAGCATGGTGCCTCTGCTTCTAGGCGTGGTTTCCATGACCCGACACCGCATGCAATCCGATGAGGAAAGGGCTGACGTCGACAGCACCTCCGCTTTGGAGAAGGACTGTCGTGTGATCATCTTCGGTCACGGGCTCAGCTGCCGCATGAAGGATCTGACCTGGAAGAACCTGCTCACATGAAGCGGAAGCGAACTTCTGCACATTTCTGCACAACAAAACTGACACATCACGTGTCGACAGCAGACTTGCTTACTCTCACCTCTCCAGCTTCAGATCCCCAGATCGCACCATGCGCATCTGTCTGCAGAACTGGTCCTTGGCGAACCACCTGTCGCTGTTGTCTTCAAGTGCAATACTGCCCACCTTCATAGGCATCTACCCTCCTAGGATTGGAGGCTTGCTTGGTGTGCCTTCAACGCAGACAAACGCAAGAGACACGGACAGCGACTGTCAATCGTAGTTGAGTAGTCGTTCTTGCCGTAGTGCTGGTGGTCGTGCGTGCGGTAGCAGCAAGTGTAGTGGCAGCAGCAACTTTGGTTTCCCCGAGGACACTTCCGACCTGGGACCGAGCCAAGCTGTGGTGGTGGATGTAAGACGCCCTGCGGCGTGGTGGTGGTTCTCTGAGCCGCAGTTCCCTCTTGCCCTCCAAAACGCGTGAACTGTTATTATTTTTTTGGTGCTTTGTTCTTTTGTTGGCGCGGGGTGGGGAGGGGGGAGTGGGTTGGGGTAAACGCGCACGGCGCCTTGTCCAGCCCCACGCTACTTGGGGTAAAGAGACCAAGAGTAGGACCCCGCCATCATTTGCAGGTGATATTCGTCAGGGCGGGCGCCTCGTTTTGGTAGAAAATGGATTCGTGCAGTGCAAGGACCGATTCACAAACTGGACGGACCAGATTCGCGCATCGAGAAGCCGAATTCGCGCACCGTCGGATTCCGCACTGAGATTCAGTCAGATGGCAGGTTCGTAACCCTAATGCCCTTGTAGTCCTTAAGGCCAAAGAACATCCCCAAGACCCCTAAGCCACAAACACCCTCAGCCCTGAAAGCCCTAAGCTGTACAATCAAGATATTGCCAGGCGGTGGAAGGGGGGTGAAGAACCTTTAAACCCCAACCGCAAAACCCTAAACCTGAACACGGAACTCCAAAGCGGAAACCCTGAAGCCTCCAGGCCCAAAAAACAGACAGGCATGGTTTGAAACCCCGAATCCTAAAAACACTGGGCCCTAAATCCCTACACCCGAAAAGGTGTCTAAAGCCTAAAACCTCGACCATGAAACCCACAGACCTCAAAACCCTGACTGGTGTGCAAAACCCCGATAAACCCTCAAGCATTAAAATCCTCGAAGCCGTAATAATGCTAAACCCATAAAAACCTTCAAGCCTAAACACCTTCAGCCCTGAAAACCCTAACCTTTAAGGTCGACAGTTTAGCTTAGCTGGGGCGGTAGGGAGGCCCCTATCGTCAGTGAGTCGGAATTCGCTGGGTTGGTAGGGCGGGTCGAAATCGCCAGCGCTTGAATCGCGTGTGCTCGAACCGGCAGTGATTGAATCAGAAGCGCTTGAAGCGGGAATTGTTGAACCGCGCGTGCTTGAATCACCAGTGCTCTTGAATCAGGATTCATGATCCGCTCGGGTGCCTGAATCGCCAGTGCTTCAAGCGCGATCTGTGCTCTTTGTTCTTGTATGTTGTTGCCTTTGATGTTGTTGTTGTGGTGCTGTTGCTGCTTCTGCTGGTGGCTGTCGAAAGGTGAAGTTGTGGTCAACGCTCTGGTCTGAAGAGTAGCGGGCATACTCATACTTGTGCAAGACGTGAAACTGTCGGCGAACTAAGAGACCCATTTCAGACAACCGGGCCTGCAGCACAGTACCTGGCAAAGGAACACATCGTGAACTGATCTCCGCAGGCTAAGCAAACTTCCAGCCTGCGTGTATAGCTTCAGGTCGGAAATCATGTGCTTCCGGCTCTGGACCTTCCACCTGGGCCCCAAACTGAGGCACACTTTTTGGATAGCCCAGTGTCCAAGGACAATCCTACATCTTTGGGGCTTGGTTACTATACTCCTCTTAGAAGAATCTTATTAACAATCACATTTTTTATGCCCTCTTGAGTTTTATAACAAAAAGAAAAAAATCCCATGGGGATGTAGGTTATGCACCGGCTGGGATCTGTAGAGGGCTGCGTCCTCCGGATCGGCGATCTTGATCCGTGATGCCTCGAGATGCTCCAAGACAATGTGGCGCTGTTACTGCGGGTTTAGGGTTTAGGGATTAGGGATTCGGGTTTCGGGTTTCGGGTTTCGGGTTTCGGGTTTAGGGTTTAGGGCTTAGGGCAGCAGACAACACATCGTGTTGTAAGGGGACGGCAAAGGGTTGCTGGTGGGGACATGGGGGGGCCTCCACAGCACCGGCTGGTTCCAGCATGATGAGCGTATGGCCATCTTCCGTCACTGGTGGCCCTGCAGCCTCGACCAGATGGCCCATGATAACCTGCAGATGACACAACTATGCAGCCATACCTCTGGGATGTTTCCGAAATTAGGGGTACCTCATTGGGGTCCTTATTATAAGGGAACCCTACTAATTATTTGGGGGGTCTTTATTAGGGGTCCCTTAAACTCATTTTCGTAAACCCCCACATGCTTGGACTATGCTTGCATTAGGTCTCCGCAGTGACTGGGCCGTGCAGCAGGCCTGGCCAATATCGTGGCCCCAGACAGGTCCGTTTTCGTCCTTATCTGTCATGGTCTACATGCAGATTTGGGCACCATCCACATGCTCGACAAGCTGCTACCGCGATCAACGGCCCGTTGCGGGTGATCTCCAAGATGGTGCCTGACATCAACAGGTCTTAGAGGCAACTTGTCCTCCTCGGCTCCGTGCTCGCAAATGTGTTCCCAATATGTTTCCTGCATTCCCGCGTCGCGCCTTTTCGGATTTCATCCCAGGAATGGCGCGTCTTTGGCTGCCCCGCACTTCTTTGTGGAGAGTAGCCAGGTGAGCCAGGTGCACCGCGTGAGGGCCTGGCCAGTGTCACTGGGGTCGGCCTCAGGACAAAGAAAACTTTTCGGCAGAAAAGACAGAGGCGCACGATGGCCCGAGGCCCGAGCTTTGAGGATGGGCTGAGCCTGAGTACTCCGGGGGCTTTCTCCGATGTCTTAACGGTTTCTCAGCACTTGCCTAGGGCCCAGGTCCCACAAAGTCAACGTCTCTCTTTACAAGCCCAGTCACGCCCAAACCATCACCAGAAGGATGCACAGACCCAGGACGACCTGTGCTTATCAGACTCCTATGCTCTACTCTACTCTCGACAACTGAAAGGTTGGCTTCAATTTCAGGCGCATGGTGGGCATGATCAACTGAACCTTCCTGTGAGGGTTTTCCATCCAGTGGAACTTTTAGCTACAGCAAGAGGTTGCTCACATGGCCTTCTGTGTCGTGCTGAGCCTTCGGAACTGGGCCAATATCTGAGATTGCAAGTCCTGCAACAAGGAGTGCTACTTCTAAAAGGTATGATGCCCGTGAGCAATCCTAAGCATCTTTTGCTTCGCTGCCACTGTCAAGCCAAGCTGTCCTGTCGATGAGCATCGTCCTGTGGCAGCTCAAGGGTCGTGCGTGTGCCAGTACTCCGGTCCACTTGTCATTAAAACCCCTGAACCCCAAACGCTAAACCCTAAAATGTCATGGGCCTTGCGCAAGTGCAGAGGCTTTGGCCGCTCCAGACTATGCTGCGATGGGCACATTGCTTGTGACCAGCGAGACATTGCGCTTTGATATCCCTTGTCCCGATTGGCAACCTCTGATGCAGGTGAGCAAGCCGAGCGAGCCTCACCATCTGGTGCGGACCACTTCACCTCCCGGGCCTAACCAGAGATTTAAAAAAAGGAACTTGGTGGCTGCATCTTAATAGGTCTTGCAACAGGTGCAGACACTGCAGCCTGGCTTGGTTTGTGCTTTCTATTGTTTTCCGCTCTTCTCTGATCTGTGTCCGTCTATGCACCGGTGCATCCCGCCTGTGCACCCCGCGGGCGTGCGCCGAGCTCCACGTCCTCAGCAATTTTGCCATACCTGACAATGAAAAATTCGGGGCCAAATTAAGATTCACATTATAATTCTACTCATCATTATATTCTTCTGTTGACCCGGCTGAATCTGGCCTGGTGGACGCCATCAGTGCTGCGGGGCCATGGCATGCATCATGCTTGTGAAATCTCTTGAACCCTTGGCGGTCCTGGCCTCTAAAGCTCGGGTAAGGTTCGTTGACCCATGGCTGAAAGTTGGACTGATTGCCATGCAAGCAAGCTAAGCCCACTCTGCCTCCAAGCACTTCTTCGCGGGTTTCGGGCATGTCTCCTATCCAATCTCCTCTTTGGCCGTCTGTGCTCTTTTTGGAATGATGGGACAATAACCGCTTGATACCGCTTGGCAGCTGCGAGATGTTGAGATGTGATCGCGCTTCAGGTGCCCTCATCGCACTTCAGGAAAGCTCTTAGCTGGGGTTTCTGCGGAATCACCGCCACGCCCTGCTGCACAGCCCAGCGCAGCAACACCTTGCAAGATCTTGCAAGCTCGGAGCTACGTGAAGGTGGGTTCTACCTTTGAGTCTCAGAGCTGTGCACCCAGCCGTGCATGCCGCTGTGCATGTCTGTGAAAATCATGTGACCGTGTCGTGTTTTGATGGAGCCTGAGCCGGAGTTCGGCCCACCCTCTCGGACACCTTCACCACCGCCTCAATCGAGAGTCTCTCGCGCTCGTGCCGACTCGCGATGGATCCATGTTCAACCCCCCCGACTTTAGGTGCAGGACGGGCGAGCGGAGCGTTGCCCCACCCAGTAGGGAACTTCCCAAGGATCCGTAAGCCTGGCAAGTGGAAACGGTATGCAGCGGAACTTGTCACGAGTGGAACAAAGCACGCAACTCGGGAAGGTGTCGGTGCAGCCATCAAGGCTATGCGCTTCTCTTTGCAATACCTTGGTCCACATTAGCTAATCAATGCAGCTGTTTCTTCAGTCCATGCATCTGCCAGCTGTGAAAAACAATAGACATGCTTCGGCTGGCTGCTCCAAAGATCCCATGTTTAAGTTCTTCGCCCCATGGGGGGGGGGTTTTAAGAAGAGACTTTGTTGGGCAGACGCAGCATTGCGGCCGAGGCGCTTTCGCAGAGCCAGCTGCGGCCACCATGGATGAAGCTCGATCTGGTCAGCATCTTTTCGTTCTCAAGCAGCGAAAACATACGCTACCACCTTCCCACCAAGCCAGTGCTTTAAGGGCCAGGTCACACGATCACCTGTTCGGTAAGTGCAATCAAACGGGTCAATTGTGGTTTGCTTCGAGGATGAAAAATCAGCGTTGAGGTAGGATCGCCCATATTACGCTGCCTCCTTTATCCTAAAGAATGCTTCGTCATGCTGCCAAGCTCCAGTCTAGAATTCCCTGGTCATGTTTGATTCAAATCAGAGAGATGTTACGGCCAAGGCCCATTTGTATCTACCTATACATCTACGCATTCAGACATGTTGAGCTCAAGCCACGTGGAATCAGGCTTAGGCCCTTGAGGCCTAAAAGTCGATAACGACATCCAATCAGCACTACGTTGAAAAATTCCCCACTACACCAGCTGCAACAGACGGCAGCAGTACGTGTCTGCACCTGGTTCACAGCGATCGGCAGAGATGGACCATCCGCCAAGAGTGCAGACAGGTGCTGCACGCCGAAGTTTGACACGCCCAGCGCTCGCACCTGACACCGGCATCTTGTCAGGTCTGCCAAGCATGCTTGGTGGTGCAGGCATGGCCTTTCCAGCTTTGAAGGCTCTTTCAAGCCCTTTCCATGCTGCAGCTCGGCATGCCCGCCAGGACACGCTGGCACACTCAGGGAGCGGATCCTCCACGCAAGCTCGGGTGGGGTACGCAAAGCTACGCAGCGCTGGGAGATGCATTAGGTGCAGCAGGTCATCTGGCAGTTGCCACTGATCATGAATGGTTCCTTGGAGTCAAAGTTGGAAGGCCAGTGTAGCAGCACCTTTGATCAGAAGACGTCGAGAACGGAAGCTTGCGGCACGGAGGTCCTCTGAGTGCCGGACTAAGTCCAGGTGCGTGCCAAGTTCGTCGACACTTCGGAGGACCGCATCGTAGGTTTCGTCATATCCTGAGCGTCGAGGCCAGCTTCACCAGGGTATGGCTTTGCTTGGTTTGCTTGGCTACAACATGCTGTCATATGCTGACTGTGTCGTTTGACAGCATGTGGGACATAGGACAAGACCCATCTGAGTGGGCGGAATCTTGCTGACGATGAATACCTCACAGACACAGTTCATCTTTCTCAGACTGCAACTCCGGAACCCTTTGCTTCTCCAGGAGGTGCACACCTCCTCGCGTGGTATCTTGCTCTTGGCGATGGCATGCCCGATGTCAGCATGATTGTCATAAAGCACCGCCGTGTCAACCTCGCCATGCACGGGGCTTAAAGATGTTGGTCATGTTCTGTTGCAGATGTTGCAGTGACGCTAGCTTATGCTGAGGAGCCAACCATGCGCCCACCAAGCTGGAAAAACATCTTCAAAGACTTCTGTACCTTTCAAAAATGACTTCTTCGATGTGTTCGACTGGCTCTTGGGTGATCACATGTGATCACCACGTGCTGCCGCTGCGCTGCCTGTTCTCCCTGCACTCCGTTGGTTCCAAATCCACGCAGCGGCATCCGAACGCTTCGATACCTGGAGCCCGAGTGCTCTGCGTACTTCTGTGCAGACTCGAGCAGAAGGGGGGGAACACCCCCGAAGCTGGACGGATGCTTCGCCAGAATGTTCCTGAGGGCAAGTGTGATGCAACAGTCGGGATGTGTTTGAGGGGAGTTAGGGGGGCCCAGGGAGGGAATGATCAAATTCACTGCGAGAAAGCCCGGCCTGGTTCTTCCCACGTGCAGCAATGTCTCGGAGCACGAAGCGCGCACACAGCTCACCCACCAGTCTCGCAGGTGCATCCTGTTAAAATGTGAGGCAGATGGTGTTGGTGCTTCTGATGGAGTGGAAGCTTCTGAAAGAAGCGGTGGGCTTATAGGCATCCTAAAGTAGACAGAACTTAATTTTCGGGCGGGAGGGGGGGGGCATGCTATTTTTGAATTTGGGCCGTCCCATCGATAGAATATGGGGAGGGATTTTTGAAATCTGGGCGGCTTCCCACCCCACGAATAGAATATGGTTGAGGGGGGTTATAGGGGGGGGTGTACCTGCCAGCCTTTTGGGTGATTGGGAGCTTGAACGAGACTTCTATGTCCGCATCTACGGGAGGCACCTCCGCACACAGACTGCGAGGCCGATTCCCAAACATTCCATCTAAAGGGGGTCGGTTCCATTGTGGAAGGTGGAGCCGGATGGCAAACAGGCGCATTGCAGAAGGAGGGATGGAGGAGACTTGGGGTACTTTGATGTGTTTTGGGTTTTTGCAGATTCCCGGCATGCCTCGGGCTCGTTACCTTGAACATATTGGGATGTCAGAATGCTAGCGCCCTACATACTGAAGGCCATGGGGCTCAACCCTGAAAACGCAGGCCCGTAGCGCCTCTCTTCCCGTTTATCTATGGTTCGGGGTTGAGGCTTTCATTTTTCGGAACCTCCAAAAGTGTATCTACTTAAGGATGCCTGTTCGCTGAAGGGCAAACGAATCAAGCCAGCGAGACGCTGTGACCAGATGGCGACTCCGGATAGACAGAAGTGTCTGCAACCTCGGAGGTCAGACAACTACTGTGCTTCTATAAGTAACAACTACTGTGTTTCTAAGTAACAGATGAAGTAGGTAAGGTACTCACTCTACGAGTACAGTGTCTACAAAGCTTCTGAGCATCTGAATAAGCAAGGAACCCGCAGGTTCGTGGTGCCAAGAACGCGGAGCCTCGGCAAAGGGAACCCAATCAGGGGCTCGGAGCGGCTCATGATCGACGGACATCGGTGGATCCCCTGTGTGCCAGACTGCGAGTCGACAACGCCGGGCGATCCTTCCCGATGGATTCGAGCAGTCCTCGCGGGACACTGCGATGTGGTCGTGACGTCCGTGGCAACTTGCAACAAGTTCGACATTTTGCCGATGCTATTTTGGCAGCCTGCTTGCACACAGCTGCGCAGCGGCGCAGGTGAGATGACACAGAAAGGGCCTTCAGTGACTTCAGTGAGCCGGACCGCGCCGCCGACCTGCTTAAGCTCCGGCGAGCTCTGGGAATCGAGGACCTGCTGCATCTGCGAGTTCCCACGCTGCGCTGGTCAGCTGCAGCTGGCCACCTTGCGCTGGCTCCTGTTGCTGGGACTGCGCCAGGATATGCCGTGAAGACCCAAGAAATGCCCCTCGTGAACGTCCGGCAGCTGGAAGATCAATAGGCCATCACGTGAGTATGTGGCAAGCCCGTGTGCAAGCTTGCGCCATGCGTTGCAGCAGCCTCCACGCCTCCATCACAGCGCGACGTGTGAGACTGCTTCAATGTGTGGTCGTTTTGCCGGGGCTTATGGACAGAAGAAACCACATAACTAAGGAGAAGACTGCACTGTCGGAAGCTGCGCAGGAATGCGATCCAAGAACCAGAATCCGGTGCTTCAGCTCAGGATGTCGAAGCAGCGCGCTTGGGGACATCGACAACCTCAATTGCGGGAGCATCAGCTGTGGGGTTTGCGCACTACCGGACATGCTGTAGTTATCGCATGTCTTTGCTACGGCGAGACTCGACATGCCAAAACCTTGCAAAATCGCGCGTTCTTCTAAACACACTTATCTCGGGAGGCCCTCCTTCCCTGTCCTGGGCATGCAGGGAAGGGCCTGTTTCAACAAACCCAGCGCAAAGGTGTAAGAACAGATGGATAGATAGATAGATAGATATGCATATATACATCCCGATGGAGTCTGGAAACTCCAGCCCTTTTCAGATGCGTTTCATGGTGTCGGAAGAGACCTGGTAGGCCTGGTAAGGACGAGCTCAAGAAGTTTGAGGCTTCAGTTGGCTTGGCATCGCCGTGTATCTGATTCTGGCTCATTCGCTTTGCTGCCACTGGCCAGTGACACAATGCTCCAGGCTTCCTCTTGCACATCTTGACTCTCACAATGTGAGGTGCCCCTTGCATTGTGGGCGCGACATGCAGTTCCGGAGTTCTGGAGCCAATTTTGATGAAAGCAGTGAGAAGCTACTTGAGACGGTAGCCATGAAAGCTAGACACGGGCCCGATCTGTTCTGACGCACCCAGCAGCGCGGAAACCGTGTCGTGTTCCCACAACGTCAGCAACTGTGCACTGAACTGTTTGCAACGCCAAGTTAAACATGCACTGACCTGTTTGCTGGCCGTCCGAGCTGCGACCTGTATGACCCACGCTTCTGGGCTGCAGAAGCTACTCACTTCCACTCATGCGAACACTGCAGACACACAAGAGCTGAAACTTTGAGGATGCAAGACAAGTGCCCTGAACGTCCAAACTCGCAAAGCTGGATCCTTCTCATCCCTCACCTCCATGCACTGTACAATCGCTCAGAGATGTCGGGGGTGAGAGCGCTTGCTAGGAACATCCGACCACCCGAAAATCAATCCCACGGGGGCAGGGGAGTAGCCTTAAGATTGGTCGAATCAATAGTTCTCAGGCCAAACTTATCATGCCCGGCCCGCGGTCGCATCCGACCCTTGAGAGCTTGATTGGTAAACGCGCTCAGCTTCCGTGACACAAGCCGTACAAATTTTAAAGGCTTTCTCTTTGCCCTGAAGATCTCAGCTGCTCAAGGGCAAGGATACATATGAACATATAAGCACGCTTGAGGAACCGTCCGACTGACCGTCCGACTTACCTTGCTGAAGGAAAGGGTCAGCAGAACAGCCGCGAGGGTACCATAAAGCCAAGGTTGTCTGAATTGATCCATTGAGCCGGGGCGCCTGGCACGCAAGTGTGCGTCGTTTCGGAGAGAGTCATGGAGCTGTTTGCATCCGTTAAGATCTTCTTCCACTGGAGTCTCCGAGTTGCCTCGAAACACAATCGCAATGAGAGCTCGTGTACTCTCTTCGTGGCTTAGCGAAGGTACGTAGCGTCATGCTGTACAGTACCGTATGACGTTCGCTGATCACTAATAATATTGACCCCGAAGAATTAGTGACCCTGTCTGCTGCACCTGGGAAAAGCTTCTTGCTGATTGCCCGCAGAAGTTCCGGATCCAGCCCAATCACAAAAGGATGAGGCGGGATCAGTGTTGCCACAAAAACACAGGGTTCTCCAAGCAGAAGGCGGTGATTGCTCCAACGCAGAGAAGCTTCTCCCAACTGGGCACCAGAGAGCTTGGAGGAATGCTGCAGCAGTAGGGCCGCTGGCAGCTCAAACCAGCCACTCTTCATCTCGATGATGGCCACCACAAGCCCACACCATGCCTCTTGCCCAGGACTGCTTGCCAAGACGACCACGTCAACCTCGCCGCACACGCGCATCCTGGAGTCATACCAGGTGCACCCTTGCAGGAACTTAAACTCGCAGGCTTCGCCATCCGCAGAAGATCCTTTGCCTTTTCCGGGCAGGAAGAGATCTGCCCTCAACTGCAGCAACTCTATGGCCAAAGCCGCTGCATGCCTGGCACTCCATGCAAACCCGTCGCAGCATGTCACAGCTGCATGCGCAGCCACCACCGAATGCAAGAACCTCTCCACTTTCTCAAAAATAGCGATGCCCAACCCCTGCACCCCCACCTCCCCACCAACCCCTAGCCCTGCTAGTAGTAGCAGTAGTCGTAGTAGTAGCAGCAGCAGTACTACAGCCATAAACGCAGCATGGAGATTGGAGGCCCATTGGCCCATTGTCAGTGAAATCGCAGCCTCGTGCAGTGGGCATGCATCCTGGCCATTAGTGAACTCGCAACCTCTTGCAGTGGCATGCGTGACCGCTGCACAAGTGCATGTTGGCATCCTGGCCAGGTTCGGTTCGGGCAGCTGTTCTCTGGCCGCTCCCTCACCTAAGACTCAGTGCAAGACTCAGCTTTGCCGACGGGTCTCCTTAGGCCTGAAGCTGTATGATCTTCTTCATACTGCGGGGACCCGTTTTGCGGGGACCAAACGCTCTCCGAGCAGATGAGCTCTTGGAGTCGACCCGAGTCAGAAGCATTCTGAATTCTCTTGCTCTTGCCAGCCACCTCCCAGACAACCTCCCCACCCCACCACCCCCCTGACACCCCTCCCCACCTTCCCCAGCAGCAGGCAGCAACGAAAAACAACTCGAGCTTCGACCTCCAACATCCTTCAAGCCCCCTGCTCTATGTGGCATTATGGGGTGGGGTCTGCTTGCAGCACCTTGCGTCGGTGGCTTCGAAGTGGCTGCCGTGAAGCCGACGGTCATCCCCCTGTGCTCGATCCACAACCTGGTACTGCGCCAGCAGTTCTTCGCCGCCACTTTCCTTCCACAAACTCCGAACCCGCTGCCACGTCAGATGCTCAGGATCGGTTCCCAGCTCACTCCAGAGCCTCTCAGCTCTCTCCCGGTGCTCAGCACTTCGGTCTTCTCTCGAGCGCTCGATCTTGATGAGCTGCTCGGAAAGCTCTTCTTCACTGGGGGCAGGAAGACCTTGAGATCGTGCCTTTCTGCGGAGCCCTTCACGAATCGCCTCCTCATGGCCCTCGGGCTTCCCACTTTTCTTCCCTGCTTCGCAAGCCGCCTGCCACTGTACATACCGTCTACTGGGCTTCACAGATTCAACCGCCTCCGCAACAGCCAGCGCAGCTGTGTCGCGTCGCAATCCTAGAACCTCATACAACTCAGCCATCGGTGAAGGTTTCTCCGCGGCTGCCTGGAACTTCCGCGTTAGAGCCTTCAAGCTTTCGTTGCGCGGTGACGTCTGTAGCGTTCTTCGGATGTGGCGGAGGAGTGCCTGAAACCCCTGGAGTTGTGCCAGCTGCACCTCATCCGGACAGCCTTCAAGGCCTTCCAGCTCATCGTCGTACAGGTAGCTGGCCGGATACTGTGCCAAGGAAGCCTCAATTTGTTTGCGCAAGCAATCTTGGCGCTGCAAACTTCTCCGTGCCGCCAGCGCATCTTCTGCAGTCAACGTTCCATGAAGGGCCTGACTCATCTAATCCACTCGTCTGACTAGGTTCTAACACATCCTATACTTCTAGATACTTCACATGTAGAGAAGACGACTTGAGAGAACAGGTGTCGGGGAGTGCGGGTCACATGACCATCAACATCTACAAGGTACACCTGCTACAGATCTTGCCCAGAGCTCCATGGCAGGGCAGACATACCGGCAGAAGGACTTAATTCTTCAAGTCTTGGCATGCCAGCATGGGCACCAACATCGCCAACATCGGGCCCTAGATGGGCCCCCGCGGACTTTTTGCAAGGCTAACCTCCTCCCATGCCCACGAGCCTCAATTGAGGCCGGTTCCTGCGTATTGCAATCTTTGCAGCTTCAATCCAGGCCCACGCGAGCCTGTCACAGAAACTCTGCTGTGGATAGAACAGGCTCAGAGCCGCTTCGCGGACAGGCGCTCTCCTTGGCACGACATGCACTTCGCGACGCACTCTTGTAAACGAGAAACATGGTTTCGCCTGCGAAGGCTTTTGTGGCACCCGATACCACCTTACCATGAGGCCATGAGGGAGCGACATTTGCAAGTTGGAGGTTCTCCTTCTTGACGCTGATGAGCCTTTCGCTGCTTTGCCTTAGCGAACCAGACATGTGAAGCGAATGATCGTGCCGCATCATTTGTACAACAGTAAGTAAAGGACCACTCCAACCGTTTGATCCATCACACACTGAGATTTGAGTGAAACCTGCTCAAGCCAAGGGTCGTTGAAACTGAGGCATCAAGCCTGCAGCGCCATGACCACGCAATCAGTAGAATCACGTAATTCGATGGGTTCTTTGCAATTTCTCACGTCTTGTGAACTTGCAGCCGGGCCTTATGGGAGGCGAGAGCAGTTGAACCTGAAAGCTGCCACCTGCCAATTGGCAACAAGAGGGGCCAGGGACCAAAGCCCATGTAAGTCAGCTCTGCTTTAAACTCGATGTCCGGCCTGCTTGCGCAGGAGCCTTCAGAACTTGACCCAGGCGACCAGTGGTGCCCTCGTTGGAACGTGCAGGTCTCTTCTGTGCTGCGCTTTGCTATGCTTTGCTGCGCTTTGCTGCGCTTCGCTGCGCCCTGCTGTGCTGTGTGACTATCCCAGGACCTGAAGCCAACCTTTCTCCCGAACAGGAGACCTCGAGGGCCACCACCCGAACTGTATCTCCAGGGAGAATCACGCGTGCATCCTTCAGAGGACAAGATCGGCTTCCTACTCGTCTCTGTCTCAAGGAAAATCGGGAATCGAAACGCGAGCCGGGAATCGAAACATCTGGAAGCCCAACCGCAAAGAACCGTGAAACTACACTGGAGGCGAAACGAACCGAATGAAGCAACCGTAAAGACTGGATTGGGGTTTCGGGTTCGCGACCTTTAGACTATGAGTTCTAAAGAACGGTTCTACGTACAGAGGGCACCTTCTCCAAGCGGTTGCATCTTTCCGACGTTTGTCGTTTCAGTTCGCTCTTTTCGAATTTTCCTTGAGCTTGCAACATGTAGACTCCTCCAGAGCCCACATAGCTCCAGCCCCAAGGCTAAGCTGCCCAGCTTCTGCCGGTCCTGTTGGCCCCTTGTGTTAGGCCGGCTCGGGATCTCGGGTCGCCCCTGTTCCGAGGAAGAAAGGGTGGCCCGAAAACGGTTTTCGGCCCCTCTGCGGGCTTTTCCAGCCCCTCAAGGGTTGAGGGGGGCTCGAACACCCTCAGCCTTTTGCGATCACAAGTTGCCCAGACAAGGTACTTCCAAAGGCAATCTTGCAGCAGGCCCCTTCCCCATCCACAAATCAGAGCCCTCACGCTCTCCTCTTCATCGGAATCAGGGAGGTCTTCGCTGTCGCTGCCATCCGCTTCCTGCAAGCGGATTTCGCCATGAACGAAAAAGACAACCGATGCATCAGCAAAAACGTGCCGATGAACGCTGCGTTTTGAAATTGAGCTCAGGTAGGCAAGTGCGCACCGGAGGCCAAGAATGCCACCACACCGCATTCACATCTTCTGTCTTTCAAGGGAGGTCGCACATGGCTCACATGACTGAAAGACGGGTCTGGCGCATCTGCTCGCAGCATGGCATAGTGCTCATGACAACGAAAGACCTGCCAATGACCGGTCTCCTGGAAGAGACAGGCTCGAGATCGCCTATGTGGGAGGCACGACATCCCACCTCAGTCTCTGCGCATCAGGAACACTCGGAGAAACTGATTGTTCTGTCCCACAAGATGCATCCGCAGAATGAGCTTCAACTGTGCTTACTACGAGTAGCTGGGGCGCGAACCGAATAGAGTTGCGAAAGGGTCGTCGGTGCAGGATGCACCGAGCTTCGAGGCACTTTGCGAGACACGCGCACAAGCTGCCTGAGATGGCACCCATAAGGCTTCGACGAGCGCGAAGGATCGGGCTGCAGAGCTTCAATCTCGAAACATCTTGAAATTCGTCCAAGCGGCCTGGAAGTCATCACCTGAGCCAAGCTGGATTTTGGGTCCACCCCCTTTCTACTGTACTGACAGCCCACTGGCAACCGGTCAGCGGCACGCCCAGGGCTGACGAATGATTACGCGCACCCCGAACCGCATCCAGTCACATGTGAATCCCTCCATGCCAATTGTCTTGCGCACGGACTTTCTTCATGGCTTCTGTGAGCACGTCGTATGCGATGTGTCTATATCATCATGCAGATGTGGGAGCGAGCACGTGAGATCCCGATGGAAAAACTTTATGCAGAATGCAAGAATGCGGACAGGCCACTCTGCAAAGCGTTGTAACCGCTAACTGCCTGACTGGCACCCTGGAAGAGAGCACCCTTGCGCACGCAGGAGCCTGGCAAGACATGTGAGCGTTCCGAAACTGATCCGCAGCGTGGGTCCCACAAACGGAGTGTGCCTAGTGAGGGATACCCTGCCGCACTGGCAACGCAGCCGGCCGCCAGCAGCCCAGCCGACACAGCCATTCCGCAAGCTACCGTTGTTGGCGTCACCTTCCCACCACGCGTCTGTCAACGCATCGGGATGGTTGCAGTGGCACACATGCTCATCACACAGCACATCTTTCCGTGAAGGCCCATCCTGACTGTCCGGAAGCATGACTCTCTTCGCGTCCCCCTGCTCATCAACCTGGGACGAAGCTCCCGACTTGCAACAGCATGCAACCATGCAAACAGCGGTGCAACAACGGATCTTCCAAGTGCTTAAAAAGCTTGGAGCCCAAGGCCACCGCAAGCTGGTGCGCGCGCTCCAGGACGGGGGCGAAGTCTTGTGCTGCCTAGGCTTCCCAAGGCTCTGCCTAGGCTTTCCCTAGGCTTTCCCCCAGGCTTCCACTGCATCTCAAAGCATGGCAAAGACATGGCAAAGAGATGGCCATGGCACTTGATTGGCGCTCTTTTCGCAGACCCACGTCCTCGGCGCGCGTTGCAGTACGAGGCAACCATGGAAGCCCTTGCCTCAAGGCCCACGACTCGAAGGCAAAGATTCCCAAGGCCTCCAGAGATAAGCAAGAAACATCCAGAACAAACAACCCAGAATAAAGCCCTCACCTTTTCAAGGTCCATGGGGGGTGCCCTGTGGCTCCCATCTGACACACGTCCGCGACCAACTTGCAACTCCTGAGCTATCCCAGCAGCGTGGTACTATGCTACTATGCATTCAGCAACTGAGTCTGCCCAGGATCCATGTCATATCTCCACCTTGAACCTAGATCTCGGAGCTCGGTCCAGGCAGCCGCAACCTTGCCAGAAATGCTGCGACCATTTGAGCGCAGGTCAGTACGAAGACCGTTTAACGCCGACACACCATTACACCGTCTCGCACCTCAACCCCCTAATCCCTAATTCCCTAAATCCTGAAACCCTAAGAGTGGGCGGTCGACTTAGCGTGCGCCGGTCGCGCCCGTACTGAACCATTTCGCTACGCAAGGTGGAGGCAACCGGAAACCAGTGAAGCGGCTGACTGGTCGTGATGCTCAACTGAACAGCCATCAGTCAACCGATGATTTTGTTCTGTGATTCTTCCCAAGGGCGCCTTGCAGAAGGCCTCGCTATCGGCAGATCTTTGCAGCCTGCCGCTCAGGGAACATGAAGCTTACTTGTGGTTTTTCATGGTTTTTCGTTTGGCCGGCTCTCTTGCAACAATTCTGCAGGCCCGTCACCACTTGTGCGAACTTTATCACATCATCTTAAGTACATGTACCAAGCTCATTTGTCTTAAGCCTACATTGCTGTGCTGAATCCATCTGCACAAAGTGGTGACATGGGCCTGAGCGTGGTCGGATGGACTTCCACAGCTTTGCGCAGGAAGCATTGCCGTAGATCCATCTCAGATGCATCTGGATCAGCACCCAGCCTTGGAATGGCAGACATGATAAGCAATGTGCAAATCGCTCTGAAGCTCGAAATGCTCGAATTGGCTTGAATGTTCATTGAGCATGCAGGCCACGATGATGCGCAATTCAAGCAAAGCAGAGCAAAGCCAAAGCCAGGGCACAGAGCGTACTGAGTGTCAGCGAAGAGGACCTTGTATGGGCAAAGCAGTCCAGTGATGAAAGTCACAAGGTCGAGCTGTCCTGCCTCCGTGTAGGAGGGGGTCACCTCCGGGGCAGAACACGGAGGCCGCCCTGCGCTCAACATGTTCAAATTCTGACGCAACACCTAATTTGTCAACGCGGCTGTCGGCAAAACTATGCTACACTTGCTGCACTGAGCAAACGTGGGCCTGCCGGAAGAGCAGCAGGCGCGTGAGACGACCTGCATTTTAGCATCACGAAGTTGATTTGTTTGGTACTTCAGAGCTAAGTCATGCTAAGCCTATGACTCTGGATCCAGCAGCATTGCACAAGGCCAGAATTAGAGTTCACTGCACTGTCCTACTGTGGGAATGTCCTGATATCCAAGGACAAAACGAAGGGGTGCTGGCTGCATCATCTGCTGTCATGTGCGCTGCGCCACACGGTCATACTGGTGTTTTTGCTCTTTTTGGTGCTCTTTGTTTCTTAAGTAGCTTGATGAACGACTCTGGAAAAAGGATAAAGCAACACCAAAGGTGGTTTCGTGCTCTACTCCTACGGCTTGACAGCACGCAGCAGAAACTCATGCCATTTGACAGAACAACAGGGAAGCCAGGCAACATGCCCACGAATGCACGGTCCCCGTGGGATGGGAGTAGTAGTAGATGTTGGCCCGGATCCACTGCCTGCCGTTGCAGGTCAAATTTGGTGCAGGTGCAGAAGGTTGGCACACGGTAAGAGCAAGCAAGACAGGTTGACGCCAGCTTCTGGAAATCCCCTACCACCTTCGCAACTTCGCTACTTCACCGTTGGCATCCCCAATGCAAACACAATCAGCAGAGCAGGCGGCGAGAACCTCCATGCCAGGACTGATGCCTAGCTCGAAGGGAGCCATCTGCTCTGAGGCGAAGACACCCTTGTTGGAGCAGGAGCCAGTCTAAACGTCTATACTGTTGGGACGCCCGTGTGTCAAGCCTGGTACAGCAGCCGAATGGTGTTCGCGATGACCTGACAAGTGCTCTACCAGCTTGTCATCGATCCCTGATGTTATGCTTCACTGCATTTTCTCCATTTTCAGGGTCTGCGAGCAGGGCTTGTGTGATTGCACCTCTCCAACCTGTGACGATACTAACCTCGAACCGAAGGCTAGCTCATGTTAGCAGGCCTGGCCTGAATGTCGTCACTGTTGCTCAGTGGCTTGTAATCGAGATGTGGCGAGGCCATGGGGTGTCGAGACTGTACGACCAGCCTTCCAAGCAACGAAGCAGCTTTTTGGGCTCAGCTGTGGCACTTGACTGGTACCTTCCACGGGTACGTGCTTGGAGCAGGATGATCGTAAAGGTCCTGGGCCATGCACCATGCCCAGTGCTTCAGCACCGAACTGGAAGGAATTAGACCATTGGACCCTGTGTCATGACTAGGCTGGGGACAATGAAAGATGGCCTTCAAGACATCCCTCCAGCAGCATAACCTGACCAGCACGTGCACGAAAGCAACCGGCCAAGATCCCTGAAACTTGCTTCCGCATGTCTTCATAAAACTGACCTCCGCATCTACAGGACCTGGCTCACCCGGTCGATTGTCAGTGGCCTGCCCGCTCGGCACACAACACGCTCTGCTCAATCGCTGCCCCATTTCAGTGCTCCAGCTTGTCAGAACAAATAGCGGCGTCCGAATTCTTTTGCCTCCGTTGCTCTTCCAGCTGAGATTCTGAGCTTCGGGCATTCAGGAACGCGTACAGTTGTCCTGGGCAGGCAGAGCCATGAGCCCCGGCAATCCACATGCAAGATTCAGGATGCACCTGAAACCCACATACTGTTCGAGACAAGACACCGATGAACTGGTCCGTGTTTCCCAGATGTGTGGTAGTCTTTCCTTCGTTGATATGCAGGAGCGTGCAACATGTGCTTATGGGGGACGTGGTCGGTACGCTCACAGACGAATCCCCAAGGTGCCAAGAGTGTGCTGAGTGCACTGCCATCTTCACTCAGGTGATAGCCCTCTGGACCTGGTGTGCCAAGCGTTCTTCGTGCTTCGGCTTCCTACCGACTCAGACTAGATCGAAGAATGCTCGGGGTGATCACCGCACTTCTAAGCGCCTCACACGGGACATTGGTGTGAGCTACAATGGACAAGCCGACGTGCTCATGGAAGTGCCGGCTGACAGAGGGTGAGCTTGCGATGACCTGTCGTTGGGATGGAACTGAAGCATTGAAGCAAGGCAGACAAGGAATGATGCCAGCGACACTGGTATACCCAGGCGAGCAAGCTCCTGCCCAGCTCAGGACTTACAGCTGCTATTTGACGCTCCCATCTAATCTCCTCTTAAGGATCACATTGGCACTTCCTGGAAACGTTGTAGGGTTGGCGGATTGCACCAGCCCGTCCCCCCCTTTAGCTTAAGCGAGAGTCCAGCGGTTTGAGGTGTCGGGTTCAGGGTCATCCCCTTTTAATTGAGGCTTGAGCGTGTTGATGGGGCTTCGGGCTGAAGATTCGCAACTCAACTCCCCATCTCCTTCCGGAGCCTCGGGTTTGCATCGAGCTCTCAGGTGTTTTGAGTGGCTCAGAGATGTTCACCTTCTTCTGGTACAGTAGGGTAGATGGGCTTCGTGTGTGTTTGGTTTGGTTATGTTTGGTTTCAGGGCTTTGCACTCAGGGCAGTTCCCTCATTCGCAGCTCCTTTCGGGCTTGGAGTTGCCTCCTCCTGCTTTGGCCTGAAACACCCTCCATCAAAGCCATCAGTGACGAGATGACACAGAGGCACGCTCCCTATCCTCACCCCGCCCGGCCTTGCCTCAAGAGATGCACACAGTGTTACACTGATATATGAACGGATATCATGAAGGAATCTCACGAATAGGAGCGGCACGGAAACAAAGCAACGCGGCGCTCTGATCCGCTCTCCTTGGGCTCGGCCACGCCCGACAAGGTCAGCAGCTTCGGGGTGGCGAGCACGCCGGCCGCGATGATGACCTCGCTCTCTTTTTGGGTCTTCGTGGGGGGGGCTCCACGGGGCGATGATGGGAAATGCTCACATCACATTCCTTTAATACGCGTTCACAGGCACAAGCGAAGCGCCTCTTCTTTGGCCCGAATTCGCATGCGACGCTGAACTACCTGGCACAGAACACTGGGGCGTTCACGAACTGTTCCAAGGCCGGTTGCATTTCCATGTTGAAAACCTTTTCCCACCTGTGGTGCATCATCCGATGTCACTGAAATTTCCACACCAACAGCCTGAACAGCGTTGCCCAGGCCGTGTGACTGCTTGCAACATGCCCACACGAGCCACAGGTACAAGCCATTGGCAACAGACCAACAGATGCCACTACGAAAGCAACAGCCAGCAGAGTGGGCTAGTAGGTATGCACAAGTTGCCTCATCTAAGTTTGTCATTCAAACCAACGTGATGTGGGCATCACTAGGTGCACTACAGTCTTTGGCTTGATTTGCTTGCAGCGAAGCCTTCGTGCCATCAAAGATGATGCGTTCTGCAAATGCGTGGGTCAGCGTCTCCAGCCTTTTAGATCGAGTAGGTAAGGCAAGATGTGCAGAGCTATGCGACACTTGACAAACTGCCACACTTCAAGCTGGGTCAGGGCCATCAAGAAGCTTCCCAAAGGACTTGATGAGAAATCACTCTTTTACTACGGTCTTGTTCTCAAGCTTCTGCACGCTATACTGTCTGTAGACAACCTCCACTGTTGGTTCTTCTTGGGAGGATAGCCAGACTCTGGCCCCATCCTTGCGCATTTCTAGCCTTAAAAAAGATGCATGGTTCAGTCAGCAACCTTGTCTTGGTAACGGGCCTGTGCGAGGGCGAGCGGTGAAAGGGAGCTGCCAAGTCTTTGTACGTGGTTGATCGAGGTCTCCCACGAGCCTTATCCCAGGCCAACATTGATCAAGTCATCGCTCTTCGCACCACTGACTGCAGACAAGCGTCTGCTGTCACTCGTGATATCCGCGTGGGCTGACACTTTGGGTGCCCACAGCCTTGTACACGTGAACAACATGTATTCAGCCCGAGAACTTCTACCAGTCCTACTTTCACAACTGGCATGTTCTACTTGAAAGTGACTACTGGATGCACATGTGCGTAGTCATGCTCCTGACCTCATGTTCCTTGAAGTGTAATCCAGTTGCTGTGCCCAACCCGTTGCTGCAAGGTGTGGCCCGCATATGCCCAGGCCGCCTTACCTACCCTAAACCCTAAACCCGGTACGGCAGTGCTCCGTGGCTCCCAGCTTTGCTGCAGAATGACTGACGATCAACGCCGCAACTGAGTGCTGGCAATTCTTGTTGCGCTGCTTTGGCATCTCTGAGTCCTTGTGTTGTGAAATGGTTAGGTGCACCTCAGAATGTACCATCATCTCTTTAGAATTTCCTGCCAAACCTGTCCGTTTTGGCGCGCAGGGTTAAAAACCCCGGCATTTCGGATTCAGGCCTTCTCAGGCCAGATCACCTTCGTGACTTATTGCTTCTTTCAGCCGTGACGAGTTGCGGACTTTGCCGAAATCCAACAGCGCCTTCGGGGTCTTCATGGGAATCTGCCATCATGCAAGTTGCACGTAGTTGCGTTTACGACCCTTACGTTATCGCTACGCAGTTCTTGGAATGCTCTGATATGCTCCGAGCAGCCCATGGATCGCCACATCCCGCCAATGCCGTGGTTCGTGGCGTTGCCGTGGGGGTCCACCCTGTCTGAGTATGGTCCACTCGCTGCTTCTTGAGACGCTCTGCACAGGGCCGACCCAACCTGAAGGGCACATGAATGCGCTCGAAGGCTGCGATGAGGTTCCTGAAGAGCGGAGGAAGCTCCTGCATGTGGGACCCGAGGGAAGTTAACGCAACAGGGGCCTGAAGCATCGTTTTTTGAGCTTCTGAGGCAATAGACACACAGAGCTGGTTCGACATGGTCCTCGGGCAAGGCCGACACCAGGGTCAGGTGGCTGCCTGGCCTGAGACTGAGAACGCAGGAGGTGGTGAAATAAGAAAAAAAGTAGCAAAGTTGTAACGTGAAGGAAGCAGCGAAAGAAGAAGCAAACCGAGAGCCGCGGCAAATCGCCTGGATCATCGAGTGCACCTGACATGCTCTTTACCTTGTGCACCTGAATTTCGGATGAGATGGCGATGATCACAAGGGAAAAATGGCCTGTAATTAGTGGCCGATGGTAATATGGGTCTGGTCTGAAGCCAGGCGCCTCCATAGGTGCCTGACATCGCCGCAAAAAACACGAAAGGCGCAGTGCGCGCGCGGGAAAAGAAGACTCAGAGCAGCAAAGAGGAGCCTCCAGGCTCTTGAAGGCACTGAGGACCTCGTCGACAGACCATCCGAAGGCCTCAGCACAATCCGAAAAGAAAGAACATCGCCTCGTAGAGCTCTTGCAGAGAGCTCTTGCAGCGCTCCCGAGAGAGCCTCGTACTCGAAGATGGATCCTCGCCTTGGCTGCTTTAGGGTTTAGGGTTTAGGGTTTAGGGTTTGGGGTTTGGGGTTTGGGGTTTAGGGTTTAGGGTTTAGGGTTTAGGGTTTAGGGTTTAGGGTCACTGGTCTGGGCCGATCTGGGCCCTGCACGTGTAGATCATGGAGTTTACGCTGGCCGTCCCTCCGACTCCTCTGCCAGTAGCGTAGGTCCAGGTCCTGCATCGCATTACATGCCGGCTCTGCACAAGCGCATCGACACGCCTTCCCATTTGTGCCGGGCCTTCCCTCCCTTCCGACGCTCCAATTGACCTCCAGCGCCGGCCACCAAGATTCCTTCTTTTGTGCACTGCGGTCGGGATCCGCAATCTCCTGTTTCAGGACACCGTTTGAGCTCATCACATTGAAGCCAAGGCTGAGAGCACCTCGGACACACTCCAGGAACCAGCCTGACTCTGCGGAAGACTCAGTGCAACAATTAGCTACTGTCCGTGGTTTCTGTGCCACTAGGTTTACTCTGTCTGTCTCAGAATATTCCGCCTCGAGGATGAGAACACGCCACGGCTCTCCATCGACGGTGTCTGCTGCAGCCAGACGAGACGCCACAGCACCTTGCCAAAGTTGCAACTGTGACGGTGGAGCCTATCATCTCAGCTGCAGCGGATCCAAGTGTGTGACTGCCGGCTGAGCCGGCACCCACAACTATGAAGTCGTACTCGCTGCCATCCTGCTTCACCGCTGCGGAAACATCTAGGGCTACTGGGCAAGACATGGCAAACATGATTTTTGTCAGTCCACGTGGCATATCTTGCCACCCCGCAACACAAACCCTTTCCAGTCTACAAACGTTCCCAACAACCTGGGCAACAATGAGCGAACATGTCCTCGATTGAAATTCCTGCTGCAGTTGCCTCCCACTTGCTGTCATCGTCCGGCCTGCCAGATGAAAGCGAAACCATGTGCACAGGCAGTGTACGTTCTTTGCACTGTGCAGTTCTCGACATTCTGTGCATGCCAAAATTCATCAATGCCTCCGCGGAAACTTGTCGATGCCACAACAGCGAAGGTAGGTGAACTCCTTCCAAACGCTTCGATCCACAGACATGAACCGCCTAGCGACGTTAGGAACCCAGGCAGGAAGCGAGCAACAAGCATGGAGCGTTCCGATGAGAGACTGCCGTCTCGCTAGGGGCTGTTGTTTGCATGACTTTGAAACAGCAAGAAGCGCTTCCACAGAAGAACTTCGTTGCAAGCTGACGCAAGCACTACTCGCATTGCATCTAACCCCCAATAGGCGATTCTCACAGAGATGCAGACAAAGAGGAGGCGTCCTCATTCCAGCATGCAGGATTTCCAGTGAGACCCCAGCGGTCACCGCAGCAGAAGTTCTCGTTGAACTCCTCAGCTTTCCAAGCAAAGGATCTGGCACCACCAAGAGAAGCAGCAAGTTCTTCCCAGCATCCTCTACCCAGCACTCTGGATCCGGCCTCAGAAGCAACTAACTCATGAACTTCCACTTTGACTCTCACACTGACATCGGATGTGTTGATGCCGAGTGCTTCAGCAGAAGAACATCCGCTTCGTCAGCCCAATTGAGGTTACGGCTGGCCATCTGCCGCGCTTGCCTGGGCTATTGTGGCAACATGCACCTTTCCGCAACTGAATCACGACTTGCAAGGTCAAGAACCATTCGAGGGCAAAAATCAAGCAGGGAACCTCAGTCCAGGACTGTAGCCGATGCTATGGCCAGAAGCGCGCCCACCACCATATTCTTCCATTGTCTCTGAAGATGTTTAAGTTAAGTGCTTGTGCTGGCAACTGTTTGAGGATGTTGCTTGCCGAGTGGGATCACCTGATATTCTTCGCCCCTGTAGAGACTGCTAGCTCCGAACCATGATGTGCCTACAAATCAAAAAAGAAGCCGACCGCTGATTCAAATCAGGCACTAAGTACCTTAAGTACTGGAAAATACTGGAACCCAGGTCAAAATTTTGATTTGCAATACACTGACATGTGTTTCGGTACAACGTTCAGCTGCTAATTGAGAACAATGGAGGTGGAAGTGATCCTTCATGGTCATGGTGATACCGGACATCTGCACCTCTCAGTGCAGCAGGCCTCATGCTGCACAGTAGCCGAAGAAGCCCCCCTTTTCTTTACGCATAGATAAATGCTGATGCCTTCACATCACCAAAGCGAGCGTTGTATGCGTCGGCGTAAGACAGGCGCACATCTTCGGCCGAGAACGCAAGCTCTTGCATGACAATCGCTTCATCTTGAGCAGCACTGGTGTTTGAGAACGAACCTGCGGGATCATCTGTGTTGAGCCCGAAGTTAAGGCCGTACTGTCTAAAGCTGTGTATTGCATGCAACGCCCAGGCCCCGTGCAACAAGGCACTCTTGGGGCAAGCTTCCACATGCACCTTTCGCTCCTTGAGTGCTCGAAGGAGGTCTTTGTCGAAAGCGGCTGCATATCCATGGCCAATCCGATCGGCGCCCATGTCAAAGATGGCGGTATGGACGTCATTGCCCATTGTCTGGTTAAACTCTCCGGCATGCACTGTAATGTTCAGCCCCAGCGTCTTTGCATGTTTGAAGCAATCAATGTACGCCCGATTTGGAAAATCAGTCTCGTCGCCAGCAAGGTCCAAGCCAACAACGCCGCCGATGGCACCCATGCTCCTGCTACGACTTCGTGCTGCGAGCTCTGCAGTTTGGAAGCATTGCTGAGAGCTTGCCCCTCTCATCGCACAAAGAATCTGATACGCAACTACGCCATGTTTGGCGGATCCAGCCGCCAAACCATCTTGAACCGCTTTGACTGCCTGCTCCTCTGCTATGGAGGAGTTGTCCAGGCTGCTTCTGGCCAGGCGTACTGGGTCATAGCGAACTTCGGTATAAACAACGCCCGACTGGGCTTGGAACTTAACAAAGGCCTCCGCAGCCATCTTAATGGAGGACTCACTGCCACCGATGATACTGTTAACCGCATCAAAGCGGTGCCATCCGCTGAATGTGTTCATGAATCTCTGGATATCATGCGTGCTGTTCGGCATGCCGATGCCAGGCAATTCAGCCCCTCTGGCTTTGCAAATTGCCAGGAGCGTCTCGAAGTCCATCGAACCATCTAAGTGCACATGGAGCTCGACTCGGAAAGGCGCAGGCGCAAGAGACGCGAGGGGAAGTTGGTCAAGGTGGCCAGCACTGGCAACCCATACGCAGACCACGAAGACGGTCGAAACGCTAAAGAGCGATGACGCCATTCCCTGTCCTTTCTACAATTAAGGTCTTCAGATGTCTTGAGCATGGAAGGTATGTGCAGCCGAACGTACTCGAAGCAGCTTGCGAAGTCTCCTGCTTTACTGGTTTCGCCGGACAGAACCTGACTCTTCGTCGGCAGGCCGGCCGTGGACCGCCAACTCAACACTGCAAGTGCGCACATCCACTGTTTTCCAGCGATTCCGGCGATTCCTGGAACATCGCTTCCCCTACCAACCTATGTATCCGTTGCCTTTCGAAGACAAGGTTTCTTCCTGTGAGCTCTGCCATGGTCTACAGCCGAAGGTGCGAACACCCAGATATGGCCATATCAATGCCCCATTGGCATAAGAGATTCGCGCCATGCACGCAGCAAGCCAAGGCACGTCACGCGTGCGGCTTGTCTCGCATCATCGAATTCTGAGCTCCTACACGCAAACTCTCGTCTCTGCATCGTTGTAAAAGCTGGCTTTGCTACCAGCAGTCAGAACCTTCTGTACATTCGGAGTCGCTGCCCGCCCGATCATATGGGCGCTCAGGTGGCAGGCTGTCATTCTTGGCTGTGTGCAAATGCGCTTCAACGAATCTTCTGAAACTGCTGCTGATGGCTAAAAGGAATCATGAGGTCCCAGCTTTGGATCTAGTTGCTTTGGCTTTGCCTGCATCATGCAGACATTCCACTGGGCCATGAGAATCACTGTGGTGGCCTCGAGGTTTGTGGCGAATAAGCTCGTGGTGACGAGCAAGCATTGCAGCAATGCCAGCCCGCAGCTCCTGATCCTGCTGCGCACGATGACTTGTCAAACCTGTGGAGACAGCCATGCGCAACCAAAGTAGGCGTCCTCCTGCTCGTCAGCAGCATCTGCACCTCTGCCCGCACATCATCCCCCGCGGTGCTCTGCCACACACTTGCACCAAAATTTCCAGCCTCCAGTCTCAATACCGTTCCGATCTTCGCAGCCTGCCTGTGGGAAAGTCGCTTCAGGGCCAAGGCAGCAGATGACCATGTCAGCCACTCACACCGAGGCCTTGCGCTTGCGTACCTTGCGCCGTCTCTGTGAATGCGCGAGGCATGCACTGCACGTTCTTGGAAACGAGCAACTGCAGGACTAGGTGACTAGGTAGGAGCTGCTGACATCCACTGCACAGACGCATGTCGCAAGTCCATGCATGTAGCCATGCAGTGCTGCGCTATCTCGGCCCAACGCCTTCGGCAGCATCGCACGCACGGCTGCACGCAGTTCCCTGTCCTGTGAGCGACAGATGATGTTGGCCTGGCAGGTGGGCCACGACAGTAGGACGGAGAATCACCCTGTGCTGCGAACGTTTCCGAGGGCGCACCATGTACGAAGCAAGGGCAGCTGCATCAGCTTCCTATGACCAGACAAGTCTATTTGTCAACTGAAGAAGGCATTGTTCTGCTGCAATTGCCTCTTTTTTGAGCGGCTCTGCAGCAGGTTCTTCAGCCCTGATCACAAGCTTCCACTGAAGTGCATTGCCACAGCATCAGTGCTCGAATCTCTGCCTGGCCTCTGGATGATGCCAGGCTGGATCATCACATCAACGGGATCGTCTAGCACCTCCTTGGCAAGCTGCCTCGCTGAGCTGTTCAATCTGTGCATCCCCTGATTAACAACTGGCAAAAGGAAGCACCTCAGGCCATCGTTCCATTCATTCACCACCAACACCACCTGCACACAACAGGCAGATTCTGAGAGCCGTGAAGAAGGTGCACCACCTGCGCTGGCGGAGATAGCAATTGCAAGCTCTCCCGCAAGGTGTCCACGTCCTCCTCCTTCCAGCGCAGACGAAGCTGACCCTTTAGTCCAAACTCATCGTCCCATGGGCTCCTTGGAGTGCAGGACCACTAAGATGATCTGACGGTCTTGACGGTCTTGGCCTGGTTCTCAGGAGTCAGCTGTGTCAACTGTGAGTCATTCCCAAATGTGCGTAAGTTAAGCTTGTCTGCACATGTCTCAATCTCAAAGCGGCAAGGAACTTGCCTGGCAAGCCAAGATCATTCAGCACACTCGTTGGCGCCAGCAGCCTCTCGGCTCGCTGCAGCCAGGTGCTTAAACAGCTAGGTCAAGTCATGCCCCGTCAGAGCACAGCCTAAGAAGTGAGGAGCTCGTCCCGTCATTGTTTCCAAGTACCTCTCATGAACCGAACGACACGCAACTCGCTTGCAAGGCCCGTGGGCTTGGGAGCCTTGCTCCAGCCGATGATGTTGCGACATCCCTCGCTCTCGGGGCTTGCCTTTCCCAGTCACCAGGACATTTTTGCGGACGCTCCCGAAGCCACGAAGAGAAGCTGAGTGAGGGTCGGCCAGTACCAGGGTCGTGCACGTGCCGAGGCCATCCAGGTCCTGCTCCTTGCATCGAACCAACGCAGGCCTCATGCAGAATCCGCATTGGCATGACTGAACACTACGGAGGCTCTTAAGTGCCAAAGGCAGTCCAACTCAGCGCCAAGGCAACACTGCGGCTTCGGACCAGGCGTCTGTCGGGCAGCAGACCTTAGCTGTGAAACTCTTTAAAGGCGCCTGCCTTGAAGCAGTCAACCGGCAAAACTCAGTGTGTGGCAGACACGTCCTTACCCTCCAAGATGGCATCCCAGATGTTCTGAAGGATCAGATCTTCCTACGCAAAACGCAGGCAATGTCTTCACACGCTTGCGGCGATGGTCGGACGTGTCCTTCATCGAAAGGCCCAGCTGCTCCAGAACCTTCGAGACTTTGAGCTTCATGTTTTGAAGATTTCTACGTGCAGACTGCACTCTTCAGAAGCCTGCTGCCGCAGCGGAGGCATCGCGCCACAGAAGGGTTCCAGGCGCACTCGTCCGAGCCAAGATGCTGCGCTGGTGGCACCGACTTATGTCGAAGTGACAAAACGCAGGAAAGCTCCCGGATCTCACCGCCCGAAAATGGGATAACTTCACAACTTCGTACTCACTTGCAGTCTTGGATTTTGCACAGTCCTGCACATGCGGCATCTGCATTCTGCACAGTTAGGGTCTTTGCAAGCGGCTTCTCAGCAAATCCATCCTGCACAATAGGTCTCAAGGTTAAGAGCAAGCCGCCACAGTCCACCACAGCAGAAGAAGAAGAAGCAGCAGCAGCAGCAAGTGATTGAGACGGAGTTCGGCCGCGCAGATGTCAGCAACAGTAGTACCTACATTAGCTCGCCTTAGGCAGCTGGTGGAGCAGTAGCAGTGGCCTTGCGACAAGGACAGATTCATCACACACGCCATGCTTCCGGTCTTGCCAATCCTGCGTGCTTTGCGACGCTTCCTCCCGCACGATTTTGGCCCAGCTGGGCTCTTTCCATTGCACCTTGTTACACAACCGTGTCACTGGACCAAAAAGAATGCGCCCAGTGAGCTCCGTGCCTGTAAATTCTTCCTGAAAATGGGGAGGCCCTGCGTGAGCATCGTCTCGCCCAGCTTGCCGAACTCGTTACTGCAAGGCGGCGTGTTCTGGAGTCAACAACAGATAACGACAGATAACGGCCTACCCACAAAATTTTTTCCCTTGGCATTCGTGCGGGGCAGGGCACTCCATGACTCTCCGTCACTGCGGAGAGATGATGGCGGTGATGGTCGCATGTTGATTTTTCTATGGAGAAGAAAACTTGGTGGGAGCATCTCTCGCAATCTCCCGCCTGCTTTCCGAGGGCAGGATGTAAAGAATGAAAGGGTGCCAGCCAGACTTTGCTCCCTCTCTGTTCCCTTGCGATGCTTTGTGTGGCACTTGTCCTGTACACTCTGAGTTCTCGAAGCTTTGGAGCTGCGCCGCCCGACAGGGCTGCAACCAAGGCCTGCGAGACGCAGCGAACCCAGCATCAGCATCAGCAGCGTCGGCAGCAAGTACACACCGCTGCCTGTATGCCGGCATCCTTGATGTGGTTGTGTGACAGGTCAAGCTCTGTTACATCCTCCGCACGTGCCATCCACTGCCACCACGGAGCTGGTGACGCTCCCCGCAAAGGTGACATCTCACCGCGCCTCATTGTCTTTCAGCTTCTCGATGACTTCAGCCAGGTCCTCGTCAGTTGCCTGGCATTCCAGAAGTAAGTCCACGAAACTTCGCACGACAAGGACCGGCACCTGCAGAAAGCTGAATCTCATGGACTGAACGCCTGCAGAAAATTGAAGGTGTCGGCAATAAGGTCACTCGTGCCAACAGCCACAAATTCATGAAGACAATGCAAGAACTGGACACTCTTCGGCTTAGTTAGGCCTGGCGCAAGGGCATCGTGCCAACGCGAAGAACCCCTCACCATGTCCTTGTGAATATCCTGCGTAGGCCACAGTGTGCGACTGCTTGTCGGAATGCACAGTGCACAGCGGTCCGACTTGTGGTTGGACGTTTCCATGTCGTCCAGCGTACATCCAGGCGAGTTGTATTGGCAGTCCTGACCAGTGCATCTGGCCTAGCTCAGCTATGCTCAGCTGCTTAGACACAGTGGCCATAAGAAGAAAATCTTTGGTAGAACAACAAGCGAAAACAGCGCTTCTCCACTGCACTCGGCCAACATGCAGCACCACTTCCATGAGCGTTGCGGAATGTCCACTTTTCGGTCCTTGGGCCACTCCTTCGTGTACCAGGGAGGTCGCTCAATGCCATTGTTCTCGGCAGCACCACGGTTCATGCCGGCATTCAGGTCCTGACTTCTCCACATGTCACGTTCGGAACGTTCTGCCGAAGTCAGTGCAACGCATCCGCATCCTGGTTGAGCTTGTGCTCGGTATGCGCCTACCCGCCACTTGTTTGCAATCTGTGTTTGGCTACAGCTGGCCGCTCTCAGCAGCACCAAAAATCTAGTGTCATGATGAAGGCCGCATTGGCATGCAATTTGTCATGTCAGCCATTCGAAACTGTACCTGTGGAACTGAGGGTCTTCCAAGATGCCTTGTGCGTGTTGGGGTCGACCTTCCCCTCTGAAGATCCCTCTGGGCCATACAAGGGCTTGTCCTTGGCCTGCGATGCAAAAGTTGTAGCTGACATGATGCGACTGGTCTTCTCAACACTTCCAAGTGCGGAGCCTTCTCGAGAAAGCCTCGGCTCAAGCTGGAGGAGGTAGTTGCGCCCGGGTAGCCCGAGGTAGCCTCCACAAACACTGGAAAGCACCAAGCGCTCCCTCCCGTTCAGGCCCTCCGTCGTGCAGGTGTAATTGAATGGCAAGGGCTTTTAAAGGGCTTCACGGGTAATCTCTTCGAGCCCGAGAATGCCTCTGCCTGTGGCTCATCCACCTGCTGGAAGCAACTTGCACACGTCGACTTGGGTGGAAGGCGAGAGGACTGAGAAACTCAGCAGAAGGCAATCTCTTCCACCAGCACCATGCTCAGATGCCCACAAGCTGGCGCAAGCCTATCTTATCTTTCAGGGGGAGAGCCTTAAGCTCAAGGGCTCTCAAGGGCTCTCACGGGCTCTCAAGCTGCGTACAGCGTATATTTTAGGGTTGCTTTCACGGACGGTGTCAGCAATGACTACGGCACAGGGACTTCCAGCACCAAACAAGCTTGCCTGAACCAAAATACACATCGCTGACCATGTGACGACTGGCTGTCGCATTGCATTACATGTGACCCTTCCCGAGATTGCAGCAAGCAGCTCTATTCAACATCTGTGCGACGCCTGAAGAATCCTCTGGCCGATTGCCCTTGTCAATTCGCCGAGGTTTGCTGTACAGCGACAAGAGAGTGAGGCACCTGAATGATTATGGTTAAAGTATGGAGAGCAACTAGCCATCATGATTATGCAAGCTGCTGTCAGTTACGAGAGTCACCGGCACGGTTCATGCAAGGTCTGCTTGTTCAGTTTGAACTTCTCATGCTCTTCCCTCTGCCCGTCTCTGTCCTCCTTAAGTTTCTTACTGACAGCAGCTCAAGGAGGCAATGTAAACCCTCTGCACATACTGTGCGTGATCAGATTTGGCACAGAACCTCATGGAAAACAGTGTGTGCCGAACAGGGTCTGCACCCTGACAACTACGAAGACGGCCAGCCAGGCTCTCCATCATGCTCAGTCTGGTTTTGCAGATCCATGCATTGCAAGCCTTCAGGCAGCAGCATGCTTTCAGCCGAAAGATTTTCAGCTTACACCATGCGCAGATGAATTTGGCACGCAGCCAGGAATCCTGTGCAAGAGACATGACGTCTCAGGCAGGCAAGAGTGCGGGAAGAAAGGGCTGAGGCCCTTTCTTCACCCCAAGACTCAGCCGTGAGCAGGGGATGCCTGTCATCCATCCCCCAATCTGACACGGCTGAGAGGCATGGGTCATATGTACAAGTCACTGAATTCGCTTAATCGCAGCCTTTTGGCACCTTTCGGGCTCTGTACATGGCACCAAAAGAACCATTGCACGACAAACAGATATGGGCAATCTCGCGACATATCGCAGAAAGCCCATGACTCGCCCACATGGCAGTCACACTATTCGCAAGCGACCTCGGCTCTGCGCTGGCTATTGTTGGCCAAGGTGCGGCACAAACCGACATTACAGCTGATAGGCGGCAGACGGCGGCAGCGGCTGTGCATTAAATCGCACTCGACATCACCTCGGGCAGCGAGGGGGGGAGGGGGGGGGGGGGGGGGTAGAGCGAATCAGTTTTCCACACATTGTCCAGGGCCCCCGGCTGCCGCAAAAGGCATCGGCTCAGGTCTTGGATCGACCTCGCAGGTTTTGCGGCTGTCCAAGTTCGTCGAAATGGCAAAGTGGCAGTGACTGTCGGGTCCAGAAAGAGTTAGTCGGAGCTCCATGGCGGAGCGGACCAAGGCTCGGCCCATTTGGGGGTGGGAACAAGTTGAGTTTCGGGCCCCGACAGGACCAGCTGACAGAAGGAGGTCCAACGAGATGGTAAGACAGGGACCCAGACACCCCAACCTTGCGTTTATGGGTGGGCATCCAGATGGCCTCGCCGTCGTCGTCCCAGTCGTCGCACCGCAACTCAGGCCTCAACTTGAGCTTCGTCGACCCCTTGCCGATGCCACAAATGTTTCTGAGGTCTTTCAAGGCACCGCGCATGTTTGGCGAGCTCTGGGTTGACGCCTCCAATCCAAGACGGGCTCTGCACAAACGGGGCATTGGGCCACACGACAGAGTGGGAAAGTGGGCGCAGGCACCGTTGAGAAGGACTCGAAATGGCCCCGTGGAGAGGCATAGCTGGGCCGCTTCATGGCCGGTACCTCAAAGGCGGCATGAGCGTGGCATGGAAGCAACAATCAAGCCGCGCCCCTCCCCCCCCTTCTACACATATTTTTTTGAGCAATAATTTACATCTTCTACAAGATATGCTGGTATACTTACGTGTCCAACCGAGCAGTGGCACGGGCATTGTCATTGGGGATGTCAGAGGGGCAGCAGCTTGCAGGGCTCGCAAATGCGACCGCCTGCCACACGGCCAGGCAAACAGAAAGATACCACAAGTCTCTACTCCGCGTGCCCCTGAGGCCACGGCTGCTCTGCAAAAGTGTCGCTGGCATCTCCGATTCCAGAGCGAAGATAGCAACAGACCTGCTTCATCGGCCAACTTGCACACCGAGCACTTAAGAGAAACAGCAAACCAGCAAAACCCTAAATTTCTCTCGGGCAGCGGCTGATTGCTGGAGCTCTGCCATGCGGCTCTGATCGTCAAACTGTCAAAGCAAAGTCAAGGAGAGAGGGGTGGGGGCAGGGGGAGGGGGGGGCAGACGTGCTAGCCCGAAGCAGCACCTGCATTTCTGCGATCTCATTGCACAAGCGCTTCACAGACTGCAGCTTCTGCTCGATGGAGGCCTCCGGATGGTAAGCCACTCTTTTGGGCGTGCTAGACGAAGTCGAGCTTTTGATATACACATGTAGTGATTTGTTTCAGACCGGAAGACAGGGAATCCAAGAGGTACTGCCTCCAACTCCGGCAAGAGCATTCGCAGCTCCAGAGGAGGAGCTCTGTTGGAAAAAGTCGCGCTGAACTGTCGAAGCCTCAGAACACTAGCTCACTAGGGCTCTCCAGGCGACGGGACCCATCGAGGTCGTCACCCGTTGTGCTGAGCGAGTCTAGAAGCCAGCCTGGGTCTTTAGCCAGGCAAAGGGCAAGCTATCTGCCATAACCTTTCATGCGGTGCACTCGCCCAAGACTTTTCGAGATTCGGGGGATCTAAAGATTAAGCCCAGGACGATACTATGTCCTGTGACGCCTGCTGGTAGAGCTCAGCAAGCCTGACTGCGTAACTTTCTGATGAGGTTTTCCGACGAGATGTTTTCATACTACCGTATAAGATTGAGCGGAAGTTGCACACAAGATCAAGTTAAGGCAGGGCACCTTGAGAAAGACAAGAGAAATCAAGATAGAGGGAGAAATGAGGATTGCCGAACACAACCTGGTCGGAAACTCAGGCTTCTTCTGCTTCTATGCAAAAGAAAGGCCTCGTGTTGAAAGCGGAAGCGAGTTAGGTTTTCAAGGAACAAGGAATTTGGAATTGCAAAGCTGAGCAAACTCAAGTCTTCAATGTCGTCACATATCTTCGCATGTCTTCACATGGCACAACTGGCCACAGTGAGTGGCGTACTGCTCGCCCTGGTCAGAGCTCTCTGAGGCTGCCTCGCTGAACAAGAATCAAGTCAAAAGATGTGGTCTCACACGGCCTCAGACGCGGCCTGGCTCGGTGTAGGCACGGCTCTTTTTTGTCTTGCCTGAAATGCCATGCCAGCAGAGTCGCACTTGCCAGCTCCCTAAGGGCCACACAGAGGCCCTCATCTTCTCCATTTGGCTCGTCTTGTCCTAACAGCGCGCAAGCTGCGGCAAGTCGCCGCTCGCCAGGAAAGCACTGCAACAGCAACTTAGGCCGCGTCTCTGCGGATGCCCACACCTTGCAGTTCGACGGCCAAGCTTGACCTGATGCCGAGCTGATGCAGGCTCGACTGCATACATCTTTAAACAGTGCTACATGGCACGGTCATTTGCGCTGACAGATGTTCGGCATGGTGAATTGGGCTACAAGCACTTCAGAGTTTGGTAGAAGCCCTGCTGCTTCCTGGCAGGGACGGCAGCTTGTTGATCGCGGAATCGTGGACAGTAGTTATCCCCGTTGCCGAATTACGTGGTACTTGAGCGCCATTTTTTGCTGTGCAGCTTCCGCCTTGGCATCACTGTTAGAGCTCTGCCTATGTGAGAGAAGGTGACGGCCTCGGAACACGAGCATGGACTTCGACCAGCAACTTTAGAAATTGCAGTTTGGGATGTTCACCGTTATACTAACAGTCCTTAAAATAGGGATTATACTAGGGGGCACTATAATCCCGATAAGGCCTGCTAGTATAAGGGGGAACATCCCAACATCACAATGTCTTCTGGAGCTAAACCCATGCAGTTCATTCTCGGCTGGCCTTTTCGCGTTTCGCTGGTCATACACTCCCACATTGCAGTGCACTGCCCTCGGCACGTGTGAGCACGGCGTCTCTCAAGAGTCACAAGGCTTCAGAATGCCAGTGCCAAGGATGTATGGTGTTGCATGATGGTGCATGCAAATACCTCGCGACTGCTTCTACACACAAGATACCCAGATATGCGCAGCTTGTTCGTTTCTTCTGTGCTCTCGGCTTGAACTTGCAGCTGACATGGATGGAACATGCGGCCGAAGCTGCTGAAGACATTCAGGCTCACCACGCAAGCGCACAACGGAAACTTAAACAGAGTTGTTTGGCTCAAACACCTTTCTTGCTTCCACAGAGCTGCAGATGAAGATTGTCGCAATGACTGCTCTGAGCACACACTATCATCAGGTGCATCACAAGCCTTCTGGCTGCAACGGCAGCTCACAACTATAGTTGCCCCTCCATGAACGGTTTGAGTGACCTTGGCTGGGTGTTGTTAGAGAGGCGTAAGAGTAAACTTCAATTCTCCACCAAGTCACAAATAGATGGCATCTGATCTCCTGTCCTTCAACTGCTACTGAGTTGCCACTGTAAACAGCATACATCAGCCGAGTACGAAACAGGATTCAGGGTTGACAAGACAGCTGTTATCCTTTGCCAGGAGGTCTGGGTAGTCGGACCCGTCGAACGCAGACACTCTTGCCTGATCCCGGGTGTTGCGGGCATGCTTCACTTGATGCAGTTCTCATCGGGAGTTGCGGTATCGCGGTGTGCGACGTGGGCGCATGTGGGCACCAACCACTTTGCAAAGTGATGCTCTCAGTGTGGAACGCCATAATACTCCAGTAGCGGCAACGTTTCGCGATCATAGTCCTGGCATCTCGATGTCACGGATGGGGACAGCGACACAGGGGTCAAAGGATGACAAGAAATCGGAGTCCTGAAGCCTGGCTCGAACAGCCTCTGGCTTGTCATCGTCCCGCTGGACGAGTGGCTCGCCGGTAACATCGTCTTGTCCTTCAACCTCTAGGACTCTAGGAATAGGCGGTGATATGCTGAATCTAGGTGAGCTAATGGACAACCGTCATGGGCCTTTGGGGGATTGTAGTCATACGCATAGGTGCGTCCAGATGCAGGATGGATCCTTAAGCTCCAGACCATTGCAACACAGCTTGCCAAACAATCATTGTCTTAAGCAACTTCTGAAGCAATCTGAAGCACTACACATGTGACATAGTGCGCAAGTAACCTCAGTCATGCGCTGAGGGCAAGCAGGCTGCCTGGTGGAAGGGGCTAAGGCAAGTGCCAGCGGCTAGTAATACGTTTGACCTTGGGCAGCAAGAGCCAGAGTCTTCAAGAGGGGCCTCCGCTTCGACTGCTTTCGCTACTCTTGGAGGTCCTGGCTATCTCTTCGGTTGGCACCGCAAGATTGAGAACAAGGTCCTCAAAAAAAAGCAACACGGCAAGGGGGGCAAGTCCAGCCACAGGTGTCAATGAAAAACCAGGTGCTCCACGACCTTTTTGCGCTTCTCAAGGGCCTCTGCCTCGGCAGACTCGCACCATGCAAGCACAGCAGCAAAGGAAGCTGGACAGCATCCCCTACGCTGCCTGGACTCTCGTTCGAGGAAAACCATCGAGTAGGACCCTTTCTGTTTGGATCTCGTCGACCTCTGCCGCTCGAAAACATGCATGTTCGACCCCTTTGAAGAGACTGACAGCTAAGCCACAGAGTTCATTATCATGTCCACAATGAGGTCGTCCGGCACAAGCGCCCCAGCTTGCATGTATTCTTTGGCCTGGCCGCTCGTTCTGGCCGCTCGCTCCGGCCAGCCGGATCAAGGTGACGAGCAGCAATTTGTGCCTGGAGGCCGCACGGCGTGCCCAGACGGACCTGCACAAGATTGAGAGCGGAAGCAGTGGCAGTGGCAGTAGTGGCAGTGGCTTTAGCAGCAAGGGCCCTACATCACCCTGAAAGCCCTGCAGCTCCGCTAAACGCCCTTGCGAAGCTCAGTGCGATGCTTCGCGTAACATGCTCTCGACGTAGTGTCTGGTCTGCAAAAGCTTCCCTGAGAGCTCTGCGACCCTGCAGTGCAGCGATCCTATTTGGTTCTTCTCGCGGTGACCAAAAAGAGTTGGGTGTTGGACGAGGGTTTGGAAGAGATCTGAGTTGCGCCCATGAAGTAGCACTAGTGATTCTCGCCACAAAAGCATGTGTCCAATCGTCCAATTACGAAATCCCCCCCCCTGTACGAGTGTAGTGGACAGAGCGTTGGAGATGTGAAGCAGGCGGCGTGCGGACACGAATCGAGCGACAACTGACGACAAACATCTAAGAACAAATCACAAGCGACAGTAACAATCCTGGGATGTCCTGTGCAATGCGCAATCTAACCAAGGAGCTTGCAGTACGGAACGAAGATTTCCTTTTTCCACACGAAGCATGGATCTATGCGTGGTGATGGTTCACCAGTTTTGCTCCGCTTAAAAAGCGCTAGCTAGGTTGCTGGCGACAGTTTTTGTCGCCGTTGTCTCGTTAGCGCGCGACATACACTCGTGCCTGCAGAGAGTCATCCTCACATTCCTTGCTGTGACAAAACAGCTAAGCACAGAGCTGCACAACACGAGATGTAAGGCACATCCTTCTCACTAACCAGGACTAGGCGATGGACTTTATGCGCTCTTGGAAAAGCCTCATGGCAACAATCTCACCAAGTGCCGAGCCCATCCATCCGAGCAAAGCTACGAGAGCTTATTTGGGGCATAAATAAGCACGGCCCGACGACTCAGTGAGATGCGCAAGATTTCCATTAAACGACATGTTTGACATGCGGGAACCGCCTCCTGAAAGCAAGGTATCTGGATAAGTCTAAAACCCTAAACCCAAACACCACCACCTTGGAGCAAGTGGTCTTAGTGCAGCCGTTCACCGCGCAAAGGCCAACTCGATTCCCGTGCTGGGGTGAGACGCAATGGGTGACCGATGCAAGGGGTGATCCATGCAATCACCCATCATGGGTCTTTTGGTTGATCTCTTCTCAGTCGTCCAGCTGCAGAAGGCAGGCAACCCCACGCTTCGCCCAATACTTTTCGGTGTGTTGCTTCGTTATCGGGAGAAGCAGGGTCATCACGAAGTTGGTACTGTGGCCGGTGGTGGTGAGTGTGCCTTTGCGGCCAGACGTCTTGTACAGCGGCGATGGATAGACTGTTCGGCGGTCGGTGGGGTCCTTCGAAACCTCACATGGTGTCAGGTGAAGTGTCGGCAGCGCGCTGAACAACACCTTCGGAAGACTCTCCGCCATCACTCCGTCATTGTCATCCCAACGAGCACCATCCATGAAGAGGCCATAGGCCAAGCAGCCTGTAGCAGGTCGGCTGTGCTCCGCTGCCTGCTTTAGCACTTTGAAGTTCCAGATCAATGTATCGATGGGCAGCTTCAGTGTTCTGGCATAATTCTGCAGCTGGCCCGTCAGAAACGACTGGGTGAAGTAGAAGCCTGAGAGCCAGAATGCTTCCGGAACGCCCTCATCAATCCACTTCTGGAAGAAGTCGATTCTGGCACATAGGTCTGCTACGTATGACACCAAGGGCTTCAGAGACGGATAGGACACTTCAATCCAAACCGAGGGAGTGTGATCCGTGAGGATCCCATCCGCAAGCATCTCAAGCTCGGCGCTCATAACCACCAAACCCTTCACAGCCTTCTTCACATCCGTCAAAGTACTTCGAACCTTCGAGATGAGCTTGTTGAAGCGCAGCAGCTCTTGGTTGAGAACAGTATTCATTGACTCATTGTAGTCTACAGGGTACTTTGCATTGCTCGCCTCTGTGTCGAAAGGTGGCTGCACCTCTTCGAGGTACTTTGTCGCAGCCTCCATGACCACGTCATCCTGCGAAGAGCCGCCCCCACCGCCTCCTCCCGTCCTTGGCTGAAGGGCCGCGGCCGTGCCCAAAAGGCGCATGGCCTCACTGATGGCCGCAACCAGGTTTGCATTGGCATGCAGCCCGAAGGCCTCTGGCATTTGGTTAATGGGCAGGCTGCGGATGTACTCGATGTACGGCTCCAGGCTTGCCGAGTAGGCCGGGGCATAGTAGACGCCACTTGGGGAGAACTTGTACTCCTCCTTCAGGATCTCGGGGCAGTAGAAGTCTGTGAGGAGGAAGTTGATGCAGCGGCGGTCATGAACATCAGTGACGCGGCCGCCATAATTTGCCTCTGCGGCAGTGTATCGGAGTGCCGCATAGGGAACAGAATCATTCTCCTCTAAGAACATCCTGAGCTGCATCATGCAGATTTGCCGATCGGGTTCTGAGAACTGGTATGGGATGTTCCAGCCCAGAGGTCCGTAGGTGCAACGCTCCTGAATGAGCGCGTGAAAGAAGCAAAGCCCGAAAAGCATCTTCCTGAAGGTTTGCTTGCACTCGGTGCTCTTGGTGCAGGCTTCGGCAAACCAATCCGGATCGATGGATGAGAATGCCCGCAGCAAGTTTGACTTCAAACCTTTCGGCGGTTCAATGGTCATCTTCATGCCGTTTTGCAAGACGGAAATGGGGAACTCCGACGATGGCATTGATGTCAGCCACAGGCGGAACTGATCGTTTACCTTGTCTGGGTTCAGCTCCTCAACCATCACCTCCAAGGTGGGCATCCAGGATGGTGCAAGATGGCAATTCTGCAAAATCACCCAGAGCCCTCCTTCAGTGCCATCGGTGATGGCCCGCCCAGCCTTCGGACCCTGGCCTTGTCCCAAAGAGACCGTCGTGTATCGCTCATTCATGCCCACCTTCTGCGCCAGGCGGATTACTTCGACCATGGGATCGGCTCCTGAGGACAGCACGAAGATCAGGGGCTTGCAGGCGTTGCTGGTGTGGAAGGACTTTTCGAGGTTGAAGCCCGGCGGCTCCAAGAAATTCTTGCCCAGGTTGCTGGAGATGATCTCTTGAAGGCCGGCGATGGTGCAATCTGTGCGCACAGCCAGCAGCACGAGAGCCCGCTGTAGCGCGGACATCTGCTCCTTGCCAGGCCAGTGGTAGGCCACAGGATTATCGGAGTCGAAGAGCGCCTTCCACTTCTCGATGTTGTCCTGGAAGGAAGTGGCAAACTTGTACCAAGGCCCCTTGCCCACCTTGTCCAAAACGCAGATCCTGCTCCACATCTTCTCCGTTAGCCACTCCTCAGCCGGCTTTGGAAGATGGGGACTCCCACCACCAAGAGCCATGAGCAGCAGCCGCTTCTCTTCAAGGTTGATGTCATCATCGACCTCCATGGATTTGAATGCAAGCAGCAGCGAGAGCATGAGCTTATCCTTCTCGAAAAGTGAGTGGCACGTTTGCTCGAAAAGCATCTCCAGGAACTTGGACTGAAGTGCCGTCAGGCGCTTCTGGATGTTCCGCTCGAACCTCTCTGCCGCAGCAATGGCTTGTTCATAGATGGCGTAGAACCATTCCAGGCTGTACTGGTACATCGGCTCCACATTGCAAAGGTCCGCAATCACGAAGAAAAGTGCACTTGCGCGGACCGCAACAGGGACATACGTCGCCCTCGTCTCCTGCACTTGTGCCTGGGTTTTCTCCTGCTCGGCCACGCGCTCCTCGATGCGAAGGGAAGCCGTCTTCGATGTAGCCAGTGTGTTGATCAACTCCTCGTCATCAAGAATGTTGCCCTTGGACTCTGACAGGAGTTGCAAGATGCGGTCCTCAATCTCCTTGAGCTGTGCCTTGCTCTGAGCACTTTCAACAATGAGATTTTGTCGCTTGCGCTCCACTTCGGGCTCCTCTTTTGCAACCAGAATGCCGAGCATCTGATCCTGCAATCCGTCAGGGGTCGCCATGAAGTTCAGCAGCGTAACCTGCACGCACACCTCTGGCGAGTAGTGCGGATTGGGGAGCTTTGTCGTTATAAAGAACCGGAAGTCCTTGTTGTACTCACACTGCGAGTCGCCCAGCCGAATCATCATCACACTCCCAGCTTTGAAGATGGCCTTCTGCAAGAGTGGCTCCAGGAGTGGATCCAGCTGCTCCAAGACATTCTCTAGCAGCGTCGGCTTCCCGTAGGTGATGGCACCTTCGAGCTCGCGGGCATAGCTCTGCGTCAGGCGAAGAATTCGGAGCTGCTCGCCACGTCCTGCGTAGGTCTTCCGTACCCATTGGTTCGCCTGCAGCTGGGGGTCGATCATGAGCGGCCAGCGACGGGACCTCTGTATGATGATGGCATTTTCCACAGACACCTGATCGTTCGGAAGCCTGTCAATGACCCACTGGCGGATCTGGACCTCGTCCCCAAGGACGGTGCGAAGAGAGAACTCCTGTGCCGAGGGGAGCTGGTTCTCCTTCATGAGCTGCACCCAGCTCTTCACCGTGTCTACACGATACCGGCCAGTGAAAGTTCCGAGGTAAGCCAGGATCCCGGAGCCGATGAGAACATCTCCGGTGAGGTTGGTGTACTGCTCCCCAAGCCGCTTAGATGACTCGATCCAGCGTGTCTTCTCACCTCCAAGGCCGCTGATCAACTTCTCTGCTCGCACAAGGCGCTTGCTGCAATCATCCACCTGCACGGCCAGGTCATCTTTCTTCTTCCGAGCAGACTCGAAATCTGCCAAGAGCGTGGCCACGTTGTCCTGCACAGCTTTCAACTCCGCCTTCTTCTCATTCAGAACACCCATGACCTTGGCCAGCTCAGACTCCGCCTGCGCAAGCGCCGCCTTCTTGGGCCCGACAACTTTCGCTACGCCGTCATATACAATCATGGCACGGACCCACTTGCAAATGCCCATGGCCGCCGTGGAGGCCTTCTTGATAACCTCGGGATCAAACTCGGGATCATCCTCCAGAGGCTTCAGCTTCTCGATGACCTCTACCGGGATGTGGTCCTTGTCATATCCCAAGAGCCGGTCCAACATCTTGGAGTCACCCCAGAGGCTCTTCTTCGACGGCTCCCAGTAGTCATCAATCTTCGTCCGGCCATCCTCTGCAGTGACCTTCTTGGGCTTCACATCGAACATCCAGCACAAGGCCTTCGACACGGTGATGACTCCCTCCGGAGGGGACTTCATGTTCTTCACCTCCACGATGTCACCTTTCTTGAGGCTCTTCAGCGCATCCAGCGCGGCGTTCAAGGCCGGCAGCGCCTTGTCCAAGTCGGCCTGGCACTCCTCTTTCATGGTGCGTGAGGCCTCTGCCTGCTGGGATGCGGCCTCCTCTTCTTTCGCCACCACTGCCTGCGTTGCCGAGGCCTCTTCCTGCTTGTGCTCGATCACGGTCATGAGGTCAGCTGTCTCTGCAGATGTCTGCTTGAGAACGGGTCGAAGCTCTTCCAGCTGGATCGACATCGTCTTCACCTGCTCCTCAGTGGACACCACTTTCTCAAGGCCATCATCGTAGCGTCGCTTCGCACCGGACACATCCTCCCGCTTGCTAGCCAGGACTCCCTTGAAGGAGTTGATAAGCTCCAGGTATGATGTTGGCGTTACATAGTAGTGGCGCTGCACCTCGCGCCGGAATCTGTCCGTGAGCTCGAAGACAGACTCTTGCATCCGGACACAGATCTCCACCACTCCAGTGAACACATCCTTTGCCAGCTCCACCTTCTGCAAGAAATGGGTGGCCACCCCACGAAGAGCTTCTTCTGGCCACTCCATGAACCAGTCGATAGTGCAGCAGTTGACGATGGCTGGGAACATCCGCACGCGTCGGCGAAACGCCTCGCCGATGGGCGACAGCGCCAGAACAAGATGAAGGTTCTTTCGGCACTGTTCCGTAAAGAAGGCAAAAACCTCTGCGGGGTCACTGCACCCAGCGGCCTGGGCTGCCGAAGTCGACACCTCAAGAATCTGCGTCTTGTCTTCGGCATTGAAGAGGTTCGGAACCTCACCGTTGTTCAACAGGCTGGATGTGTCTTCTAGGAAGGATTCCTTTGGAATCTGGGTGTCCGCAAGCAGAAAGGTTACTTGTGTGGAGCCTCCGACCATCATCAACAAACGTTTCACATCATCATGCCAGTCAGAGACGCTGTAGTTTTTGGTGATTTCGATTGAGAACTGCTCGTACTCGGCCACAAAGGTGGCTAAGGACGCCAGGCTCTTTCGACCACTACCTCCAACACCGACAAGCAGCGCATTTCCGAGTGGAGTCTTCAGCACGCGCACAATGCGACAGATGTGCTGGGCAGCGGCCATGAAGAGCACAAGCTCCATGCTACGCTTTGCCATGGAGTTGTAGTCCATGAGCCTATTCTTCAACACATCATCAAGCTGCTCGTAGTCGGCGACCTGCTGGTAGTAGGGCGCCTTGCTGTCGGCGAAGTCGATGAAAATCAGCGGCTCCTGCTTGACGACGGCCTTCCACTGCTTCTTGAAGTGCTCCTGAAGCTTCTCCTGCAAGAGCTCATTGAACCATGCGTTGTCCTCCTCATTGACGAGCCGGTCCTGGAAGACGCGCTGGCATTCATGCACCCAGCATCTGATGAAGTCGTCCGGAGTAGGGAGCGACTCTTTGCTGCAGAGGCAAATGCCTTGGTTCACCTTGGCCAGATCCCTCAAATTGAAGGTGTAGTGCGACTTGGCAGGAGTCGGGAGCATGTTGGCCGAGATTGAGTGGTACACGTCAACAGTGGCCCGGACAACATTCCCACTGAGGGCACCCACCTGGCTAGGGAACTTGGCCAAATACCATTGAAGCACTGTTTGAAAGATCCGATGAAGACTCTCACCCTCGAAGGGAAGCACGTAGAAGTAATTGTAGTGCCTCATGTAGCGCCCAGTGATCTGGGGTCGACCAGCGCTGGGCGTCAGGGCAGCGATGAAGTTCAGATCCACCAACTGCCGGTACTCACACGTCTTCCTCTCATACCAGCCACTGGTATCCATCCACTGCCTCAGTAGCTCGATTGGCGGTTGGGCACCATACTTCTCCTTGGCAGGCATGTTCAAATCGTCCACGAAAACTAGGCAGCGCTTTCCAAAAGGTGGGCCATAGCACCCCTTCTTCCTCTTGTCCAGTTTGCCATCGATCACGTCCTGAGTCTGGTTCGCGCTGGACTGGGCGCTGAAAGCAAAGGCGAAAGTGTTGTACTTCTCTCGGTCGAACCCTTTGAGCAACTGCTGCTGGATCACCACCGTCTTCCCGGTACCGGTCGGACCTGCAAAAAGCACGTGACATTCGGCTTTGACTAGCATCTGGAGGAAGAACGCATTTCTCACCGTATCGGATGTGGGGACGATGAGCGAATGGGCCTGCGCATCTTTGGGGATTTCAAAGGTGCCGATCTTCTTGCTCCAAGGCTCCCACTTGTTGCTCGGCCCGACCGGGAAGTAGTCAAACACACTGCCCTCTTCAGGGAAGCTTGGTGACCCGCCACGTGCCTGCGCGCTCGAACGTAGGGCTGGCTCGTCGCAGAGGAGCCCAAACTCCTCCTTCATGCCCTGCGTCTGTCCTGAGACCAGCTTTCGGAAGAAAGGCCCCAGCACGTTCCTCCCGTCACTGTCCGTGACGCAGCCGAAGCTCCATACCAGGCTCAACCAGAAGAGCGCCTCCAGTTTCGCCTCCTTCTCCTTCACAGACAGATCCTTTGTGTTGGGATCCAGCGGCAACTCTGCCTGGATGAGTGCCGACATCAAGTTCAGAAGGTTCAGCACCAACCAGTTGACACTCACTGGGACGGGCTTCGCAACCTTTCGGGAGACCATCTCGAAGACAGCATCCAGCGACGAGTCCATGAGCTCCTGCAACAGTGGCGCCTGGTCTTTCAGGCGATCCGGCAATCTCTCACACCAGGAAGTCACGAGAACGCGCCAGCCAATGTCTTGCTGCTCCAAGAAGACCATACCACAACGCGAGACCGTGGCGGGAGACGCAGCTGACAAGTCCTCGACCTCAAACATCATCGTGGTGACTGGAGTCAGTTTGATGATTTCACCGCTGTTTAAGCACAGCTTCTTGTTGTCGTCCAGGACTGTGTTCAAGTTCTCAATCCACACCGCATCCACGGGACCATCAAGCAGAATCCACTGCCTTTTGCTTTGCTCAGCGGCTGAAGCATGACGAACCGTCAGGGCCAGAATGCCGTCCGTCCATTCGTGTGTAGCTTCATCATTCTCGCCGTACAGTTGCCCCTGCGTTATCGACTTTGGATTGATCTTGTGAATGAGCACTGGCAGGTAGCTGTCGCCATCAGCCACTGCGGCAAGAGCTGCAGCAAGGACGTTCTCCACCTCCGTTTTGCCAGACACTGTCTGCCCCACCAGCATCAAGCCATGACGCACCATGATGGTTTCCCAGAGCTGAATGCATTTCTTGACGAAGCCCTCAACTGGCTGCAGGACAAGGCTACGTGCCGAGCCCTCAAGCTCATTGATCAGCACGCCATAGTCAGATGGTGGAAGCTCCACTTCTGGAAAAAGGTCTCCGGTAATGCCCAGGAAGAGGGGGATGTCATTGCGGGTGAACTTTGGCAAGTTGACATCGTTCAACGCAGACAACGCCAGGACCTGCTCCGGGCGGCTGGAACCATACTGGCGGCGGAGAGCGCCAGCCCTCACAAGTATCGACTTGAGCGCCCGCATGCCGAAGTCGTAGTGCTCTTGCGACGAAAGCTGCTCGGAGCTCAGCCGCAGACTGCCCACGGCCTTTCTGGCCAGGTTCTTAGCATCCTCAAAGCCATTGGAATACAGAACAATCTCGCCGATCAGGGCATAGTCCGGGACCATCATGGCACATGGCCGGAAGAGCGCCTTGAGGTTATCCGGCAACTCCGACCGCCCTGCATAACCTGGGTTCATGGTGATGTTCACAGCGCAGGAGGGCACCAACCGGATCTCCATCTCTTCGAACCAGAACGTCTCCCTTTTGTCCCGTATGGCGAACTGGATCGTCTGCACCTGCTGCGACACCACGGACAGCACCTCCAGGTTGATGCGGTTAAACTCATCGAAGCAGCACCAGGCTCCCGAGGATGCAATGCCTTTGAAGAACTTCCCCATGGCAATGTAGTCCAGGCCATCCGAGCAGTTGAAGACCACACACTGCACTGCCACAGCCTTTGCCAGATCCTTCGTGCTCTCCGTTTTTCCAGTGCCAGCAGGACCCTCTGGGCCACCTCCATAGTAGAGATGGAAAGCCCCCATGAGCGTTCGGTAGCAGCGGTCTGTGAGCGGCGTGATAACCAGGCGATCACTGTTGCCCAGGTACTCGAAACCGTAGTAAAGCGTGGCGTTGATGATGGAAACCTCGCACTTGTCCACCGTGCTGGGCTTGCCGGTGTCCTTCAAGGTGATGGAGCCTTTCTGGCGCCAGTAGTACCGCAACTGCGCAATCCAGTCAAACTCCTTGGAACTAGAGATTTTGGCCTCCTTCAAGCTCAAGACCACATCACGGTTGTGCACATCGATGGTCACCAAAGCTCCGAGTGTCTGCCTTGACAGCTTAGACAGGTCGCCCCGCACCAGGTTCACCAGGCCGCTGAGCTGTTCGACACTCTTCTTGTAGTAGGCATCCAACTTACCAGCCTCGATGGCCGACGCCACCTCCTGAGTCCAGTAAACATTGTCGATGCAAATGACCACCTGGCCAGGCCATTCGAGCACCCACTGCGTTCGCTCTGTTTTTGCGTAGGCCAGCAAAGAGGCACCCGTCACCTTCGTGAGGCTGTCGATCATGGAGCCCTGCACCTCCATCAACCACTTCTCCACGTTGCCTTTCTTCTCGCCTTCGACCACATTCACCGGCTGCGCCAGCTCAACAACCTCGCCTTCCACAGACGACATGGCTTCGATGATCTCATTGGTGCTGTTGAAGCGGACCTTGCTGATTCCTTCGAAACACTTCCCCATATGCGGCTGAACCGCAGTTGGGTCCTTGGTCTGGGAAAGAATCATCAGCAGCTCGTCACTCGACAGGAAGAAGAAGCGGGGAAATGCAAGTCGCTTTGTGTCCAGGTAGTCGTTCAATCCTTTTTGAATGGCGTCCAGCTTCTTGTTGGCATCAGTGAAGCTTGCAAGCAGATTCTCAATCTCTGAGACATCCAGGACGTTGGGATTTTCAGCCACCGATTCCATCGTGGTTCGCCACAGGATGTTCACCTGCTGGAAGCGTTTGGCTTCGTTGGGAAGCTGCTTCTGGATGTCATCGGAACTGAAAATCGGCTCAAGGTACAGCCATGAGCGCTGCATAGCCAACCATTGCTCCAGCAGGTCTTGGATGTAAGCGAGCTTCAGCAGCCAATCCTTCACCTCCTTCTCAATCGGCTCCACGAACGGGGAGCCACGAATGCCCATCGACTTCACGATGTGGTCATCAAGCACCGCCTGGATCTCGTCAATGCCTCTGACCATGTGAGTACCAGCTTTGTGTGCAACAAGGCCAAACTCGATGGGACGCCACTCCTTCTTCATGGTGGCCAAAGCTGTCTTCAGGCCGTGCTCCTTCTGAGCCTTGACGCTGATCCGCTCCAGGGTGTCGATGTGGTCCAGGATGCCCACATCCAGCATCTGCTGCAAGGTGATGCCGTCTTCCATGTCCATGTCCATCTTCAGCTCCTCAAACAAGTCGGAGAAGTGCCGCGGCTCGAAGGCCTCCTGGCACAAAGCGCGGATCACCGGCATGTTGGCGCGGAAGTTCGAGATCTCCTCCCGCAGATCCTTGGCCACCGCCAAGGGGTTCTCGTTCCCCTCGAACTGCTTCATGGTCTTGTAGCTCTCCTTGTACTGCTCCTCGACCACAGCCTCAAGGGACTCAGGGAGGGGGACCCGTATAAGGGACCTGATAAGGGTTATTTAGGGGCTACGTCGGTCGAAAGGGGCCATATTTTGCTACATGTAGGGGTTACGGTCTTCCCCCTTACAAGCCTCGATTTCTTCGGCCACCAGGCGCTGGACCATGCCAGTGAGCCACTCCTCCTCGGAATGCTTGAAGTCGATGGCACTCGTCCAGAGCTTGTAGAAGGGCTCAAAGGCTTCACTCATGACCTCCACAGCAGAGTAGTCGGAGACATCCATGCCGAAGAGCCGCTCCCTGTCCACGAAGCTCTGCACCCGCTCCTTAGACCGGTCCAAGTTCTCCCGGAGAGAGTAGATGCGGTGCGCACACTTCATGGCCAAAGAGTAGTCATTCAAACTTCTCACCCATTCCAAATCTTCCTGGTACCGAGCCATATCTCGCTCGTACTCTGTTTTCTCCTGATCCAACTTCTCCATGAACTTTTGCTTCTGCGAGTCCAGGCTTCGCTCGGAGTCTCCCACGTCGATCTGGATTTGCAGGGGCCATGCAAAGGAGGAGAAGGCACGCTCCACGACCTCGCTGTCAATCTGAAAGCTGAAGTCTGCAAGCATGTTGATCTGCGTGTGGATGTGCCGTGTGGTCTGCATCAGCGGCTTTGTCTTGAGCTGTGGCAGGTCGCTCATGAACTGCTTCAATTCTGCAAGCTCCTCCTCATCCTCAGGATTGGACAAGATGCGCTCGTGGGTCTCATGCCACTCCGTGAGGACCGCCTGAGACCGCTCCTGGATGTTCTGCGCCACGGTCTGCAGGCAGCAGCCTCCCAGGTGGTAGGCCCTCTGCGACATCTGCTGGATGATGTCCATGCAGTGCAGCTCGAACAAAGGGAACTTGACCACCTCTGTCATGAGCTTCTCAATCTCAGTGCCCGCCTGCAAGTAGGCATCTGTCTTGGCTTGCACAGCCTCAACATCCAGGGGGTCCAGATCGCCTCCGACCTCTTCCCGGAAAAGGTAGGAGTACTCCTGGTAGCTGGCCTGGACTTGCCGGGGTCCATGAAGGCACTCTTCGATGACCTCGGCCGTTGCCGCTTTGGCTGCCCGCAGAAGCTGGACCTCATCCGTGGGACTCGCCTCCTCGCCCTTGTCGCCCTTGTCGGCCTGGAGCTCAAACATCAGGTGCTGCGGCAGGTTGCAAAAAGGCACGAGCTCGTACTCAATGCTCATGATTGAAGATGTCACTTTGGAGAAGCCATCCTCGATGAGATCAAGGATCTTGGCCTTGAGGTCGTCCGGGTGTGGCGCGATCTGAACCTCGCCATGAACAGTCTCAAGGCTCAGCGTCAGCAGCGGGGTCGGGAGCGGCTCATTGATTTTGGGAGTGAAGGAACGGACGAACTCCACCCAGTCTGTCAAGGACATCTGGACAAACCAGCGCATCTGTGCGGAGAGGATTAGATCAAACTTCCGCAGAACACGGTGAAGCGGCTGCCTCAGGTGCTTCTGGGGGTTCTCAATGAAAAAGTTGTTGACCTCGGACATCTTGTCAAGGACCTCAGAGACGATGTAGTCTCTCCAGTGTCGCTCCAGAATGACGGCCACATCCTTTCGATGTTCTTCCATGTGGTGGATGAAGTCTGTTGGAGCGAAGGAGCGGAATCTAGGGTCCAGAACGGCACCAGTCGGACCTCGAACAGCTCCTTTGTCGCCGGTTTTGCCACAACGCGTGGTGTCCAGAATCCGGTGGCGGTCGATCTCTTCACCGAAGCGGCGCCACACAGCCATAGTCACAATATTTACATTTTTGGAGATGGTCGGTTGCTTCACCAGCTGCGCCGCGATCTCCAGAACCCGCTCCTCAGCGGCCTGATGGGGAACGAGCCCAAACTGCGGTGGCTCAGTTGGGAGGAAGTTCATTAACAGGGGCGCGAAGGGCGTGTCATCCCGGACACAGGCATACGGAGTTCCCATCTCCATGATCAAATCGTTCTTCACCTTCGCGAATTTCATTGACAGAACATAGTTCTCCTCGATCTCCCTAATGAGATCGCGGATGTGGCCCACAAAGCTCCCAGCATCATCTAGGTGACTTCCATGAAGACCTTGTCGAATAAAACTTTCCTTCTGATGACGCAGCATAGGGGAGACAAGCTCGTCCGGCTGCGACTCGATAAAGCGAATGAAGGCCTGCTGCAATTCGCAGTGGGCCTTCTTTGCTCGGCAGGTCTCGACCCTCAGCGCAAAGTTCTGCGCATCTTCGCCATTGAAGCGAAGTGCGAGTCTCTTCACCTGCTTGCGGCTGCCATCCTCCAGCTCCACAACATACCGTGATGTAGCCGCCTCGTATCCCATTACCCAGCAAGGTAGCATTCGCCATTCTTGTGCGACGTAGTGAAGGACTGCCGCCTGGGGCTTTCCTGCCGTGGGCCCTTGCTTGCACAGCGCGAGCCACTCCTCAGGCGTGTGTACCTCGAAGTCCATGGGGCTGTCAAAAGCCTCCAGTGGAAGACCTCCGGTAGCGTCGTCCTCCTCCTTGTGGGGGATGTCTCTCGCATCGCCCCGGGGGCTTGCTGGATTCTCCTTTGGAGGAGCTAACGAGCGGAGCCATTCATCAAAGTCACGACCGACACGAGCCTCTGGAGGACCTCCATGTGGGTAACCTTCCTGAGTCCTTGCACTCAGAAATCCGGCGGAGGCCTTCAACCTATTGGCTGCTGGGTCAGGGTCACTTCGTGGAACAGAGCGGATCCTCCGGCTGCTGCCCGAATGGAGCCCTCCAAGTTTCTCAATTTCACCCGAAAAATCTGTACGCTTGAAGTTTGGCACGCTGATCTTCAGCTTTGGGCCAACTTTCGGCTGACGGGACGTCATTGCTTGCTAAGCATAATGTTTGACTGAGATGCTTCCAAAGCTTGCCACCAACTTGCATGGATGAAGTATGCTCGCCCTTCCGAACCTCTTGTGACATCTCAAATGTTTGCTAATTCTTTGTCAATCTGCTCATGTGCACTAGTTCCACTAGTTTGCTCGGTGAACTACAGACGTCAGACATGATCATGTGCTCTGAAGCCAAAATGTCGACTGGCGGATGGGGGAAGTGTGCTGGAGCCCTCCTTCCTCGCGGACATGAAGCAGGATTCACTTATGAGGGGTTGCGGCTGAGATCCCCTCTTTCTTTGATGCTTTACTTCAAATGGCTAACTCTGCTCCCTCTCTCTGTCTCTCTCGGTATTGCTTCTCCCAAAGGCCTGGTTCCGCAGCGTGTCGCCAGAAGAGATGTGGTAGAACTCGAAATCCTCACAACTGCTAGGCTACCGTTTGCTATGGAATGCCATGGCCAAGGAGCACTCATAGCCAATGTTCACCGGCGTTTCCTCACAGACCAGTCGCTATTCCTGTCCTTGATCAGCTTCTTGCTGATAGTCCCCTTTCCACCTGACAGTCGAACCAAGCCACTCTGACGCCACAGGTCAGAAGCTCTTCTGACCAAAAAAGCAATGTAAACTCTCGTGGTGTTGTTGATGTTTGTACGCCATGCTCAGGAGAGCACCCCCGGGTGGGCCCATGATCAATGTTGTTTTTTGCCGCACTGCCTGACACGACACAAAACACGCAGGCAGAAAGTCGTGACTCAGTGGCGCATGCACAGCTCACCCAACAACTGAACCAGCACCTGCGACAGCTGCCGTAATCGTGCCTTGAACAGCAGGCTGTTTTGCCCCCCCCAAACTTCTTTCAAAGCAAGAACGACATGTTCTGCTGCCATTGACGCTGGACTTGGGGCGCAGGCCCGCAGATGTAGCATTGCCTGCGTGAATCTCTCACAATCCTGCGGCGGGCGACGCACGATGGCGAAAGTACGCTGCAATGAACAACGGCGCTTCTGGAAACAGAACCGGCCGTGTCTCGACCTCTGCTTCAAATGGCAGGTCTGGTCGGCTGGAGAACGATCCGAGGCTGCTGATAAGAAGGCTGCGAAGAACGGAACAAGCCACTTCAGGCAGCACACGTCGTCTGTCTTAACAAACGAGCAATCGCACATGATAATCCCTTTTTTGGATGCTCCACGCTAGTGAAAAGCAGTATATGACAGAGAAGTCCGATAAACAAATCAAATACGCCAATCAGTTGAAGCACACTCTTGACAACAGGCATGTGTTAACAATTGTTAACATGTCAATACGAATCAAAGGGAAGCCGCGGCTCAACGCAACGATTTGTGGGGTGAAATCCACCGGTGGGATCTAAACTTCTAAACACTTTGCGAGGCGCATGGCGGGGGGCGCGCAGCACCGCGCGCCGCACCGCGTGCAGCCATGTGCAGCCCAGACTGTCGTCCGCAACATCGTGCACCGTTGCTGCGACATTGCTGCGTGAGAACACCTTGACGAATGCTCTACAAGTGGCTGAAGTACATTCAAAAAGATTCTAAACATTGGCTGCAAAACACAACATGCTCCACATGGTCCGAGTGAGACCGGAAGATCGCGTGCTCATGAGGTTGCACCAAACGTCTGAGGCCGGATGTCTCTGCGAATGTAGAACAACACATAGGCGCCCACCTGAGAGAGCATCCCCGAGGGCTTAGGACTGAAACTACGGCAGCCCTGGCCTTGTCTGCAGAGACCTCTTGCTCGGAGCATTGTCGCACGCTGCCATCATCAAAGTGGTACCACCTGGCTTCGGGTCGAAGTGGTCTCTTCGGGGTCATTTTTGGCCAAGCCTTGCTCTAGCACTTCTCGTGAGTTCAGCTGCCTATCTTATCTGGTATTGCAAATGGTGTGCCTCTTCCAGGCCTTGCCCTGATCACTCTCTCCTTCTCTGTGGGATGATTCTTGGCTGACTCATCAAACTCCACTGTTTGTGCAGGAATGCTTTGAGCACAGGCCGTCCAAGAGTTTTTCAGCTGTGTGCCGATGTCCCGTGCTTTTGCAACCTCACCTGGCCTGCAAGGACGCCTTGAGCACGCTAAACTACCCATACACAGTGGCATCTTGCCCAGGTTCCTGAATACTGATCCAATCTATGGTAATCTATGGTACCCCCCCCCCTGCTGAGGAGTTCTGAAGCCAAGCATGCCAGATATGCGAGCCGTCTATTGACGACCGGCAGAAGGCCACGTAGTGACCTCCCCAGTGGCAATGCTTGCATATGCTTGCATATGCTTGCATATGCTTGCATATGCTTGCATATGCTTGCATATGCTTGCATATGCTTGCATATGCTTGCCCCCTTGAAAGTTGCGCAGTCAATAGTGCGCTGGGGAGGCAGCCGCCACCAAGGGAACCAATGTGCTTTGAAAGAGCAGCCAGGTCGTATATCTAGGTGGATCAGAAGACTCGGCTGGTGCTGAATGTTCACACGCAAGCACTACTGCGTTGCGTATCGTTAATTGTGTCCACTTAGGTGTCTGCTGCTTCACCGCTCTGAAGCATAAAAGGGCAAAAGCTCCAAGCTTGACACTTCAGTTTTGTCACCTGAGAATCTGAGACATGCCATGCCGAGGCCACAGCCGGCGGCGACTCAAAGGACTCTCTGGATGAAGCCTTTTGCAAAGCAGATGCAAGGCAGATGCAAGGCAGATGCAAGGCAGATGCAAAGATCAGATGCCAAAACGGCTCCGAGAGGATTGAAGAAGTCTGAGAGCTGCACTGTGCAGAAGGGTCTCAAGTCGAGGCCCTCCAGTGGGAAGCAGACGGGGGTGTTCAGCCGCTCCCGTGACCTAAGACGACGCATCTCGTGAGTGTTTTTGTTTCGTGTTGCGGTTCAGCTTCATTGTGAACTTGAGCTGTGGAGACTCTAAGCGGATTCTTCAGCAGATTCCCGGATTCCCGCCATCGATTGTACTGAAAGCGCTTCAACTGGATAACCAGCACCGGCGGGCAGTGGTGGAACCTCCGCTCATGCACTCCATTGCACTCCATTGATAGGAAGGCTGACTAGTTGGAACGGGAGCTGCCCATGCGAAAAGCGCTGCCCAAGGTTCACACTGCAGTTGCTTGTAGGCTTCTCGATGCCTGGCGATTGGGTCCAGGTACTTGGGCGCCGCCCGTTCCAGAGCTGGGGGCCCTGCTCTTTGCAGCGGCTGCAGTACCAGGCGTCTGTGTTTCCTAGCCGCTCATCCTGCCATACCCCAAGATTGCAGCGCGGTCGGAAACTACGGGTAAAGAAGGAAGGGTCCTGAACAAAGAGTTGCAGCAAGTGGGTGAGATCCACTTCGCCTCGGCAAGCCAGTGCTGTCAACTTGGCACCCTAAGGCAAAGATAACGCGTCGCTAAGATCACAGTGGTGCCTACTAGTAGGTGAGCTTAACAAACCGCAGAAGCACAGATCCCTGGCGCGCTTGTATCTCTTAGACCACAAAACTGCCAGGTTGTCCCGACAAACTGTGAGCTCTGCCGTCCGACACGTCCTCGTTGGTGTTTCTAAACGGGTCCTTTGCACTCTGGAGCTGTTGGGAGTGATCATGCACAGCACTCGCAGCCACTTCAGCGAACCTGGTGCAGCAGGGATGGTATCGCATCCTCCTCGGGCGCTGAATTGAAATGGACAGGAACACATAGAGGCACAAAAGCGTTGCTCCTCCAGCCACTCGACTGAGAAGTACTCTCTGGAGCCCTGCAACAGCACTACCCAATTCGCAATACCTGTGATTGGAAGGCAGAACAGTCGAGGCAGACGCCTTGAAGTCCATGCGCTTGTCACTGTCCGGGTCAATGCTGACCCCGTCCCGCGCGTACTTCTCGAGGCGGTGGATGCGCCAGGCCTTAGCAGCGACGAAGTGAAGTGAAGGGACAAAGTGCGGACGGCAGAGGGAGTCGAAACATGAGCAAACAATCAGCAAATCGAAGTTGCACACCTCTGGCCCAGCATGGATATCCAGCGCTTGCTTCATGTACCGCCGAACCTGGCACTCAAGCTGCGCACGGGGCGCGTTGCTGTGCATTCATGCTCATGTAGGTTCGTTCCTTTGGCGCTGCTGGTGCATGGAAGCTGCGTTGTCTGCGTCTGCGTGCTGCAAACAGTAAGTTTATGGCCTAGCCGGCCAGCTACTTCCAGAACCCGCCCCGTTTCCCTTCCACCTCTGCGTACATTTCTCGCATAGTGGCCTCTGCTTTCGAGCTTAGACAACACATGGCAAGACGCAATCTCACAAGGGCTTCACATCTTCACACATCTCCACACCAAACACAAAGTCCCTGGCATCTTTTCGGATCGCCAGCAGGAAGGGCACTCCTTGGGCGCAGAGATGCGCAGATCGAGGTAAGGCATAGCAGGGCGTTGAAGGGCGCAGGGTGCAGCATGGCAATGGGCATAGGTATGGCAACAGAGGCAAAAAACATAAGAATGACATGCGGACTTCTGTGTCCCGGGCCAAGGTGGTCGAAAGAGGACCACACCGAGTGGGAGTTGGAAGCCTGTACACTGGGTCACAGCGGGATTCGAGGGCAAAGTACAAGTACAGGCACAGATCCCAATTTGCAACTGGATTGCCCAAAAGTTGCCCCGCCTTCCTGTGATTGAGCACAACCTGAGTTTTTGGCAAAAGCAACAAAAATAAGGGTGAAAGAGGTGAAAGAAGTGAAAACGACTGCCCACAGACGGACAGACGCGCACCACCCGAAACATGGCCAAGGTCCCAGCACCGAAGGATGACGAGGAGCTGGGCGTCGGGTCGCCTGAAATTTCAGGACCAATTGAACCCGAAAAAGGGTTATGGTTCATATACCTTCATGGTATCATAGTGGTATAGGGCTCATGGTTCATATACCTTAATGGTATTATAGTAGTATAGGGTATATGAACCCCCAATTTTAGGGTGCCCCGACCCCTCCTTTGGCGGCTGATGGGCCAAGGCCCGAGCTGCCTTCTTCTGGGCTGTTGAGAGCCTCACGTCACCCCGCAGAAACAACGCCGCTGCAAGAAGCAGAGGGCGAGTGTTGGTAGGAATCCAGCATTGAACCCGTAGCTTCCGCTTGAGCCCCAACCTCAGCATACAACTTCCACAAGTAACTGCGTTCACACGGCAGCGACCATGGTTGGCTACAGCGACAGGCGAACCCCCCACCTTCCTAAAGGAAAGCGAAGGAGAGGCGATTCTGAGCATACTACGCTGCTCATTGGTCACATGGAAGGCAGTAGCATCCGATACTTCGCTGAGAAGAAGGTGGTCCTAGAGCCAACGACCCGAGACCCGATGGCTCGTTGACATGCCACCATCACACCACCCTCCTCGGCTCGGATGCTGTCCACGCAAGTATTCTCCTCAAGGAACTGGTGGACCTCAAAGGACCGCTGCCACAGCCCCAAACCCTAAACCCTAAACCATAAACCCTAAACCCTAAACCCTAGACCCTAGAGAGGCGCCTTCTTGTTCCAGACCTCGACCAATATGCACTTTGATGCCTCAAGTCCTGGTTCTGAGCAACCCGTTCTGCCCTCTTGAGCAACAGTCGCACGGATTGCTTCTCTTGTTTCTTCGTCAAGCACATCTCGCAAGTCACCCTTGCTCGAACCAAGTCCTCGCTGGCCTGCCTTGCAGACTAATTAGATAGAATTAGATAGAATCGGCATGCCAGCCCATTCCCTTCTTTATGAGTTAAGGCCTGGTTTATTCCCGTTCTTTGCCTGCCCACCAAGAACCCGGGGCATGAAAACGGGGTCTTGGACCAGGGCAGCGACATTGACTAGGGATCTGCCCGTTCGTAACCGTTTCGGTCCCACAGCAAGCCGGTACCAGTCGCATTGTTGCGCTCTGCTGGCTGGCGTGACCACCCTGAAGCCTACACCCTGCAAATCTCCTTCACCGACTTCTTCCGCGGCGGCTTGAATCAGCTCCTTGACCTTCGAAGAAAACTTTTATGATGTTGCCCTGAATGGAGACTGTAAATCAATGATGCCAGCCCGTAGCAGCAGCTTGGGCACACGCACTCGCTTCTTTGTTCACGCGAACTTTGACCTGCCACACAGCAGCAATCAATCATGCATGCACGGGTTGAGGCTGCGGGAGGAGTCAGCTGACACAGCTGCCTGCTGATAGCCCTTTACAGCTTCCCGCACCTCATGCTTCCAACCGAAGCGGAAGCGGAACAATCTCTTGGCCATGTAATCCGTGTACAAAGCTGAGGCGGTGGCCAGCAAGAGACTGAAAGACGTCTGTCGCTGCTCTGCCTGAAATCACGCCATCTCAAGCCTTGGCAAGCCTTGGGGCATCCTTCAAGATGTCCATGGCTAGGGTTCGAGCGGTACTGGTCAAAGACAGCTTCGCTGACAGGAAGGGGTCAAAGGTGACCGACACCCGTCCACACCTTTTACTGGTAGGCTATGCAGTAGAGGCCGTCTGACTGCTGAAGCCTTCTGAGGTCAAGACTCTTTCTCTGGACACCGCACCACGGATTTAAACAAGCCTGGCGCTGTCAGTCCATGTCCTTCAGCAAAAACTCGACTGACAAGGCTGCGCGCCGACAAAGAGGTCATCGACACGGGAGTTGTTGCGCAGATGATAAGCATCTAACCTGCACCAAAGTCAGGTCCTAACATCAGGGACCTTTGTTTGCGATCTACAATCATAAGGCCGGAGCGCTTCTCGCGCAACCTCTTCATCTGGCCTGCCATCTGCCTGCTTCGGGATTCAGCTGTTCAATACCCCAACCCCTCAACTTCCCGGTTCCTCCTTCAGCTCGATGTAAGGCTTCGGTCCCTGGACGGTGTTGCAGTCCTGCCAAGAAGTTCCAGAGCCACCCGGCGCAACCCCATGTTGTGCTGACAGGTGAGAAAAGCCTCTTTCAAGCCGTCAAGGACGTACTCAATCAACTCCATGGAATCCTGGCAAGAGGTTGGCCAGCACACTTGGCGAGTGCCGGCTGAGTGGCTGTTGCCTGTTGCCCATACCCGCTGAACTGCTCTGCGAACTGGCCTACCTGCACACCACGAAGAGCGAACGAAGAGCCAACGAAGAGAGCGGTTCATGGAGCCATGGAGAGTGCGCAGTTGTTGCTCGGCTTGGCTCTCGGCATGCAAGGTGGCACAGAAGGCGGCACAAGATGGCACAACATGGGCCCGAACCCTGCCTGGTACTTGAAGTTTCTAGGGGCGACCTTCACAGCACTTTCGTCATGCTCGTCGCTAAGCTCGTTCCCAATAATTTGGCATTTCATTTTGGCACAAACTGACACTTTCTGACGATGCCGCCTTCGAAGTGCCCTCCCCCCACATCATCTTCAACCTCACAGATGTCAGCACTCATGTCAATCCGGAGAAGAAGCACACTCAGAAAGAGTGAAAGAGGTGAGTTAGCAAGTAAGGCATCGGCAGATCAGCAAATGCTTCGGCAAGCTTGCCCTGGGTCTTGTGAGCTGTTCGGTTCAATCGCTCCTGGCTGTGGAGCTAAGCAACGGCTGCCAAGGGGGGGTGCGTGCAAGCAGCATGCTCCTTGTCCAATTCCAAGAAATACTCCCTTAACTTTGGAATATTGGACAAGCACTGGATGGAGCTGTTCCTGGGCCAGCAAGACACTCCAACCTAACTTCCCATTCCTTTTGCTCGATTCTTGAGCCTCTACAAAGCGATCGAACCACTGTCTCAGGCAGCGACATGAAGCAGGTATTACCCAGATTCTGCAGGCCAACTGCACCTCGCTGAATGGCCTCGCCGACCTGTGTTCGACTGGCAGGTCTATGCTCCGGAGCACAGAGGCACAGTTCCATCACAACCGAAGCTGAGCATGTGTCCATCGGCACATCTGCGGAACTGTTCTGGTACGAAGATGAATAGTACCCAGATCCGCTTGAGGTCGCTCCCTCAGATATTGACTGGGCAGCAAGAGTGAGGGCACGGACTCAAGGGACTGAGGGACTGAGCTCCCTGAGCTGCCTGAGCACTGAGCTGCCGTGTTTGTTGCGTTGGACTTCATCTCCTCATTGTTCAGGCACGCAGGGGAAGTCAGCGTTGATGGAATGTCCCAGCCTCCACGAAGGTGAACTGGCCGTCTGCATCTTTCTCTTCAAGGAGAATCGGATTGTTATCCATTATTCGCTTGTCGTGGAGAGAAGCATCCTTGGCGGGAGTCTCACTTAGAGGCTTAGCGACAAGGCTCTGGACTTGAAGTCCACCAGCCATGTTCAACAACTTTGAGGACATGTCCATTTCATCTTCCAGTAGCCCAAAGATCTTGTTGTCAAAGTAGTCCCACATGCGCACCTCTGAGACATTCGCACACGGAAGTCGGCAATGTGTCCGGGCATCTGCACGATCAAGCCGAGACACATCTTGGGGTTCGAGGTCCATCTCTGTGCAAAGCCTCTCCTGAGAAGCAGATGGCTGCTGAAGCCTAGCTGCTGCCAGCCGACCCAAGAACACCCGCCTTGAGCTGCCGGATAGTCGAGTTCTTGGACTCAATTATCTGCAGCATGCCAGGAACATGAATGAGCTTTTTGAAAGGCTGCTCACTCGGCGCCACCTCCTTAGGCAATCCAGCCATGTCAGAAGATCGATACGCCTGAACGATGCAGATGCAGTCTGTCTCAGCAACGACAGCAAGGTGCATCATGTGAGCCATGCGGGAATTTACGAAAATAGTAGGATCCCCTTTTTTTAACCCCCAAATAGTACGATCCCCTTAACTTACAAGGACCCCAAGAAGGTACCCCCTAGTATCGTAAACCCCCATTGTTTATGGTGCCAGCCGGGCGCCTTCAAGGAGAGCCCGAAGAGCTCCAGCCTGACACCTCCGGATGCCTCCTGGATTGCACGGCGCTTGATGGGAGGGCCGCCACCTGCAAGGCTGGAGACATGACACGGACTCCCCAACAAGGCTTCCTCTTCATGTTCTAAGGGGCTCAACAGTGCAACGTTGACTCAGATGACTTGCAGTTTTTTGAGTGCGGCACCATACCATTCATACAGCAAGTCCCAGGCATCCTTCAAGGACTCTGGTGGACCGACAACGGCGTGCGGAATCGCATTGTCTCCAGGCACCCGTTTAAACGGGCAGCAAAACTGGCCCCTCTCCTCTGGGACAATCTCATAGTCATGCCCACTCAAGGATCGCTTCATGGCGGTTGCCGAGCCCACCTCTGACAGCCAAAAGCAATACAAAAAATCCCCCAAAGGTCATGTGGCGCCTCAAGCAACTCCCGGTTGTCGATCTCACCAGGGCGATCTTTCGTCCACGAGTGCGTGCGCCTTTGTAAGCATGTAGCTTGTGGACTCTTTGTGGGCTTTCCGTACTCTGCGCCGGAGTCTCAACTTACCAACATGTCTTGAGGTGTGTGCGGCCTAAGGCCATCCGTAGAACCGCCAGCACCCTGAGAAAGGTCCAGTCCTGTCCGGAAGCGGATGTGGTGAGTTGACTCGTGCGACTTTCAGCGCAGGTCAGCACCGTCTATCAGGGGTGGATCTGCCGGGCGAAGCTGCGGGCTCTGAACGCTCGGATGGCCTCGAAAAACAGTCGCCGAATAGGTCCATGAATATACCCCCGGCATGCAATGCCAATGCAAAAACATCTGCTGGGGCATCCGCCAACCCACTGCAGCCATTCAGTGTACCTGCAAAGTTTGGTGAGGCACAACTTCTAGCCCAGCCCGCACGAAACACGGAGGGAGGTACCATCGCCGGTTGACCAGGAAATAAGATGAGCCAGCCTGACAGCATCCAACCATGACAAGGGTGGCCTTGCTGATTCTTCTTGCAGGCCTGCCTTTAAGGGTTGCTTCATCAGAGGGTCTATCCGTCGATACTCCTGGCAGAGGTACAGTTCGGCTTCAGGTGTGGGCGGCACAGGGGATAAAGTCATAGATATCAAAAGACGCACCAAAACGGCGCCTGCGACTAGCACGGTGTGGCAGGGTAGAGTTGGGTGGCGCGAGCCGGCGGCTGTGCGCGCTCAGACAGCTGGATTCCGGGCAGCTTGGTTAAAGCTTGCTCGGGGCACCGTACCCTACCCCACCCCTCCCTCCATCCCCCAAGACCTTGCCCCTGCTTGGGGCTGGGCGCCTTGGCCCCGCCAGCGCATCAGAGAGCTTCCCAAGTTCTGTGGGCACGAAGTTCCCAAGCTGGTAGAGCGAAGCCTTTGCGACGCAAGACGAGCAGCACCAGCAGCGGTCAGCGCACCCGTCCCTGGCTGTTGCGCGCCATGGGGCCTGCACCTCTAAATCAACATAGAAAACGCCAGAGCCAGTTTCCAGCTTCAGCAGCTCACAGCACGCAAAGGCATGTTTGCCACACCCTCCTGAGTCCGCCATCACAAAACCTGACCTCAACCACTCAACAGCGAAGCCTAAAGCCTAACCCTGAACCCTCACACCAAATGGTTGAGGGCTTAAGGGTTTCGGTTGCGAGGGTGTTTGTTGGGTTTGCAGGCTTTCGGGTTTGAACACCCTCAACGTAAAGCTCTAAATCCAAACCTCGACCCTCGACTGCATGCCCTGGCCAGTGGATGAGCTGCATGGACGTATCTGCGCGATTGCCCCGACCACTCCACCGCCCCCCCCCCTCAAAAAACCAATACTAACAACAACAATAAGAATGATAATAAGATTAATATTAGTAATAATCCGCCGACCCCCGTGCACCCCATGGTCTGGTAAGCTCAAAATAAAAAGTCTGAGGTTCACAAAACTATACGGTGAGGCCCGGGAGGTCCTCCACCGGAGACACAGCCTCAGCCTTGATCGCCGGTAGAGGGCCTTCGCCACCTGGTCGCGGGAAAAAAACACAAAACGGCACGTGCAATCCTCTCCGGGAGCCCTCTTCAGGCCTTCCGGCGACATATCTGCCATGGAGGCTCGCTCAGTGAGTTGTCGTATTGTCAGCTCACTGAGCTTGGGTCAGGCTGGGCTACACGTACCTACTCCCCTCCCCCCACCAAATCTTGACTTATACAAGGAGAGGTGATCGCTGTCGTCATTCGTGCATGTGCAATCACATTGCATGTCAGGACGCTAGCGATGCAATGCAGCAGTGTTGGTGCAAAGCCAGCGACAGGATTCTCGAAGCGCCACTGGTCTGCGAAGTCAGAAGTCGTATCCACTTCTTCATGTCCAAGGCAAGAAATTTGGATGCATGATGAGTCCGAGGCAATTAAACGTGCCAACGTAGCACTTCAGCAACCATGGTGTCTTGGACGAATTGCGTGAAAACAACAAAGAGGCTAGAAACCAGTGAAATATGGGACACCCAGATCCGAGCACGCGGGTAGCTATCTGTACATTGGCACATAGAAACAAATACGCGGCCAGGAAACCCCAATGAAGAGCATGAGGAAGCAGTGGGCAGAGACGCATTGCTCGACAAAGCGAAGAAAAAGCTGTTCTTTGTGGCCTGAGATCCTCCTCTCGCTTCCAAAATCTCAGCTGCTTGCAGAAGTCACGCAAGATATGATGCACACCAAGTGCCGTCAGAGCCAAGGCAGGTGCGGCCAACAGAAAGTTTGGCGCTTGCTTCAGCTGCCAGTAGCAAAACATGCCTCCTTGCCAATATTTCTTCTGCACATGCAAGTAGACGCTGGGGAAGGATGCCTGGCACCAAGCTGGAGGTTGCTCAGCTTGTTCGGAAAGACTACACTGTCCAGCTTCATCAGTTTCACCACAGCCTCCCTGGACACCCTGGGCATAGCACTCCTTTTGGATTGCATATACTTGGAAGGCCAGAAACGGGCCAATGCTTATTGCCACTCCCAACGTCAGCAGGACATGCTTTCTCGTGTTTGCAAGCAGCGTCTGAAGTAGCCCGGTCCCCTTCTGCATATCTTGGAGCGTTACGTGCAAACATTGGTATAAAAGGAAACCGGCATTCAGTATGCCGTTTGATCTAAGGCCAGTTCCGATCCCAAACAAGATGGCACCCTGTAAAGGCCGGTTGAGCTCCTGCAAGAGAAGCCCACCGAAGCAACATGCTGCAAAGGGACTCTCGGTGTAAACACTGCTGAAGAAGACGTTGGCAGGCGAAAGACAGAAAACGATGGCGGAACGAAATGCCAGTAGTTGGTCCTGCAGCATCACCAAGCCAAGTCGGTAGAGCAACCACGCAGCAAGCACGAAGCACCCGTTTGTAATCAACAACCCCATGACGACGAAGTGCTCAGGTCCGCTCAAAGGAAAGACAGCGCCAGCGGCCCTTGCACTGATGGAGATGGCCATGGGCAACACCGGCATGAAGGCATAATCCTCCTCATGCATGTAGCCCTCCATGCCAATAGCTGTAAAGCGTGCTGCATCCCAGCGCGTGAAGGCCGACAGCCATCCGGAAACCCGCAGTCTCGCGACAGAAGGGTCGGGCTCATGATCTGGGATAGTCCAGTCAGACAACACGGATAAGATTATGACTGTGACGCGAGAAGCAACTGCGAATCTGATCACTCTGAAGTCTGGAGAGCTATGACAGCTATGAGATCTCCAACGTTTCCAGCGTGACTTCACTTCTGGACCAGCTGTATTTCTGACTGAATGCACGGCTTGCCCGGATGGGCTTGCCACTGGGCGTGCCTCAGCTGTGGTAAGAGGTCGTACTTTGACGTTCATGGCGGCAGGCACATGCTTGTTGGGGGTTCAGAAACTAACGAATGCAGGGTTACCTTGTCTTGCATCATCATCTGCCATTGACTAAGGTGACTAAGGATGCCCGCACATACTCGGAATAACCAAATAGCTAACTCAGCATGACTGACCAGGCAACGGCTGACTTGATCGGTGAACCTCTCTCCTTCTCTGACACGCCAGCACCCTTTTGAGCATGAGTCTAGCCAGTACATTGCAATGTCCAACAGTTCATCCAAGACCTCTAGTCTGGGATAGTCCGGGCAGTCGGTACACTGCACCTGTCTCACCCTTGGCCTAACTCGTTGTGACAGGCCAGAACAAGTGAGCCTTGAATTCAAGGGTAGGACACATCGAAACATCAATTTCTCAAAGAGCACAAAGAAAGCCTTTTCTTGTAAGCGATCTCCGCAAGCTGCAAGCTTGTCGCTGCAAGTTCAGAAGCGCCAGTGCCATCGGCCAAGTGGTGCCCAGATCTGAAGACCAGAACACTCAGAACACGCCGACTCCACCTTCTGCCAGTAGCCATCAAGGAAGGCAACAGAAACACAAAGACAGTTGGGTCCAATCACCTGGCCAAAGAATCTCGGACAACATTGACGGACTCTCGGCACAGTTTAGAACTGAACGGCATGGAAAATCATACCAGGTTCCGGCACTAGTTCGTTACCAGCATCAGCGTGAGCCAATGCGCAAATGAATTCATCATACATAACATGAGAATGTGAAACAAGGGCCACGAGCATGATCGCTTTCAAAAACATCACTAGCTCGCGAAGGCTTTGCGATCAACCTGTCGCGGAGAGCTTTCGCAAAGGTTACACAACATGCTTTAGGAGCAAAGTCCCAAAGCCAGATCACGTGTCTGCCCGTCCAGCATGCGCGGAACATGTGCACGTGCCTGGCTGGCGGCGGAGGTAAAGGTCACTTCCTGGATGCAAGACGGACCATGTGTAGATACTGTTGTATATGCACAAAACATACTTTTTACTGTCTCAAATACAATAACATACATTTTCGCATGCCTCCGTCGTGACTTCCTGAGCGCCGAGCGGTGGCTGCTGCGTTCGACGCTGTTTCTGTCAGGCGAAAGAAAAACTGTCTAAACAGAGCATCGACGAACGACGTGTGTCTTTGCGTGTCTGCTTGTTCTGCCAAGCTTTTTGTCCGAATCCGTACAGGAAAGACTTTGCAACCAGCTTGCACCTTGGTGTTCTCCCGATTGCTCACCTGCCGAACGCCGCAGTTCAGCTCTCGAGCCAAGTTGGTTCAAGACAGCGACAAGAGGCGAGAAGCGTTGATGATGTAATTGCCTGGAGCATCTGCCAGTGCCGGTCTTGCATCACCAAAGATCAGGCTCTTGACAGAAGACAGTGGCCAAGGCAGTTGGAAGACGCTGGCACCTGCAGTCTCTGTTTGCGTGACTGCAAGAACCCTCGCACCTTCAGGAAACTGCCCACAATGCTTGGAGCAAGCGTAAGCAAAAAGACTGCATTGCGCAGTTTGCGTGTGCCGTGGGGAGGTTGAGGGGATTCAGCAATGCTTTCACGCAGACATGCTAGTTGTTGCGTGTATGCTTGACTGATTTGCCTGTATGCTTGCCTGATCTTGCCTGTGTGTGTGCATGCAGGCTTGTCGGCATGCACACTTGCAGGAGCAGTCGCTTGCACGCACGCTTGCTCCCACACTTGCTCGCTTGTACGCCTGCATATGCTCGCACGTTGGTATGATTGCAGGCACGTATGCTTTCACGCATGCATGCTCGTGCGAATGCTACGTAGCTAGGTGGCCAGCACACACGCACTCATGCTCGCGTTGAAAGATTGCATGCTTGCTCGCTCTCTTGCATGCACTTTTGCATCCACCCACCCCTTCTTCATGCTCGCTCACTTGCACGCAGGCACTGACGCACCTGTGCTTGGTTACTGAATTCGTTGCACATGAGCGCGCACGCTCGTATGCGTGCTCACTTGCACACGAACACGGCACATCTGCTCCACAGGTGTCTCAACACACAGCTGACTCTCCCCAGATTCTTGTGAATCCAGACACTGTGCATGATCTTTCAACTTCAGGATGCTGCAAGCCGCGCCTGTCTCGTGCAAGTTGCGCACCCAAGTCTCAGCAAAAAAGCCACTTGCTGTCATGCTGCAACGAGACGCATCCTACACGGGATGTGAGGTCAGGGCTGGAACAGGGCTGACGCCCAATGCGAGCGCCAGCTCCTGACAGAAGTGAATGCAGTTGTGGCCTCGCAGCAGAGATGCGTAGCAGTTACAATTACAATACTGCAACTGGGATGCCAAGATGTGACATCCGGCACAAAAGAACGCGACAGTGCCCGTCTCTGAGAACCCGACGAAGAAGGTCATAAGTGCCTGCAACGTACTGTGTTCGCTGTTCACATCCGTAGACTCCAGCAGAACATTCAAGTCTGCACATGTCTGCACATTCCAGCTGCAGATGGCTCTTGGAACCTCCTGGCCATTTCGCGGCCAGCTTCGCTCGGATCAAGTAGCGCACTTCCCAATCCTGGCCATGAGCGACTGACCCCTTGACCGTGTTGCCGGTCAAGCCAGCGTGGCCTTCAGCATTGTGCTGCCAAGGTTCACCGACTGCCTGCACGCAATTTTAGTGACTTCAGATCCCTGTGTCTCCTGCATCAGCAAGTGCACGTCCTGTAGACATGTACAGGGTGGTGTCTGGGTCGAAGACTTTTGCCTGCCAGCATCGCCAAGCGAGTGCCGACATGCGCACAAGCACATCAAGCAAGCCAGCCGCACAGACCCCGCAGGACGTCGGATTGGGTGTCCGATAGAAAGCCCATTCTTCACCGTAGACCTTCATTCCAACGACAGCACGCACCAATATGCCGGAAGGAATGGAAAGGGTGCGCACTTCAATCGCTGTGTGGAAGGCACCCACAGTGTTGAACCTCAAACACATCATAACAAGGCTCCGGATCTTAAATCTTCAGATCCCAGTATTGAAACAGCATTTCTGGTCGCAAGCTGTGTCCGAGCAGGTGGCATTGTGTTGCACAGCATTGAATTTGGTATTGACAAAGCGGAAGCCAAGTCAAAGATGTTTAGGAACACCTGCCGGCGAAGACGCGCACATGGACTTTGCCGCTATGTCACTGCATGTAGACCACGGTAGACCATGGTAGACCATGTAGGTAGCACGTAGCATTAGATCATTCGGTAGCCGAGCACCGCATTTGGCAGGGCAGCTTTCAAGGCGGGCTCAAAGTGGACCACCTCACACCGCACTTCTCGAGTTTCAGCAAGGTACCAACTTCGGCATCAATTGGCTCAATGATGGCAGCTGTGCCTCCTCGATGGGGGAAGGATTGTTTGTGCAGTCACTCTTGGAGTCGCGAAACCTGCCATCAAAATCACAAAGTCTGCGCATGCCCCCTCATTGCCTCATGCATCACGTGAAGACGCAGGTAGCATGTACTAGACGTGCCAACAATGTTGTGACTTCTTTGAAAACCGATGTTAAGCACATGTACAGCGGACTTGTTTGCACGACATGGTCGGTGTTGTGGTTAAGACACGTGCTACAGGTTGCACCCGCGTTGATGAGCGTATATCCTTTCAGGGATTTCAATCCTCCAACGGTGCTACACACATCACCTTTTGTTTTGGTCTAGGGTTTCCCATTACCATAGAGGAAACACAGGTTGTCCATTAAAAGACAAAGGAGATGGAACTCCTCTGAAACCAAGGAAATTTCAGGTTTCGATAAAAAGGTCTCCTAATCTGGGTGCAACCCTGCTCCGACCCTTCTCAGTGTCACGCTCGCCCTCGTTCTGTTTCATCCATCCAGCCATCCATGGACGTCTATTCCTATGTCGCTTTCTCTTACTCCTTACTCTTACTCTTACTCTTACTCTTTCTCTTACTCTTTCTCTTACTCTTTCCCTTACTCTTTCTCTTACTCTTTCTCTTACTCTTTCCCTTACTCTTTCTCTTACTCTTTCTCTTACTCTTTCTCCTGCTCTTTCTCTTACTCTTTCTCTTACTCATCTTACTCTCACTTTTTCCACCACCACCACCACCACCACTACTACTACTACTACTACTACTACTACTACTACTACTACTACTACTACTACTACTACTACTACTACTACTACTACTACTACTACTACTACTACTACTACTACTACTACGACTACCACCACTACCACTACCACTACCACTACCACTACCACTACCACTACCACTACCACTACCACTACCACTACCACTACCACTGCCGTCGCCCCGCACCAACAAGGAAGGTGAGGCAATCCAACAAGGTTAGGGGGCCACTCAAGGCTTCCTCCGGCCGAGTGTCCTAAACCTTGAGGCATGCTCACCCAAAATTCACAGCTTCCCAAACATGCCCGTTATTCTATAGCGAAAGAACGTGTCTGCGCCTGCGGACTCCCAAGGCTGGATTCGTTTCCATCATCCCTCTGCCATCTGTCGTAAGGCAACTTGGGAAGCCTGCTGGTTGCTGAGGCCACTAGAAAACAAACGGAAACAACAGAAAACAAGGGCTGTCCACACATACAGCATCAGGTGAATTTGGGTTTAACTGTGCAGCTTTCTCCGGGCACAGCGGGGTATATTTGTTGCATGCCCACTGACGGATGTCTGTGATGTCAGGATTTCCGACTGCCAACGGAATCTTGAAAAGACCTGTACATTCTGAGAGCGAAGGCTACTGTGTTGCAGGGACTGCTTCTTCCAGCATGGGAACAAACAGGGCAGGCTGTCGTGAGCGCAAGGTCCGTGGAGGAGCCTCCATGCACTTTCTCAGCTCGAACCAGCGCGTAGAATCCGAAACTCTTGTAAGGATCAGGCCAACAGTCCCAAGCAGGTGCCGTTGGCCTGCTCAGGGATCACACGGTAGACCACTGCCATAAAGGGTGACCGTCTCAAACGTACATCACTGCGCGCAGAATCCCGCCTAATGGCATCCACTTCTTGTGGTGGACAGGCTCCTACCGGCTACCCTCTTGCATGATTGTCCGCTCACTCCGCTTCCCTGCGCAAATGCCCCTGGAACTGCTTGCAGAAAATGCTTCAGCTTGCAGCTCAGCACCACACCCAGTCAGCGCGTCTGAACTGCAGCCAATCTCGCTCTTCACCTCATCTGCTTGATGTCAGGCTCTTGAATGCTACTTCGGTGCTGCTACTGTGCCACAAGGAACGCAGGTCGTCCATTTTTGTCCAGACAGGGCAGTCTTTGTTCTAAGACGAGGTGCTGTCAAAGTCCACCGGCCCGACCACGCACCTGATCTGGGCCTCGGCCTCCGGGGCTGCAAGGGACCAAAAGGGTTTAGGGTTTAGGGTTTAGGGTGTAGGGTTTAGGGCTTAGGGCAGTTTAGGGTTTAGGGCTTAGGGCTTAGGGTTTAGGGTTTAGGGTTTGGGGTTTGGGGTTTAGGGTTTAGGGTTTAGGGTTTGGGGTTTGGGGTTTGGGGTTTGGGGTTTGGGGTTTGGGGTTTGGGGTTTGGGGTTTGGGGTTTGGGGTTTGGGGTTTAGGGGAGGGAGGGGGGGCGGGGGAGAAATGCTTCAAACACCGCAGCTTTGGGCCTCGGAGATTGCCAAGCCAGTTCCAGAAACCGACTCCCATGGAACGGTCAAGCCCTCAGTGGCTTGGTCAAAGCCCGGTGGAACCTCCGCATCACAGGCAATGTTCGCGACTTGAAGTTGTTCAAACAACAAAACCCACTCACAAATCTTAAAGCTCACATGTAGAATCATAGACGAAACTGCAGCTGACTCGGCGTCTTTGCCTCAATTTGTTGATCACCCACTGGCTGGCCGTCAATGCTGGTCTTGTAAAAGATATCGCCAGGCTGGGCAAAGGCGGCAAAAGTCATGGGCAGATCCCAGCTCCTCTTGAAACTAGTTCCTCCGCCTTTCGGCAACTTGACAAGGGGAGCCGAGGTCGAAGCTGTGATGTAGAAAGTTCGCAGGGTGTTGTTCCTGAACTCGTTGGCGCAAACATGACGGCCATCATACTCCACATGGTCTGATCGGAAGCAAGTTCGAGCCTGAGTCTCACAATCTGCGCCACAACCATACCTTGCAAAGCAATTGGCAAGAACAGCTTCACGCGCCTTACAGGCTAGGATCCTCTTTTCAGCTTTAGTTGTGACATTCCTAGCTGCTGCACGGTGTACGTTGCACTATCGCCAAAACTAGGGTTCCCTTCAGGACGCATCCTTCTTCTCGGCATACAGAGTAGTAGTGCCACTAGCATTTATGCTTCTCTGGCCGCCCGGACTGTTTACTGTGCACAGTTTTGCCTCTAGAAATCTGCATTTAAAGTTTCAAGCAGCGACTCGGGCCCCAGCTAAACTTGTGGGAGCGCCGGCCGCGATTGCATGGGAGAGGGGCGCACAAGTTGCCGGGTAAATTTCTCACTAGCAAAAAATTTTTTGCCTGCCCGTTGCTGCGTTCTAAGTCGCTCAGTGTGCAGCGCCGGCATGAGGAGCATTAGAATCCCGCTACAGACTTCCAACTTGCAGCTCCATGGAATCGTGCGGAAACCACCTTGGAATCAAGCTCTCCAGAATCAGAATCGGTTCATGGCTTCTGCATTTGCCCCGAAGTGCACAAAGGAAAATTACCCAGCTTTCTCTTATCCTTGCCGAGTCCCTTTTTCGCTGCCTTTGGCGCCTGATTCGAGCCCTATAGGATCGCTCAACGAATCCGGGGGGCTCGTGAAATCTCCTAGTGAAACTTCTGAAGCTCGGCTCTAAAGCGATTTGAGGGCCGAATCGCTGCGCGACCTTAGAATGGAAGGATATGGAAGAGGCACCACAGCTGCAGCTGCCCACAAAAAGAAAAAGAAACAAAAAAGAACGTGCTGGTGGTGATCTCTCTGCCGGGCAAAGGCGCCTTCCAAGCCCTCCCCAAGTTGGATCTCGAGGCAGGGTGTTGCCCTGGTGCATCAGGTCCTCTTCACTTCGCAACTGCTGAGGAGGGAACGCAAAGCAAACTGAAAAGCCTCATGATTCTCAGGCAAGCCTTCGATCATTTGCGGAGTGTCAGCAAACTTCGAAGGTTTTTTCGAAGGACACTGTGACAGTCCTCGTGCCAATCCGTAGACCCCGAATCTTCTTTCGAGGCACTGCCTCAGTGAATCTGCCACAAAGGTCTGACATGCATCCCAGCTCTTTGGAAAAGGATGGGCACATTCGCAGGCATTGCAGCGACCACTTCACAGCATTTTTGTTGCATTTCCACAGGGACTTCTGGGTCCAGGGCTCTTGGAAGTCATGTCGTTCATCTGGCGCTCGTGCCTTCACACGCACATGCATCTGCATCCGAGGCAAGTCTCAAGAAGGTCTCGACACGTCGAAACCAACCAGAACCAACCCCCCAAAGTGCATCATCGCCAATGCTCTGCCAATGCTCTGCCAATGCTCTGCCAATGCTCTGCCAATGCTCTGCCAATGCCTCAATGCTGCTGCGCTTCTGCGCCGCTGCTCAGGCCAAGCCTCGCTTTCTCACTGCGCGCTGTCATTGATGCACTAGATGCAAAAAGAACATGATTTAAAAAAAACTAAACGCTCGTTACGCTGAGTTTGCGTCCCAAAACGTGGCAGATGCATAGTGCACCAGCGGCTGCTCACTGCAAAGGCACTTGCAGTCTGTCCCTCTTGCTCCTTGCATTCGTTCTATAAATTTCAATAACCCTACCTCTGCAGTCGTGAGAGCGACATTGGCTCCGGTCGCCACGGTGCTGGCATCCTGTCAACCTAACATGAAAAATCAGGAGTGCGGATGACGGCTTGCAATGGCTTGCAAAGCAAAGGCTGGGCAGCTCGCTACATTGCGAAATCCTGGCGCGCGGTCCTGGCCAAGGCCGCGGAAGTCTCGGACTTTTCTTGCTGTTCAACATCTGGATTTGACTTTGAAACTCGGACCCCACTTCCAACTCGAAGCTCCGCGAACGTCCCGTTGATCTCCAGATTTCCGCTTGCTGAACATGTTATTGCGTCTCGTAGAGCCACTTCACCGAAGACTTGCAAGCTCCACCATGCAAACCCACACATGCTCACACTTTCTCACAGTCCCACAAGATGAACTCTAGAAGCCCTGCAATGACTCCAATGTGTCGGGAGCAAACCGAGGCAAAACAAAAAAATGTTGCGGGCCTGAGGTGGAAAGTGTGCGGCAATGACAAGTGGCTCTTCTGAGGGAAGCACCGAGGACTTTGCTGCGCTGCTTTCGGGTGCACATCATTAGGGCTTTGGGGCTTTGCGGTTGCCTTCAGTACTCACGTGCAGATTGCACTTGCTTTGGGTCAGCTTTAAGCCTGCTTTGCCCTTGCTTGCCGTTGGCATCTTGGGGCGTTGGGGTTGGGGCATGTCGGGGCTTCGGGCTTGCCACCCGATTGGATTGTGGGCTCAAGATGCCGCTCGGATGCTTCTTGCTGTAGGTAACCTGCTATTTGCCACTGTTTTGAAGGTTGATCTTAGGGCTGAGCCTGTAAAACGCTCCTACCGGTCCTACTGGTTTTGGGCCACGTAGACTTCCCAGAGATCAAGAGAAGCATTGGGCAAGGGGACAAGGCAGACATAATAAGAGGACACAAGAAAGACGCCCCGAACATGACCAAACATTCCCAAACCCCGAACGAGTGCCCATTCGACAGCTTTCCGCGAGCCGGCTTATGAGGAGCGTATACGGGCAGAAGGCAGGACAGCCGGACAACCTCTTAATGTACCGATGGTGCACGTTGAACAACTGTGAACATCCAGCGTTGCGAAGCACAGTCCGGGAAGTGGCGTCCGATGGTTGTACGATGCACCGTCGGATTGAGGAACGGGTATGGATTGTACGCCTGGGCAAGTTTCACAAAGAAGCCGTGAAAGAACACAGCTCAAGAAGAAACTCAGGCAAGTGCCCCAGGACCCGGCGTCTCGAGGCAGGTCCTTTGTCAAGGGCAACTTTTCTCAAATGTCCCATTGAAGCACAAGGCTTGGTGGCGGGGCGTGCTGCCAGCGAAGCCCAGGACAGTGTGCCCATGCTCTTGCTGTGCAATTTTGAACCTTGCTTGCCAGCAACATATGTCCAAAAAGAGCAGCTCTGCTTCACCTGTCACCTCTCCGTCAGATGAGTGCGTGGAGTGGGGACAGTGGGTACAATGGGGAGCGGACGACCAACTTGGCATCTTGACGGACTTGATCACCTGCGCCTCACACACAAAAAGGCCCCAAAAGAGCACGGCAAAGAGACCTGCAGAATCCTAGGGAGACTACAGAGACCAAGATTAAGCATCTAGAGGCATCTAGTCGTCACCGTGCAATATCCTTCCGCCACATAACAACCCCTGCCGGGGCACATGTTGCCAGGGGTGCAGTGCCTGCACTACTAATCTACACTCCTCTGTGGCCGAGATCGATGAGGTCGAACATGATCGAAGCACAGTGAAGGATGAGAGATCTACACTGCAGATAGACAAGTTCTACTCTCTTCTGACCACTTTCTTGCATTGCTGGCACGAATTCTTCATCGTGGTCAACTTGACTGACCACGCTGTGAAACTGGAGGGCTCCTCACAATCCACATCAGTGGGCAGGGAAGGCCATCGGTCGCTTGTAATCAAAGCTTACGCAAACATCGGATCGACAACAGAAAAACCAGTACAACACCACATATTTCCGACTTGCCAGAAGCATGCATCACATCAATGCGTTCATCATGGCACATCTATCTCCGAATCTCTCGTTGTCCACAATACCTGCAAGCTGCCAGCATGTTGGATTTTGGAGCCCAGAACTCTTAGTCTTGCAAAAAGCCGAACAACAAAGGCAGGAAGCGCACCGCACTCTTCAGGTGGGCCATACGGTCCTCGAGGTGTGATGGGCCAGTGATAAGTGCATCACATCATATCATGTTGCACATGTCATGCGCCGGACGGTCTTGGTTAAGCCCAGGACCACCAGAAAGCTGCTGCGTCTCACACTCTACAGCGAGCTTGAGTCTCATGGCCTCGTCTCTCCACGTGACTTGCAGTGCCAGGATTGCAGCACTGCCTTGACGTACAGACCTGCAACGAGCCTGGTTGCCAAAAATGCGTAAGCATTCTTTCTCTGTCCAGAAGTTTCCACAGTTGGATGCCCTGCGATTCACACACACACACACACACACACCAAGGCCGACGGGCGAGGTTGAGGCTTTGGGGCTAGAACAGCTTGCCAGGTCCTGAACCAGAGATAGTTCCTCAATGCTTCCTGGTGCCGCGAATAGTCTCCCGCCACCGGCATGCAATACTTTGGATCATCTTTGTCCCACCATGCCTTTCTCAAAGCAGAGCTCCGAGACGGTCACATGCTGACATATGCTGTGCCATTGCGCCTTGCAGGTGCAGCTTCCCGTCCTCCCTGTCTCGTCGGTTGTTGCACAGTCGAGGTCTGTGTCGCAGCTTCTTCCGGCCTTGGGCGAGCGGACTTCAACGAGTTTAACTGAGTGAACGCAGCAGGGACTCCACATGAGCGCAACATACCAGAAGACTGGCCTGTTTGGACTGTGCTGGCGGAGCGCACTTGCCGTCCCTGCACATGACGAGAGCAGGCACCACGATAGTGCCATGAAGAAGTCAGGAGACTGGTCAAACTTACAGGCTACACAGCATTCTGCAGAGAACATGCTATGAACTCCGACAGGCCTATCCCTCCAGCCAAACTGGCAAAAGACATCCTCAGCCGCCAGGGCACCTCGCGCAGTGTTCGATCTATTTTCCAGCAAAGAGAACCTCACTCAACCTCACTAGGCACGGCCTATTTCAAGAGAGAAGAGCTTGCGGCAACGAGGTTGCGGTTCGCCGACATTACAGCGCATTCCTGGCTGACCTGACGAATGGGACATCATGTTGCCGGGAACATCAGCGACTTGATGCTGAGGCATTTGCATTCCCGATCCTCCGCGCAGGTCATGTCCTCTTCACGCTGGGCTCTGCAGTACTGCACCTGACCGTTGCAGAGCTTGGTGGCGCGTTGCAAAACTTAAGCTACATGTACTTTCTGCAATGACAAGCAAGGGCTTGCACTCGCAGTACAATGTCGGGCTTGCAGGGTGTAAAACTTGCAGACAAGAAGCCCAGTACGGATTTTGACCGCCAGTCGGATCAGATGGACAGTAGAAGCCAAGATGAGGGCAGTCGAAATCGCTTTCGCACGTCTGATTGGCATTATACCTGACTGTGGTGCCCAACATGTACACTGCTTGAGCTGCTTCTCCCACACTCTCCCGCACGCACAGACCCCGGTTGCTTCAAAGGCAAACAATGCAACAAGCAAACTCATAGCTTTGAGGCAAGCGCGGCTGGAATGGCATGCATGCACCATCCAAACATCTTCGCATGCCATAGATGCAGTCCTTGAACGCTCTAGGCTGCATTCAAGTGCTGGTCAGCCATCTTACAAAGACTTCAACACATCCCGATCTGCTGGAAGCGTCCTGATCGTTTTGGCAAGGCATGCCCACCTCAGCACAAACGTCCGTCGTGCCAACTTCCAAGTTCAAGCCCTTGTCTGCCGAGGCGACGCTAGAAAGGGCTGCGCACCTTGTTTCGCCAGCGGCAAACCCAATTTGTCCACTCGGTCAACGGCTGTGGATCCCACCTGAAGACAATGTCTGCAGGCATGCCCCAAGCTGTTAAAACCGGGCTGTGGCTCCCCAAAAGCTCTCGTTGCTCCCAATGACGCCCATACAAGGTTGACACTTAATAACGGTTGGACACATTGTCTTGTGCTGTCAAACTATGCTTCTGCTTTGCATTCCGCCTGATAGAAACGTGCAAGTGCGGAGCGAAAGCTTCAACATTCGGCCCGGCGACCAGAGTGCCAAGCACACGTGCTGAGCATGGTCAACGATGGTCCTGCAACAGCTAACAATGAGATACGTCACCGTCACATCGCATATGCATTCGATATCAACGACTGTGCAAACCTGCAGGCCTGTCAACGCAGTTGCTGCAGTCTCCAGGTGGGTGGCACTGTTCGTCCGACGGGCAGAACACCTAGGAAGCAGATGCCCACCAGCGAGATCACCAGCGAGATCACCTGTTGGTCAGCTCTGCCAAGCCTGGCCGCCGTCTGCATGGCAGACCTGTCAGACTCGGCACGAGCATGGTATTGGCAAGAAGGGCAGTGAGAACACCGAGAACACCCGCAACGCTGCCTCCGGAGAAGGCTGCACACAGATGGAAAAGGCGCGATCCGTGGCACTTTTCCATCCACAGGCCTTCACTGTGCTCAGATTCAGTTTCAACCTGGGTGAACGCCTATTGCATTTAACCGGGCCTTGCAGTCCTGCTTGCAGTCTGAGTCAAAGCTGCAATAGTACTGCCGTGGATTTCTTGCATTGCAAACCTTTCAGAGAAGAAGCGTTTCCTGTCAAACCTGACGCAAGTCTTCTCTATCTCCCGCCTCAGGCGTCGCCTGCTGCTTGGGCACAGACTGAAGCCGTCGTACTGCCTCCTGCAAGCTCATACCGAGTGCATAACAGGTCTCCTGAGCTGCCAGTACTCAAAATCTCCTGTGCCACACGTGTCTCCAGCACCTCAGCAAAATCACAGAGACCGCTTACATGTGCAGTGGCAGATTGGCTAGGTTTGCTGACAACTCCCTGGGTTCAGGGCGGCATTTCTCAGAGCTTGAAAGACGTCACCGATGCGGGCGAACCTGTTGCAGTTTGGAGTTCTGAGCATTGCCAAGCCACCGCGCACAAACTGGACTAATTTTTTCGGCAGTGACTCAGTGGGCCGAGGCAAGCACTCTCCAACGCTCAGCTTGCCATCTATGTCCGTGTCAAGCTGCAAGAAGAGCGCTTCCGGCTGCGTGATGTTCTGTCACAGCGGCAGATATCAGCAGATGCTGGATTGCGGACTTGATGGAGGGCAAACTTGCAAAGTGGCTGACCAGTTCCATGCAAGCCTCGATCAGGACACCCTCGATTCGGAATCCTTCAGCACTTTTTCGGAAGGCCGCGAAGCCTTAGGACCAGTCACCAGTGAGCCCCGGGTAGCCCCGGATAGCCCCTGCACCAGAACAGCGAACATCACACAAGCGGCTGAGAGAGGTGCTCATCGGAAAGTAGGCATCCGCGGGCTCTGTGCGCTGAATGACTTCGGTCGCTTTTTCCTGCACCGTTGCACCTGCATGATACAGCATGGCAACTTTGCTTCAGCCGGCCAGCCATGTCAACCCCAGGACCTGTGCTGGTTTCCCTCCAATACACTGTCGGCAGGTCGGGAGCCCTGCCAAGAGACAAAGCTAACTTTGATCTAAGCAACATTACACGCCGTTGGGAAGCCTGCCTGTCCTCACATAGCAGAGTCAAGGTGTTCCACTGGCAGTAGTCCACCGGGCATGACGTGATGTGAAGGAAAGTCATGCCTCAGGTGTCAGAGAAGCATTCCAGGCAGTTCTTCGCAGGCGCGCTGAGATGCGCTGAGCTCTCCGCAAGGTCGAAAGCAGATGCCTTCTCCCTGCCATGTTCCGGGTAGCAAAAAGGTACGGAATGGGGTACGGCAAATGCGGGAGGCCGCCTGCGCACATTCCTTGCCCATACCACAAGCCTCGTTGTACCTCATTGGGGCGGCTGTTCGCTGCCGCCGCGAATGGCTAGGTGCAGTGACTCAGGGCACTGGGCTGGCACCGAGAACGGAGGATTCTCGCACTGGCACGTCGTCGGGGCAGTGCCATTCCCAAAAGCACAGTTGGTGCAAATCTTCCCATCCTGCGACAAATTCTTGCACAACCAGCCATGTGTCCAAGTGAGTCCTATGTCTCTAGAGGCAATGTCCCACCCACACATTGCACCTGGGCCTGCGGCATTTTCTTGGGTGAGGCATAAACTTTAAACCTCTGCTACCCTCACAACAAAACGTGCACAACCTGTCAAGAAGCATTCCGCACCCCACATAGACACTTGCTGAAGGATGCATCAGAGCTCGAGACGTCTTCTGGAAGCCCCCGCAAGTTTACGAGTGTTTCTCTCTGGACTAGGACAAGAAGGGACTCACGGTCACACTCTGAAATGATTGCACTTGAGAATGCCATCTTCGTATCACGAAACATTCACTGGGCAGCAAAGGCAAGACATCTGTCCTGGCAACCTTTTTCTCGCATAAAAAACCCTTCTCGAAGCTCTCGACAAAGAGCGCTGTTTTGATTCAGGCCTGAAGAAGTTGTTGCATGCGACTCTGTTCAATTTTCAAGCTGACGTAACTCGCTCCACAGGGATTACTGGGGTCAAGACACTGACATCTTGTGCACTGAGACGGCCCACGGTACCTCGACTCTACTATGTGTTGTTCGGGAGAAGGCGTCTCAGCCCTGTGCACCTCGAAACATGACACTTTGCTGATCTGCGCACGTGAGCACTTCGAAATACTGCGTCTGTGCCACACATTGACCTCAGCATGTGCTTTCCCTGCCATGGCCCGGCGGGCGCGTTATATAAGTCAACGCCTTTCATCTTAGATCGTGGCTGAAGCATGCGGCCAGCACTAGCCACATAGCCTGGGTCTCCGGGGTAGTTTGTAGGAGAAATCGGCAGGGCACAAAACAATGCCAACCAAGCCGATCCCGGTGCCTTGAAGCCAACGCCACTTGAGGGCATCGTGGGTGGCCACAGGTGCACATGTACTCAATATGGCTGTACTCACTATGGCTTTAAATACGATACTCATGGAAGAAAACCCCTGACACTGCGCTTCTGCTGAACAGCAGAATCACGAGGCGCCTGCATCGCAAAAGCGACGGCCGAGAACACGCAAGAATGAAAGAACCAGAGAATTTAAAGAACCACGCCTCCCGGTTTCAAACCTTCTTCCCGTTCTCACAAGTTCGGCCCAGAGCATGCCACGATGTCTTTCGGCCCAGGGCATGTCACGATGTTTTTTCCCAGCCACGGCGTCAATCAGGGCTGCGAGAATGAATGGACAGCTCCTTCCGATTTCTGACCGTGGAAGATGTGCTGCCAGGAACCGCCTGAGCTACTGGTTGCATGCGGGCGGTCTGATTGATCGTGTTCAGCCAACAGTCCCAATGCAGAAGCTCTGCAGAGTGCGGGATAGTCAGCGTCTTGCTTCCCCATCTCTCGCCACCTCTTCAGGCGCCTGACCTGCTCATCCGGTTGCCACCAACCCCCCGACAAGACTTGGCAAAGTTGACCGCGGCAACCAGCATCGAAGCTGATGACCAAGCCCAGTGGCTTTGCAAGATGACAGTCAGGTGGGGTGTCGGATATTGAAGAATACCTAGTCGAATGATCGCTACGTGCATCTGTGCACAAGTCCATTTTGAGAGCCCAGCCGCAACGCTAAGCTAGCAGAAGCATTGTGAGCATGAGAACTCAGTCCACGTTACCCTGCTTGCAGGAGTATCGTTTCCTTCTACGAGCCTTGTAATAACAACTGTCTACAGTGACGTGGTAGGCCCAAGTATCGATGCCGGTGCAAAACCCTGGCTATTGAAACCTCCCCCAATGACAAAACAGAAGAGGAGCGAGCAGAACGCCGCCAGTGTCTGGGCGACTCATGCTCTGCAAGTAGGCAACTGCAAGCACATGCCCCTTGAGGCCGCCGCTTTTATCGCCATGGGTGGATTCATCTAAGCTTCTGATACAGCCCCCATACCATAGATAGACAAGGAGTGGGGGCTCTTAATAAATGTATGGCTTTGCTGGCGGAAACGGGTTCATGGGCTGCGGGATTCCATCGCCTTCTATGCAAACCGCATGTCTATTGAAGCTGTGGTCTGGAAGTCTTGAAGGTTGCTGTGCGCAGAGTTGGCTACTGGCATGGGGCTATGCCTTCAAGCAGCCTCGATAGCGTGATAAAGCAAGTGCGAAGACATTCCGCCTCCCCTGTGAACCACGGGATGCAGCCAGGCGCAAAACATGTGGCGTGGTTGCGCACATGCTTCTTCGGCTTTGCTGAGCTTTACGTATGGCACTCCGTACAGCCTGCTTTCTCTAGGTCTGAGTGAAACACTGCTGCGAAAGTGAAACACGGCTAGCTACCCAGAACTAGCGAACCAGTGTCTTCGTCGTAGGGATGCGTTTTGTGGCACAGATGCACAACATGCCGCCAGCCCATGCGCGTGAAACCTTCACAGAACAGGTCCCTTGGAGTAACCCGCAGAGATGAGGGATGAGACTCCTGGACATTTCGGCAAATGCTCGACCCATGCTGGGCAAGAGTACAAATCTCTCAGTACCCCCAACACCGACTCAAACAGTCTGGTGCATCCCAACCATTCTGGACATCGAGTGCATTTGGGGCCTGGATGCTTGTCAGCCAAGCCATCGTCCATGGAAGCATAGCCGGTGAGGGGCTGGTTTCGAGCCTGCGAAGATTTTGTACTTCGTAGCAGGACCCACGTCCCATGGTGCCGAGAGCTGCAGCATGCGGCCTTTACGTAAGTGGCTTTGCCCACACGTCTGACGGCACAATAGCGGTCCCACCTTGACAGGCTGAGCACTGGCCAACCCTCGGAAGAACGTCGCAGGAGCTTTTTGTGGCTTTTCGGTGTTTCCCGGCCTGTCTTCTACGTCGCCAGGATTTCGGCAAAGTATGACCTCCAAGCTCCATACAAGAATTCGGACGCAGCGTGGGGGAAAGCATGCCAAGCGATGGACGTTAGAGACCAGCTGATCTTGAAGGTTTTGGTCCTGCACCGGAAATCAAAAAGGCGTAGTGCCGTGCGGGAATCACGGCCGAGGGCACCTCCATTTCAGCCAAGTTGGTGCAGAATCTCTGCAACCGCGTTCGCCTCCAATGCTGCTCCTGCCACTGACTCTTGCAAGGACTGGAAGCTGTTCTGTTGTTTTGCATTCGCTTTGTATCAAGGACTAAGTGGGGCGTTTGCAATCCGGGCATCTTTGATGGCGGGAAAGTACCACGGGATTGGAAAAAGCTCGCAGAGGCGCGCGCGTGTTCTTGACATTAATTACCTGGCCGCATCTGCCGCAAGGGAACTGAGGGTCATGCTTCCAGCGCAAAGACTTGGAAAATTGCTGCTCTGGCTTCTGGCCGGGGCTGCGGGCTCCGTGAGTCCGGCCCCTGGCCCTTTCTTTCTTGCCTCCAACCCTTGCACCACCCACTAACGCAAGAGATTCTCAGTTACATCTTTCGCTTCTCCAGCCTTGCCCAACTTAGCTTGCAGAACCTCTCAGACCCAACAGAAAGGAACACACTCCCTGCGCAGCTTTCCAACCCGAGGATCCTCGCAGGAGTTCAACTGCTTCCTGTCATGAGTCTCGCAAAACCAAGAAGTAGATCTGGGTCACAGGATGTCACAGGCAACTTTCAATTTTCAATTGGGCCAGGTCGGCTTGGCAATCGGGGCGAGGAGGGCGTGCTGGGGCTTTGATTGAAAAGGAACCCTCGGTCCTCGCTCCTTCAGATGCAAAGAGCAGAAAAAACTCAACTGACTCAACTTTCTGGGCTTCAGAAGGCACATGCCTTCATGGCGATGTTCTTGTCCTTAAGAAGCGCCTTACATGACACGGCATCGGTTGAAGAGACAACACAAAGACAGGCAAAGCATAAGCTGGCCTGCAACCGCTCCTTCTGACTCTGCAGAATGATCTTTTGCATGTGCGCGAAGTTCAGCTTCCCGCCATTGCTGGGAGGGGGTCACAAGGCCACATCCACAACAAACTTGCTACTTCTGCACGGCTGGCCTCCCCATCTCATTGAAGCAAGGCTTTAGAAGATGCTTGACCTCCAACAAAGGCTGTCTCGTGTAGGGTCTGTTTATGCACGCGGGGGGGCGAACCGCACCAGACTTTTTGAGGTGTTCTTTGTTTTGTTTGTGGCGGGTGGGTGGCGGGGGGTGGTGTGGGGTGGTGTGGGGTGGTTACGACCATATTACTCTAACGCCCACAACACTGAAATGTCCACCCTGTTTGCCTTTTACGAAGAACATACTGCAGAAGAATCGCTGAATTTTTCTGCTCCCAGACGCGCTGTCACAAGTGTTCATGCCTTTTGCGAAAATGCCCAAAACAGTGCTATCTGCAGCAAAAGTTTCGACTTTTGTGCCGTGAACGCGAAACCCTCACAATGCACGACAGAAGCATCCAAAACTCCAGTTTTTAGGCGGATCCAAACCGTAATTTGCTGAAATCTGGGGGGGGTCGCAAACTTGCGAAGCAAAGCCTGGTTCGCGTGGCAGGCAGGCTTTCCCTGGCAGCCAGGGCACCTCACTCCACGTGTAATTGTATGCCATCGCCGCAGGCATCAAGCTGTCCACAATGACCTCCCGCATGCGACAGCAGCAGTTGCTCATCATCTCTCTCTGCTTGTCTGCAGTAGCAATGTCCCCATCAACTTCCTTTTATTGGGCAATCAAAGAGATCCGAGCCCTGTTCCGAAATTTGGGTCTCTACTCAGCCAGCCTGCTGCTCCGAAGCACCAAAGGTTCAGTCTTCAGGCCATGACTGAAGCAACAACTCTAGTTGCACTTGCGACAGACATCTGTTGAGAGGCCACTTTCTCACGCACGCTGCTTGCTGAGCTCTGGCTTCCATCTTCATTCTGGAAGCTGTCACTGTAAGCAGCATCGGAATGATCTTCGTCAGTGTCCTGAATCGGATCCGTTGACTACCCTCCACAAAGACATCGTCGATCATACGTTGCGTGCGGGCAGATACACCCCAGCACACTGCCTCACTGCTGCAGCTTCGTGCCGTCGAAGCTGGCTCCGGCACTGACACAGGACCTGGTCGTTGAACCCAGAGCAACGTCCAGCACACACTTGAAACGGCAAGAGGCCCTCAGAAAGCAGCCTTGCTTCGCATTGCTTCTAGGACTTCAAGAGGCCACGGACTTCTGAGCATCCAGCGAGCAGCACATGGGGTCCCGATCGAGGCGGCTGTAAGCTTAGGACCTCAGCTTCAACTGAGCTTCAATGATTCGTTGCCCACAGGATCCCACAGGGTACTACCACAAGGTACCACAAGCAGCTGCAAGGATATCCGACAATGGCCAAGCTGCTGCTGCCCTGCAGGCTGCTATACTTGTCGGGCAATTCTGGCCGTTTGTACTTCCTCACGAAGTCCTGCAACTTGTCTGTGTATTTAGGAGGATTCTCACAGCGTAACTTGTATCCAAAGGGATGAGAGATGGAAGCGCTCCTGCAGCGCCGCGGCTGCATCAGTTTCCAAGACCAAGCTGCCTCGGGTTGGCTTCTGCATGTCTAATGCATCCACGTGTGCGAGCTCGCTGGGCCTGAAATTACCTGCACGCCTGAACAGAACATGGTCACATGACCTGATGCCCTTCCTGAGCAGAAGAAACAACAGAAACGGCTCCAACCCTCTGTAATAGCTGTAAGAATGTCTAACTGCTGCCTTGAAACGAAAATCTCGCCTTCCAGCGGGCAACATCCTGCTCAATTAAACTGTTGCAGACAGCTTTTCGATGTCAGGGGCCTTGCGACATGTGAGTTCATTCGACGTCCGTTGCGTGTCACACACAAGACTGTGAGTGGCAGCATGCACCGGGCGAGTTGAGTACGAGCGACTGTTTAAAGGAACACCAAGACCGATAAGAATGCTGTACACGTTGGCACACCCGATGCTATGCAAGAGACGTGGCTCGAAGAGAAGCAAACGGTGCCAAATCAAGAGCTGCAGTTCACGAGAATCAAGATTTATAAAATGGCCGCTGGCAAACGTTATTATCGTTCTCGGTGGTCCAGATCCAGTTTTCTGAGTTTTTTCTCTTGCAGGCGCCGAGCTGCTGCGCCAGCGCAGCGGCCTGCGTGGCTGAAGGCGCCTCCAAAGGCCCCTCCAGAAGGCCCCTCCAGAAGGCCCCTCCAGAAGGCCCCTCGAAGGCTCTTGCAATTTTGAGTTTTTTTGCGTGTTAAGATGTTTTCGTCTTTACAACTGCGCTTTCGAGGTGCTTCAGGCTCTCGTGACTCTGGTGCCATCGTGGCCAAGGCTCGTGCGAGCCTGGCGACGCGTTTGGAGGCGTCGCCAGTCGACGTTTGGCGCTCTGACTGCCCCGTGCTTGGCGTGACCTCCAGACCAAGGCCAGCATCGCGCTGCGCCCTTCGGTCTCTCGCGGGCGTCCCATGAGGCGGATGAGCTGTTGACGAGCCCATGCGCCTCATATGAGGACTCGTGGACTGACGTCTCTCGGACGCTTGTAGCGAGCGGGGCTAGTAAAGATGGGTTTCTTTCCGGCCACCCGTCTCGCTCATCTCGCTCATCCAACTCGCGGCCTGTGACTGAATGAGTGAGCCTTCGCGGAATGCCGGCGAAGGATTTGTTGAATGTTCTCTCACAGTCCGCCATGGAGCCAGGTCTGTGTCGGCGCCACTGCGAGGCAAGGTCACGTTTTCGCATGGCTCTCAAGCTACCCAAAGCCCTTACAGCTAGGAGAGCCCTCGAATTGCCTCGGGCTGCACAAGGAGGGCACACCACTGCTGTACTTGCACTCTCATGCCCAACATCCTTTGGTCCCTTGCCTGCTTCGCACGGCATCCCGCCCATGGTTCCGGATCTTCAGTGATGTCCGAAGATGACCACAACGTGCACGCGGGTGGTCATCCTGAAGAGACGGACTTGCGGAATCAGACCATCGACATCGGAGATTTTGCATTTCAGAACTGCCTTTCAAGGGGCATTAGGCGCGACCTTTAAACCCTGAACCCTGAACCCTAAACCCTAAACCCTGAACCCTGAACCCTAAACCCTAAACCCTAGACCCCAAACCCTAAACCCTAAACCCTAAACCCTAAACCCTAAACCCTACCTTGGGTCATGGACTATACCATGGCATGTGAATGTGAGGAGAACCTCCTTCTGTGGTGAGAGGAGTCCGGAGTCGCCGGCCTGCCTGCAACGCATACAAACGATCTAGTGAATTTATAAGGAAAAATGGGTTTAGGGTTTAGGGTTTCGGGTTTAGGGTTTAGGGGTTTGGGGTATTTAAGTGTTAAGCTGCAGTTTTTTGACAGGGTCGAAAGCCCTTGTTCTTACTTGAGGCTTTCTGCACCCTTGAAGCGAATTTAATGTCTACTTAGGGCCCATGTAATACTTAACACATGATTTAGCTTTCTGATGCTCACCTGAGCCTTTTTCCACTATGAACTTATTTGTAATGTTGCAAGCGAGTGAGCGAGCGAACGAAGAGAGCGCAACTATAATACACTAAAATGCCCCGTTTCTTTTCTTCTTTTGTTGGGGCACTTGCTTATATCATTCGCGCGGTTTTACGAGCTACTAAAACTATATCCGTGTGTTGCACTTGCGATAACAATATTAATGGTGTGAGAAATAGTAAAAGCAGAGGAGGAAAAGTGAAGGTTAACCACTCTCTCCCCGTCACAAATTGAGACCCTGTTCACGCCAAGAAGTTCATGAAGGTGACAGCCTTATACTGGAGGATTCGTGAAGGTAACAACGTATGTAACGAAAAGGTCCCTGAAAACCCGTACTATTATTAACTCTTTTCAAGAGGGGTTTTGCTAACTCTTATCTCCTATTTCGTTTGTACTTTCTTATCTTCTGCTTTGGTTTCTTCCTAATGGACCTTTTCTCTAGAACTGGCCTTTTGGGGAACTGTAGCCGCTAGAAAAGATAGTGTCTCAAAGGACGTCTTCTACCCTAGTTAAATCTCTTTTCCCTCACGAAATTAAGATCATACAGTGAGTGAAAAGAAGAAAAACAAACAAGACAGAGTAAAAAGCTCGGTGTATTTACAGTACATGAAGTGCCTTGCTCTATTGTATTTGGTTTCTATGGGCGCATTAAATTCTTAAGATTATATTTTGCACCCACACATCATAATTGTAGTGTACAGGCGTGCCCTTTATCAACAGGTCGTTGAACACGCATTAACAGTACTAAATTGTAGCAACAGAATAAGCCTGCGAACACGGGCACATTCATTGTACAATTCACTATGTGTGCCCATTTATCATCACACTACATCTAATGGTGAAGAGATTTGCGTTACCAAGCGAATGAACGCAGCGCAAGAACAATACTATTAAAGGTTCTGAATGAAACCCGGCGCGATACAATCTCTGGTGGATGCCTGGGCGGTGACGCTACAAGCCGTGCATCTTCACCTGCACTGAAAAACCACAACCACAGCGCATCCAAACAACTTCACATGGCATCGAACCTGCTGAACAAGACCTCAAAACATTCAACACCTGCACCGCTCGCATGCTTACAAGGCAAGGACGTTGGCGGGTCAGCTGTCCTGCTTTGCAGTACTTGGAAGCTCCTTTGACTTAGTAAGTCTACTTCGTATCCTCTATAAACCCTCTAATAATCCCCATAACCCCACTTACTAACCCTTCTTTTATGTCAAAAGGGATTCCAAGCATCGGCATTGGCAAGTCAAGTGTCCCTGCTTGCAGCATCGGGCAAGATTCGGCAACGACCCGAGTGAAGAGTCCTTGCGCTAGAAACGACAAGCCTCGTCTGGCAGACACCGAGGGCCCGCCCATGTCCACAGCCTGAAAGGCCCGGCAGAAGTCCACTGGGCCAACACGTCCTTCCCGGCCACCCAGGCACCTTTCGCGTCTCACGGGAAACCCAGCGACAAAAAGCGACAAAGCCCGGGTAAAGATAGACTGATCGACAGAGAAAAGGAGCCCCCCCCTTTAATGGAGCCAAGGCACTGAAAGAGCCCGGCCAATTCCTGGAAGCCAAGGTGGGGCTCCAAAGCCCAGGCCATTCGAGCAACCTGAGCTTCAGCTTATGTAGAACTGCGCAGACCTCTGTGGGAACCGGTTCGGAACCATGCAGAAAAGTCGGAAATTATGTTCGAATATTTCACAGGAGGAAGCACTTTGGGGGCCGCTGGGCGAGTCTAGGAGAAGTCACCACGCATCATCCCGCGGTCATGTGGCGCCATCCAACACTTACCGCAAAGAAATAGTACTTGCACCGGCGAAGATCCCAGAATGAAGCACAGCCACTGCGACAATGTACATATGCTCCTCCCCTTGCTAGCTACTGTACTTCTCGTGGTGTCTATGCCTGTTTTTCTACAATGCTATGACGAATGCACGATGAAGTTGAAAAGCGATATATGTGAGTACAGCATACGCGGCACAATTTGCATGTAGAGGCAAATATTAATCACTGACTTGTGTTCATGACGCATGGCCTCTCGCTTACATATCAGATTTGGGAGGCAGCCCCGGTGCATTGCTGTTTGTGGAACAAACGCTTGTAACGCGTTAGGGACAACATGAAGCAAAAAAGGCAAAAAGCAAAGTCACACCGTCCATAAAAGAACCCTTCAAAAAAAAGCGAGTGCACACTTGAATTTGCCGGCCTGTCTGGGGCCGAGCCAGCCGCGTCTGCCAGTATCCAAACTTCGGAAAACCTGGAGAGGAGCAACCCCACGTCGTCTCATCGACCCACCTTACATTCAATGGGGAGCCTTTGCAAGAAAGCAGCCAGCATGTACAGGAACGAGCTCGACCAAAAACAGCGACTGCTCACAATTCTGAAGCTGGAGGCACACATGCGTTGCAAGATGCCGTCAACAGCCTCTTTGCAGTCCGCTCGCGGCTTGACGTTCAGTCCGCCTGTATCCAAGCGGAGGGTTGACTCCTCTGGCGGGGGTGGTGGTGGTGCTGGTGTTGGTGGTGGCGATGGTGCTTGCGAAGGTTGTGGCGGTTGAGGTGGAGGTGGTCGAGGTGGCCCAGGCATTGGCGGAGATCCCTGTATCGGCGGAGGTGGTGGCGGCGGCAGCACTAGTTGAGACTCGCCGGTGGCCACACGTGCCATTGCGACGTGGCAGGAAACACTCGCTAGATGCTGGCTGGCCGCTTCAACTCCCAAATCCCAAAAGAATTGCCTAAAGCCATACAGTCAGCAACAACCACTTGAGCAATCCCAACATTACAAAGAAATCGAGTCTGAAGCCAGGAATGGGCTTGGCTTTAAAAAATAAACCACAAGTAGTCGACAACCCGTCAACAAAGGGTCGACGCCACAGGCAATCCCAAAACAAGTCGAGTCTGGAGCCTGAGATGTTCGAAGAAGAGCCACTCCACACCAACGCCAAGGGTTTTGCCGAGTCATTCACTGCAACGTGGCCTCGACGGTCTCTCTCGGCTTCTTGAAGAGGGTGAACAGCATCTGCACGCCCCAAGACATAATCATTGACACGAGCATCCTTCTAAGTGACGGCAGCAAGAACCTCACGTGTCTCATGATGAATCATCTGCCGGATCTCAAGGTCCTTGGCTCAAACAGCAGTAACGGCGATGAAACAAACATGAGAAGAGAGTCTAGGGCAAACGTGTCGAGATGCTAAGGAGCTGACCGTGTGGACGTGCGAACCTCCAATTCCACCCCGGAGTTTGCCGGCCTCACGCAACACATCGCAGTTGCTGCCAGAATCTGTTGGGCGCGCTCTACGCATGTGCCTCATCCACGGGCCCATAGTACGCAAACAGCTCAAGCCGGCCGGTCGACTCAGGGAGGGAACACCACGTAGTAAATGCCAAGAGCTACGCATTATGCCACCCAGCGCAGTGCGACAACATATGCCACTTAATCTATCTGCACATGTTCTCGACGACTGCGCACGGTCCTCTGGATGCTCAAGGCTGGAGGGGAAGACAAAGAGTTGCAGCTGCTCCCTTGGAACAGAGCGCACAGCAAATCGTGGAAAAAGCGTGGAACATCAACAGGCACCGTAGAGATCCCAAGTGCAACGCGGCGAAACGTCCTTTGATGGGATGATGGGCGTCTGCTTTGAGGCACGTCCTCCTTAAGAACAGGATTGGGCAAGATATCCCCCGGACCTGCAATCAAACGCATGTGTGAGTCTCGCCTGGCGTTTTGGGCGCTGCATTCATCATCAACGGAACCTGTGCATCGGCAAGGCCATCAGCGAAGCTCTCCTGCAGTGATGTCATAGCAGCGTGATCAGACACCAAGGCTCCGACACCCCTTGAACCATCAAGGGTTGTGCTTTTGGCTTTGCCAGTAGCCTCAACAGAGATTTCATGGTTGTGGGAGGGTGAAGAAGGAAACGCCGATGCGCATCACGATGCTTCACGATAAGTGGCCTTGAGGCTTCCCGTACTGGCAGCCAGCGCACTTTCCATCCCTGCCATGCCTCAGGAGACAAGTCGCGCGTTTTCCTGGTTTGCATTCCACACAAGCCCCAGATAGGGCCGAAGCCCTGCTGCACCAATGCCCCACCTTTTCACACGGGACTCGGCCACATCCTCAGGGCAACCGCTCGGCGCTGCGTCCGTGCCACCCGGAAGTCTTGAGCCAACCCAAACAGTTACGTGCAGTTCCGTGCAGCTACATGCAGTTACATGACACAGCTGACATCAGTTGACACAGAGGGGCCTGAACTGGCCAAAACAAATCTTACGTAGCTGGCAATTGCCTTTTAAAGCGGCACAAACGATCCATGAATGGAATTCGTGCTTTCAGCTATTGACATGCAGCCACTATCTGGCAATGCGCCCTTCACCTTTGGTGAATGCAGCTGAAAGCTAAATGGGGGGTTTACGAAATGAGGGGTACCTTATGGGGGTCCTTACTATAAGGCAAGGGGATCCTACTATGTGGGGGTCTATTTTGGGGGTCCCTTGTTTTCGCAACCCCCAAATCATTAACGAGTCATGACTCAGGAGTTCTTGCGAGAAACCCTACTCGATCTGCTCCCGCAGTTCGAGAAGAAAAGGATCATCAGGCTCCTGCAGCCACTGGCAAACACTGCACTATCTTCGCCCATCTGACGGAGTAAGCGCACGGGTAAAGACCCTACCCCCTTGTCCTGAACCGGTCCCTTTCATTTTGAGTTCATCCCCCCCCGCCGCAATCATGGACTCTTGACGCCTCCCTTGGCTTCATCTGGCCCACCCGTGTTGTTTTGGGGTTTGCCAGAGGGCGTCTACATCACGTGTGCTTACGATGCTCACGTGCCTCCGTGCCAGCACGACTTTTGCCTGGTCGAAGACCCTGAAACTTACTTTTCTTGCGAAAATGACCAACATGATGAGCAAATATTAGCTAGCTGGCCGGTGCTGCTACGCTTTGAGAGCATGACACGGTATGACAGCCGATGCTGAAGATGCCTAGGGCACTAAAAGACTTCACAACAACTGTGTCACAACTCCGCTCCTTATTGCTGGGACTGGCAGGGCCCCTGCGCTTCTGTCGCAGCACTCTGTGGTGTGGGAGTCGTGCACTTTGATCTGATCGTGCCATTTCCAATGCGACAACTCGCTCTTGATGCTTTTCAGGGGAATCTTCCTCACCCCATATGCAGAAGACTTCGTCTATCTCATCCTCCTCATTGGATGTCACGAGGTTGAAAAGCCTCTGAAACTGCACCATGCCAGTGGCAGCAGCAGAAAAAACAGAAGCAGTCACCGGGCCGGAGTAGGTCGCCAGGCCCTCATCAGATACTTCTGAATGTCCTTCACAACTCTTGAGCTGCTTCTGAGCCTTCTGCCCCTTCTGCCTGCGCTTGGCCAGCCGCTCGCGCCCAGTCGTCTGCACTTGAAGAACAGGAACCACCATTCCACGTGCCTGTTCGAGCTCGGCGGCCCGTTCTGCAAAGTTCGAGTCCGTGTCGTCACCACCCCAAGCATTGTGAACCTCTTCTTTATCGTCACCATGCGCAGAGCTAGCTGTCGCGTTGGCAAGACCGCTGAGCATCGACATCATGCCAAAGAGGTTGCCGGCTGTGCTCTCAGTGCTCTCTGCACTGTTAACTTCCAGATGCACTTTTTGTTTAGCCTGTGCTTTCTGCCTTCGTTTGGCTAACCTTGCCTGCGCTGCTGACTCCGTCGGGGTTCCCGGGATCTCTATACCTCTTGCTTGCTGCAGTTCGAGAGCTCGCTGCCCCATCATTTCCTCCGTATCTTGCTCCCCCCAGGCATTGTGGACCTCGTCCTCAGATTCGTCTGCGCCCGAAAACGTTGCCCAGCTAGGAAGTCCACCGAGCATGCGGGCCATGAGATCTGTTGCTGGGGCTTCTGCTGCACCATTTGGAGCGCCGCTTGCCGCAACGCTTTCCACGTCGACCTGCTTCTGAGCCTTCTGCCCCTTCTGCCTGCGCTTGGCCAGCCGCTCGCGCCCAGTCGTCTGCACTTGAAGAACAGGAACCACCATTCCACGTGCCTGTTCGAGCTCGGCGGCCCGTTCTGCAAAGTTCGAGTCCGTGTCGTCACCACCCCAAGCATTGTGAACCTCTTCTTCATCGTCACCATGCGCAGAGCTAGCTGTCGCGTTGGCAAGACCGCTGAGCATCGACATCATGCCAAAGAGGTTGCCGGCTGTGCTCTCAGTGCTCTCTGCACTGTTAACTTCCAGATGCACTTTTTGTTTAGCCTGTGCTTTCTGCCTTCGTTTGGCTAACCTTGCCTGCGCTGCTGACTCCGTCGGGGTTCCCGGGATCTCTATACCTCTTGCTTGCTGCAGTTCGAGAGCTCGCTGCCCCATCATTTCCTCCGTATCTTGCTCCCCCCAGGCATTGTGGACCTCGTCCTCAGATTCGTCTGCGCCCGAAAACGTTGCCCAGCTAGGAAGTCCACCGAGCATGCGGGCCATGAGATCTGTTGCTGGGGCTTCTGCTGCACCATTTGGAGCGCCGCTTGCTGTTGCACTGGACGCTACGCTTGCACTAGCATGGATCTCGGCCGACTCTGAGTTTCCGACTATGAAATGGCTTGGATCTACTTCTGCGTCCGGCACTTCCCCGAGCTGCTCTTGCCTGCTAGCTTCACGACGAGCCCCGGTCACAGAACCATGCGCTATGGCCATACCAGGACTCGTGACATCGTCGGAGTGGCCAAGGAACCCTTGCAGGTCGTTGGGTTCCAGAGTTTCGAGGTTTGCAGATTTGGAAACCTCGGACTCCCAATCCGAGAACTCCTCACCAAAATCATCTTGACCTGCAGCTTCCACGTTGAAAAGGCATGGAACTTGAAGTAACAGTGAACGAGCGTGAGCCTGCTTTGCCCTTCAAGTCCTGGCTCAAGTTGGCCTTAGCCAGCCGATTGCGAGGCACGAGCAAGCCATAGTGGTACCAATGTCTCCGCTGGCGATACGATAATCTTGCTCCACTCGGTGTGGGGTTGTCAAATTTAACTATTCTCCGCGCCCACTTCTGGCCCGGAGTCCCGCCCGGTGTCCAGGCCTGCCTCCCCCTGTGCCCATTCCCAGAGAGGGCCACAGAGAGTCTCGCCGAGGAGTGATCCCGAGAAAATCCCGCACCTTGCCGCCCGAGTGCCCTTGGAGTGCCAAGCCCCATACTCCCCAGAAAAGTAGGCAGAGAGTGCTGGAGTTCCCTGGAGTGCCCGCCCAAAGAATTCGCGGAGAGATGGGCTCCCACATCGGCTAGCTGTGGGGTGGGGATGACCGAAGTAAACAAAGTATTTTTGGGGGGCATCACGAGCTATGAATCGCGAGCGCAGCCTGGCATAAGCACAGAAAGCGCCCCTCACGAGCCCAACAGCAGGAACAGCTTTGCATAGAATTGCCAGCAGATGTCTTGGAGCTGAGCACATGTGCTGGGGAGCGCTGGGCACCAGGCTGGGCATTCGGCATCGCCAGCCACACCAGGCTCGGGGGCCGGTTCTGGGGCTGTAAGTACACTGAGTACGCCTGAGCTCCAGCAGCATCGCACTATTGCACGACGCCTTGCAAAGAATCCATTCAAGAGGCTTGTGGCACCAGGAGATTCAAGCACTTCGTCACTCTTGTCTTGTCGAGCTGCTGCCTCAGCCAAGTCCAGTTTGCAAGCTGGTCCTGTTTACCCCTGTGGCTTCAGAGACAAAAAGGGCTCCAGCTCGCCGGAGTGTGGAAGAAAAAAGTTGGATGCGTTGTGAAGGGCTCGACACGGGCCTTGCTGGCACGGGATGGCACCAGACCACACCAGACACATGGAGACTCAAGACACAGAGAGACTCATGCAATGCAGAGAACGCCGTGCGATCCTAGATCCCATCTGCCCTTGACAACAAGCGAGTGCCAGGCCGTCCCACACTGGAGAAAGCGTTTACACCACGTGCCTGTTCGGAGCTACTGCCAGTATATTCTTAGTTTCTGTCACAGGGACGCGGTCAACACGCATTGCCGCAGAGTGCCTGCAAAGACACGGATTGGACATTGTCACGCAGGAGGTTCCAGCGATCCTTACCCTTGACCAAACCTCCCTTGGCCGCATCTCCAAAGTCAAAGTCTTTTGCTAAGGACTTTGAGGCTGGCGAGGCTGGCGACGCTGGCGACAGCAAGTTCCAGCGATCCTTATCGCTTGCCTTCACTGCCATGCCCCGCGCATGGCGCTTAGGCCTGAAGGCCTTGAACACCTCAGTAGAACAAATCCTGCAGTAGTAGAACCCTTATCACGAAAACCTGATAACCCCTGAAAGGCGCATGGGGTTGGCTAGCTTCCTGTAAGGGTGCAATACCAGTGAGAGGACGTATGCGCAATGTGCACGTGTCACTGAACGATTTGAGGCCGGCGGTGAAGCGGGAGCAAGCCTGTGTTGTGACCAGCGAAAATGGCAAGAGAGCTAGTGCAAGCATCTCTGCGGTGCACTCGTTGACTTTTTTCTCCCCGGCAGGCAATCCAGGCATGAACGACATGAACCTCTCACAAACGCGAGAATCAGATCTCAGCTCCCGTTCGTTTGCTCGCTCTCATTGGGTTCTGCTTCAGGCTGGCAGTCAGGATACTCGTTTCCAAGAGCTGCCGGCGCCTGCACCACTGGTTGAAACAGCCACGGGCGGGGCACTTTCGCAGGGGGCATATGGCTGCATGTTCTTGTCGGGCTTATACCTCCTAGGATATTTAGACTCTCCCAGGTGCAGCTCCCTTCACAAACGTACGTAAACATTTAGTTTACAAGATGGTAGGCCTTGGCGCACTCTACGGCGCCGTACGGGGACTTGCGGTCCAATGCTTTGCTTGCAGTGACATACCTGACAATGAAGCTGGCAGTCCAGGAAATGCCACGATCAATTTCAATAATCATGCACCATCCTGTCACAGGGCACTCGAAATGGTTGCCCCGCAGGAAAACGTTCCAGTACGCGAGAATCTCCACGACGACCCCATAGACAGCCTGAGCCGCCAAGGTGTGCACTTTGCAAGAAGCATCAAGAAGCCACATTGCGGCAGGTCTGCACTTTGCATCCTGTGACTGGTGTAAGGAGCCGCGCCATGATGGGGCCAAGACAGAAAACACAGTCAAATACCAGAACCGCTGCCAACGTAAAGGACTTGGAGCCTGAACATCGAAGCATGGCGACAGGCATCGGACTGAATGGGAAACCCGCAGAGTACATCTGTTGCCTCGAAGAGGTCCGAGCCACCAGCCTTCAGTTTGAAGATGTCTAGACATGTAAACACGCGCCTGAACCAAGCGAGAGCCAGGCTATCAAAAGGGACGACGCCGCCATCTTCCTTGTGCCAGATTAGCTTCTTCTCCTGAAGTCGAGCTGCGTATGGGCACTGCCCGGCCCACCCTCAAGACCAAACATGCCGTGTCATTTGCTCACGGAAACCTTTGCCTGCTCTCCCGGCGTCAGGAAGCACTTTCGCAGCATCATGTAGTTTGAAACCTGGCGCGAGCACTGCGGAGATGTCTGCCGGTATCCTTTGGATCCCTTCGGCCAAGCCGGGCAGGTTGTGCCATCAACATGGCGAACGGAATCACAATGGGCCAGGTTAGCACCTCAGAGCGTGTCCAGATGAGACAAGCCAAGGGGAACTGTGCCTGGGGCAGGAGCCCATGCCCCAGCCAATCCACACAGCAGCGTGTCACCTTGCAGAACATCAGCACGGTCGAGGGGTGAGTTGTATGGTCTGCCGGATAGGCCTGATGACATGAGCTGCGTCACAACCAGCTCGTCGGGGCCTTGGCATCGGGATTCGGGATGGGGGACGGAAGTGGCACATCACCGGATGATCTTGAGGCCCCTGCACCAAGGAACTTGATAGCCACGTGCCACCCAATAGACGGTGAGAACCTGCAGTTCTTGTTGTCGATTGATTGCAAGGGCACAAGCCTTCTCAAGCTGCGGGAGTCCACAAGCACGTCAGGTTGGCGGCTAGTGCAATCGCTTGCGTCGTGGCCACCAGGTGCATCATGACTGGCTTGAACACCTTATTGACAAAGGTTCCAACTCGGCCGCTCACATCAACATCGCTTCAGAAGATCCTCCTAACAACTCGGGCGCGCTGCATTTGCAGGCATGTACAACGTAGCTATGCCGATCTACGTGAGGACATGCTGGCACTCTGTCACGTCTTAGCCAACGGCCACCTTGAAAAGCATCCACAGGAACTGCACTCCGAAAGAGGTCACCTCGTCTCCCCGCAGCTATGCAGCGCAGTGCAGCGAAGGCCTACACTGCTGGTCAGCGCCGGGAACTGGAACAACGTTCCAAGAATGCATAGCCTGAGGTGCGCACGGGCACGTTCTGCAGCATATCCCAAGCCGCCAGTGCAGCCTCAGAGTGGAGGTACACGGCGCAATGGATTGTGGGATGTGGGTGTCGATGCTGAGGACAGCACATAGGAAACTTCGGCTACGCCTTGTGCGTGCCGCTTGGCCTGCAACCCCAGGTCCACGGAGTCTAAGTTTGCACTTACCATCAACAGGCACTCGAAGTGCTCAAGGTGCCTGCTGCCAGCGTTCTTCCCAGGACTTCCAATATGACTCTGACGAGTTCACGGACGTCGACTTGGCCGGTAACATCACCTCAGCACGCAGGCGAGCCCTCAGGCGAGCCTAAGCACTCCAAAGTCTTGCTTAGGGCAACCTCGCGCGCACACACTGATGCAAGAATGCACTCGAAAGTTGCAAATGCACTCATCCACACGACACACACACACATGCAGAAACACACACTTTCAAATACATCAGCGACGCAAATGTTGGGTGGGTAGAGCTGTATGGAAGTGGAAACGATGAACAAACCAGGATCGCAGGTACATTGACACGGGGTTGGTGGAGGGGGTCTTTGGTAAAGGGTGCGACAACCGACCTGCATCACAGGGTACACACACACAGGACTAAACCCTGATAATTTGAGCTGCAGTGCCCAGAATGGAGAGACGAAGCAGTTGTAAAGTGAGAGATGGCACCCATCCCCCTGACGCGCACGATGGCGCCCAAGAACAAGAAGACAAGGTGGCGAAACATTGTGAAGCTGTGTCACAGACCGTGCTGGGCGGTGATCAACCCACTGTTGCACATGGCGAGCTCCCTAACGCATGCGGATGCACCTGCCCTGAGAAAGAGAGCTCGAACATGGGCTCGAAAAATGGAGACTATTTAGAGAGGTAAACCTGACATAGTGAGCACATGCACATATTCCTATTCAGGCAATCGCTTGCACATGCACTTCAGCCGCAAACGCCGTCGGCATTCGCGGCTGAAAGGAGGTCTGATCTGCAAAGCAAAGAACCTCTGAGCAACGTTCATCCCTGGTGGAGAGGTAGCCCCGACGAGGGCCGCTGTCAACACACATTTTCAAATGCATCAGCGATTTGGATGGGATAGAGTTTGTTGTTGTATGGAGATGCGGACGGTGAGTTTGATGATGATGAACATTGATAGAAGTGATGATTGGGTCCAGTCCTCCCCACCAGACTCCAACAATTAATGAGCAACTGCACGCAACAGTGCCCCAAGGCAAACCAACCTAGATCGCAGGTACGTTTGGGGGCTACATGACAAAAAGCAAATGGATTCGAGCCTCAATGGCTCAGCCGAGGCTAGCCCCTACCCAACCAACCATGCCGTAAACACAGGAACAACATGAAGAGTGTGATCCCCTGCCCCACATTGCCCACGCACGCTGCCCTCGGACTCTGTTGCCAAGGCCAGGGTCGCGACAGGCTTCACTCGAACCAACTGGGGGCAGGCATCCTCCTGCATTCGCTTCACTTGTCGCTACTTCGACGACGCTTGGCGTGCCTAGCGCCACAGCTTATACACCTTGTCAGAAAACGCACAACTACTCACATGAAATCCATCCGGAACGGCCTCCGTGCTCTGAGACATCTTGTAAGCGCTGTAGAACCAAGCTTTCAGAAAAGCATGGTGGTCCTGCCAAAAGGAACTGCACGAGCAGCGAGACAGTCGAAGGTACATCGTGTGTCCTCTGCGATGACATCTCCATCCCAACAACCGACATCTCTTGCGAGCTCAAGAGGCAAGCTGTATGCACTGAAGACCTGGCACGCCAAGTCACGTTTACGTACCATGGAGCCAAAACCAGAGGCCCGGCATCAAATCAAGTGGGGGCGCCATATGGTGCGCCCCATAAAGCACTCCGCTGACGCCCCCAAACTCCCACAGAGAGCTGATGTACCTACAACACATGATGCCAAGGAGGTCGGGCTTCTGCCTCAGTCGTGCTGGGCTCCGCACCCCCAAACACGCGAAACGACTGGACCTTCAAGTACAAGGAAGCGCTCTCCATCTCAAGGACGACACAACTCACAAAGACACAGAACCTCAACTGGGTGTTTGCAAAGGAAGAGCTTAGAACCCGACTTTCGTAGAAGTTTCGCCACGGCAACTGAGGGGCCTCGCTGAAGCATGACTTGAAAGCATGACTTGATATGACTTCTGGAACTCCACTTGTGCCAAGCTGTCTCTAGCTGCAGCTGTGCCTGCCACATGGTGTGCAAGTGGCTTTTGTCCTGCAGACCCGATAGTTCCGGTAAAGGCCGACAACAGCCTGCAAAGTGTGCCAACAAAACTACATCATGCATCATCATGCACATCCTCCTTCAACTTCACGAACTCCGAGCTAATGTGCTCGAAGTAGTTTGGATGCATTATGACATCGGCGTCGCACACAGTGAGGACCTGGGATCAACGTGTCTGCAAAGGCACCCGTAAGCGGGTGGCTGGGCTGGTTGCATCATGCTTGTACCTTGTTGGACACTTCTTTAATCAGAAGAACTGCCCCCAAGATCCTCCTACCATATCAGTGCTCGATGGCAAACAAGCCAATGGTAAAGAGCAATCCCGCTCACTGGTTGGAGCGTAAGCCGGCAAGGAAACCAAGCCATACCCATGGCTTCTTGCAGACCATGCTGGCAAGAAACTCCGAGGCTTCGAAAGACACCCACACCCACGAAGCATATGCCCATCCCCCGAAGGCTGAACCAGGGCTGCATTGAAAAGCAACGAGCTAAACACCAACGCTAACCAAAGCAAGTTTAGAAGTGGAAACAGGGGAAGTCGTTCGACTGCAGCTGCAAATTGGCTTTGTAGCCGTGCTCGCTACAGTCATCATGCATTGACTTGCATGTTGCTTAACGCTCTCAACGTACGGCAGCTCTCCAAACGCCCTTCATGTGTGAATCTGGGTAAGTCAAACCTGAGATCAGCGCATCTCTGTCAGAAATGGTCAGCTCCTTGCACACCTGACCGCAGTCTTGCGCAGAGAGACATGCAGAGACCCATTGCGAGTTCCAGGATCCGCGAGGCTCCCTGTTCTGCCTGCTGCACCGCCCATTTGACGTTGGACGCCTTGCCCTTCAACTCTGGATCCTCGCTTCCGTCCAGATGTTCTTCCTGCGATCATCTCAGTTGCTTGGATGACTAGAAGATACTACAAGTAGAAGCCTCCCTGGCCAAGCAGCAGGCTGTCCTTCAGGCCCGCCGGATGATGAGTCGAGAACATCTTGAAGAACTTGTCCTTGAACTTGACCTGCGCGCGCTGCACCATACACAAACACGTCAAATAGGCATGGGAAAGGTACACGCGCACTGCAGGCCTCCATTTTGGCAGCCTTTTCTCGGGCTTCAGCTTCTCTTGCCTTCCAGGCCAGAAGCATGTCCAAGGCGCCGTGGGCAAAACATTGGCAAATAATTCCCCTTCTCTGCAAACTTCTGTACGGCCATGCTCAAGCCCAACTCATGAGGACCTCCATGGCCAGCACTACGATAAAACCACGAGAGCCACGGGCCTGGCAAAAGGGCACAAAACGCAGGATTTGCAGGACTTGCAGGACTTGGCCTCCAATCACGACAAGATCGCTCGTTAAAAGCCTGCCTCACCCAGGCTTTCCAGCGTGGTCTCCAAGATGCTCTCGTCCTCCTGGAAGGTCTGGTGATTGGACTTTGCTTCGGCCAAAGCCCTTTCCAAGGCTTTGCCATCACATCACGCGCTATGCTGATCCTGGCACGGCACACTGTGAGAGCGCATGCCACAGTCCTTGTAGTTCGGAAGCACGATGGTGTGCCGCACATTATCCTGTCCACAGCACCACATGCGAGTCAATCGTGTTTGTGGGGTCCTCTTGTCGGCACGGCGCCTGGCTTTCCGAATCAACAGGGCTGGAGCTATCGCCGGCCTCCTTCTTCCGGAGCTCTTCCTGACGAACAAATTCTGGGCTGAGCAGCCGGTGGTCTAGTCAGCCGTACCCTGCAGCATTACATGCTTCCGCGCGGTCCTCAGTTGCATCAACGCCGAGCATGCAATAGACAGCAGTGGAGACAACCCACAGCCACATCGCCACATTGAGGGTGGCCGTGACCGTGAGAAGTATGAAGGGATTCCTGTCCGGGCCGAGACAAACAGCAATGCATAACTGTACACCGGGGTGCAGACTTTTTGAGAACACAAGCCATGGGTGCCAAAAGACGCCGAAGATCAACAAACCGACCTGAGCATCTCTGCAGTCAGACGGTCAACGAGGCTCTACACTGCCAAAAGCCACCAAAAGGCAACAGTCATGAAGACGAGGAGAGGAAACGTCCGGGCCACAAGGGCAGCTGCCCGGGCCTTCGCCACTCCCACTTGCGTACTTCGGCAAAGCATGTGAAAACAGCTGAACTTCTCAGAAACTTGCACATGGCAGCACCGGCCTCATGGATGTTGACCTTGTAGAAGGGATAGAGCGGTTTCTCATCTTTACCATCCATCAAAGACGCCCGCCTGGGAGCGGGAACAAGCCATTCGAGGTTTTGGAAACCCTGCGCATTGCAGACACCCAAAGCCCAGGCTGCGCACTTTGAGGGTTCAATATCGGACAAAGAAATGGTTCAGTATCCAACATGTTGAGCCAACAAGGCTCTGGCCAGTCGACGAGAGCTCGGGAGGCAGTCACTCACTTGGCAAATACCGAGACATGAAACAGGACCACAATTTCCCTGCAAAGAACCGGGAGTGGTGAAATTTACGCTACTCCTTGGCGGCTGGTCGATGACCCCGAGCCTGCTTTTTGGCGCCTGGCTTGGGTGAAACGTGCTCAAAGCTGCTTCAGTCAGTAGGGACCTGCCAGCTGTCATTTTCAGCAATGCTCCTGTGGAAACTTGGGCGATGGGAAAGGCACAGGCCTGGGTGCACGCCCTTCCCGCCCTTCTTCACGAAGCCCTTTCCACCATCACAGCCAGCACCTCCATCAAATCCTTTCTGCGCGCCATAGCCCTTGCCGAAGTCATTTCCATAGCCGCCTTTTGTATCACCGCCGTAGCACCCAAAGCCTTTGCCATCACAACCACCAAAGCCCTTGCCACCATCACCACCAAATCCCTTTGGTCCATCACCTCGAAGGCCGGGCGTGCTTGGCTCTTTGCTTCTGGGCGTTTTTTTAAACCCTTTAGAGCTGCTCATTGCTTCTCTCATATGTCTCTCACTCTCGAAGCCATTAAAGGCCAGCAAAAACGGTGTTCCTCGAAGCCCAGTGGCCCTTGCCGCCAAAGCATCCCTTCTTACCAAAGCCTTTGCCATCACCTTTGCCATCACCTCAGCTCCGAGAGATTCTGAGCCAAGGCCGAGGTTGCCCAGGGCTGGCCGAGGCCACGGCCCATCGGAGGGTGCATGGGGTTCATCGCCTTGCCGAGCAGAGCCTCGAAAACACACGGTGCCTTTTCATTTTCTGTCTTTTTTTGATCGGGCAGAGGGCTTTGCGGAACCCCGCAGAACTGTCCTCGCGAAGCCGGTCCCCTTGATTTGGTGGTGCCGGCGGCGCAGCTGGTGGCGCAGGCGGTGCCGGAGGCGCTGGGGGCGCCGGCCTGATTTTACACAATTTTGCGTGTTTCATCCCATCACCCTTAGAGCGTACGGATGTGTACAGATGAAGAATACCCTGCCACCCCCCATTTTTCTGGGTCACACGCGGAGCTGGCGGCGCAAGCGGAGCAGGTGGGGCGGCTGGAGGTGGGTTGAGTCCCTGATGCCAGGGTGGATTTACGCTCCGGGTTCCAGCATCATGCACCCACGATGGCGCAGGGACCTGCCCTGCTGGCAGAGTGGTAACACCAGGCCTGCAGAAGCAAAATGTGTGGCCACTGTACTTTGAGTCTTTGAGTGATGCTCGGCTGCAGAGTGGGGCCCACACATGCCAACTTGCTCCTTCGCCTGCAAGAGCACAAGCTTCTTTTGTCAGCAAGTCCAGACACAGAGTCTTACCTACTTTACGAACTTCACAAACGGAAGATGCCACCAAACTGATGCATGGCTTTGCCTGCTCAATTTGCTGTTCGTCACCCTTCTTCAGCTGCACCTGCAACCGGAGAAAATGTCGAGTTGACAACTCAGCACAGTCGCACACTGCAAGGCTTCACAAGTGCGACGACAAACTGTTGCACTCTCTCTATCAACTGTCCGTACAGTAGGCTTGCACATACATGCTGCTTGTGGTCAGCACCAGACTCGGAAACTGAACTACAGATTCTGACATTGCGAAAACATGAACCGGGCGACTTTAAAACGTGGCTTCAGGAAACCAAAACCTGGATTCGTGCTACTGGAAACCCCCCCATTTTTCCTCATCGCCAACAAAAGAAGTATGGAGGCCACCCACTGGGAAACCGCCGATTCAGGAAGCTGGAAAAAATGGTTTCGGAACACGTGGATTCGGGAAACTGGCAAACACAGACTCGGCTTTCGCGCTCCCAGCTTCAGTCGATGCTTCCAATCTAAGATGATCATCCCACGTTTTTCGGCATGCAGGCATGCATGCTGTCGAAAGTGTGGGGTGTGGGGCGGGGGAAGTGGGGTGTACTGGCAGGTAGGGTTGGGACTTCCTGAATGGGGCACTTCCTGTTTCGTGAAGCGGGCAGTCGGTTAGGTTAGCTCCGGAACTAAGCAGTTTCCAGCAACGGGCAGGCTTGAATGGCGAGATGTCAGCTTCCACAGTCGCGTGAGGACAGTTTTTCCTGAATCGGCGCCAGCTAGCGGGACCCGACTAGAATCCATGGTTTCCTGGATCGCGGCTAGTTTCTAGCGGCACACTCGATGCTCGTACGATCAGCAGAGCCCTGCTTCTGTGCCTTCAGCCACTTGCCTTCGACTGGAAAGCCATGCCTCACAGCCACAGCGATGAGAAAAAAGAGAGAGGAGTGGTGGACACGACCTGAACCGGCTTTGGCTTTGGTCCACGTTGGACGTTGTTATGCAAAGAGACAGGGCCGCGGCATCCCTGCAATGGCGGCCTGAACAGAAGCCAGCACCCCAATTGCCCTCCACCCAAGAAGGGATCATGTGCAGGGCCACCCTTCCCAGAGGTAGCGACATGCTTTGGGGGGGGGTGGGGGGCACTATTGAGCAGTTGTGCAACAGGACAATGGCAAGCCTGAGCGGATGCTGGTGCATCGAAGGACACAAATCCAAAGCCACGAGGCCGACCGCTGTCGTCCTTCTGCACCCTGCGCATTGCACGGCTCACAAGGATGCAAAGGATGCACAGCTGATGCTCACATCTGCTCTCTTACAGACCCGACCCGCGGATGTCGCACCTGCAGCTCAGGATCTTGCCGAAATGCTCGAAGTGCTGACGAAGAATATCTTGGCAGACAGATTCAAGCACATGGAACATTGACATTGTAGCGTTCACGGCTGCAGCGGCTGCAGTCACAGCATTAGCTTGGGACTACAGGACTCTGTGCACACCAACAAGGCCATGGAAAGTGAGCTGCGCAACTGTCTGTCAGCAAAGGCTGCAGTCACGATCAAAGAAGTGCAAACTGAGATTGAGTAGCGATAGACAATCCCTGGTGGAACACAAGTGGTTTCAGAATGAACAGCCAGTCCAGTCATAACAGTTGGGATGCACTCGGCGAGCCAAGGGCCAGACGGTCATCCCAGCTGTTGGGAATGTGGTAGACCTTACACGGCAAACACTGGATGGAAGCTGAATTGGCGGAGGAGGGAGGGGCTATCTAGGGGATCGTTCGAGACATTCCGAGCGCTGCGCAAAGAGATTTGCACCAACAGGACCCGACGTCGTTGAGCCCGCGGGCTCGTTGCTTCCCTGGGTCTCGCACATGCCCCACATGATCCGCACTCTCACTCCAAGGGTCGCTCCATACACGCTCCACCCCTCTTCGATTCTCGCACTTTCACACGAGTCATGGACATGCGCTGCGGCAACAGAATCTTGGGCAGCTCGGATGGCAGCTTGTGCCTCGAACTCTCGCATCCGAGCCAGCCCCAGCAGAACCGGAAAGCAGCAACCTTACCTGAGCTCCAGGATTTGCCGCTGATCGCGATTGCGTACTTCTGCCTGGGACAGTGAGGCTTGAGAGCAGCTGCTCCAAGGTCTACATTCAACCAACAACAATCAAATATTTTGACTGCTGCAACGTATGTTCAAGAAGGGAGCCTGCCATCAGCTGCGCAGCCTTCCAACATGAAAGATGTCTCTGAAACCACAAGGCTTGCGGCAGCTTTGGGCTGAGGCCAAGACTGAAAGGAACTCTGGTGGCGGCTTTACCCAAAGAGTTTGTCGGGTTACCGCGTGGTAGTAGTAGACCTGCATACATGGCACATGCTCCTGACCCTGGCCAGGTTTTTGGGAAAGGGAGGCCATTCCTGCCCCTCTTTCGTTCTGGCTTCCTTCCACGGGCTGTCCTGCAGCTTCGGTGGTGGTGCAACTACGAGCGAGATGCGTCGAACGATGCACCGAGGTCTTGATCATTGGTGCTTCGGACTTTGCCAAGCAAGCCCTCGCCAAGGGCCTCAGCTCAGGCCAAAAGATGCAAACAGCACTGGCACTAAATTGCAAACAGAAAACATGGGATCTGTTGCTTCATCCTGCTTTCCGAAGGGCTGCATCGACGATGGTTGAAGTGCCTACCAGGGGCTTGCCATCCAGTCGATCACGCGCTGCCTCTCACATGGAGCATTGTCGGGCGTGTGCGTGATTGGATGACCACTTGCAAAACGTCAAAGTGCTGGATGCGGTGCATTTCCGACAGAACAGGCGGATGCATGGCTATCTGCTGGCTCGGCACCCCCAGCTGACCTTTTAACTTAACAGAGAAAAGCAAAATGAATCGAGCCGTCCGCCGGTTGCTTTGAACCAGGTTTGATCCAGGTGCAGAGTCTTGCGTTGGATCCTGCATGATCCCGCCACGCTCGAGGCGCGATGTTCACGACCCTAAGCCGAAGAAGGGATCTCACTCGGCAAACTGGCATCCAGAACACCTGCGCTTGGGGAGAGGTAGCATGGGCCATGATGCAAACCACATATCATTGTGCATACCAAGAGCACCTAAGCCTACCGCGCCTGATGCAGGCGCCGGCTGCCGTGATGCCCGCAAACAAGGCATCCTAATTTCTGAAGTGTTGGCTCTTGCCCTAACACCAAACACACGTCCAAGCCTTCATGTTGTCCTCTGTCAGCTTGGAAGACACAGGCACATCCTGAACGTAGCTGTGCTTCAAGCTGTATCTAGCTCTCGCTTGGTATCATCTCTGTCCTCCAGCTTTCGCTTGCCTGCAGCTTCAGAGGAATCAACAGCTTCCTCTTGAGCAATGACCTGACGTGCAATGTGCATTGCAACTGTACCGGGCGCTCACTTCGACTCAACTTCAGAAGAGCTGCGGCCAGACTCTGCCAGATTGCTTCAAGAAAGCCACCCATGAAGGCATCTCCGGCACCTCACAAGTCAGCGCTGCAAACGCTGTGAAGATGACCGTGCCGTCCATTGCAAGCGGTCAAGGCGAACACCCACATCATCCACGAACTCCTTTCAAGCGGCAGCCGAGCAGAAGACAAGCATACAAAAAGTGCGCAGCGGCACTATCTGCCTCAGGTGACACGGCCGGAACTGGCACTTGGACGAGTGCCGCGTCCTTGCGTTAGCTGTGGCTACGAAATTACAAATTCCGGCCATGGCATGTCGCAGCTACTGTAGCTACTGCCAGAAACAGCCATGGCTCAGCGCATGGCTGACTTTGACTTGATGCAGCCCACACCTTTCGAGCCGCGAGTACCTATCATCCAACCCCTCTGCTTCCATCGCGCAATCACCTTGGGCAGTGTCGAAGGTGCAGAGAACGCCCGATGCAAATGTCATGATTGAGTCATGGTGCATGGAGCAGCTGCAGCGCAGCTCGACACTGCTCACAGCATGGTATTGGTATTGATGTGTCGGACATGCTTTGTGACCTTTGGCCTGCTTTTTGTCGCAGAATGTTGCGGAAACGCATAGAGCTTTGTTGTGGCACTGGCGAATGGTGCGAATCTCCAGACGTGCGTCATGTTTTCTGAAGAGCGCAGGCTTGCGCAGAAGTCAAAGCCTGCCGCAAGATGAGGCTGAAGCAAGGCCGAAACCATTTATGGCAGGAGGTCTAACTTCCAGGTTTTGATGGCAACTGTCGGGTCTGGTTTGTCCGTGTTGGGCTGCATGTTGTCTGGCAGCCCTGGCATGCTTGAAAAAACAAAAGGAGCTGTGGAGGTTGCGAGGAAATGCCTGTAAACTCATGACTGCTTGGACGCGATGAACTTTGATTGATGGCATAGATGTTTCCTGGGTTGCTGGCATGATTGAACCAGTTCCGAAATCTCTGACCGCCACAGCTCTCAACTTTGCAGTGCTTGCACAAAAAAAGGATGCTGAGGCTGCCGCTTCCATTGCGGCCTCGTAGCTTTCTGGGATGGGCTTGGACGCCGTCTGAGCACAGTCACTCAAGATGAGAGCGCAACTCTTGTCACTCGTTTCTGACGTATCTACACTTCATATCGGAAATGAGCCTTGCAAATGGACGATGCCAGCTGTAGAACCTCGACTTCGTTAGCAAAGGTGAAGTCGGCAGCACGAGCAGCCTCCTGTCACAGTGTCACATGCATGAGGACAGGCCACATGAACTGCCAGAACGGATGTCTGATGAGACTCTCATGAGCTGTGAAAAACAAAATGCTGCTAGATGCTGCTGTACACTCTCCGTCCTGCACACAAGGAAGCTCCGTGCACCACTCAGCACCCACAGTGATCGCTAAAAGGGGCATGATTCGACCTTGCGCGGCAACACCCACACAAACGGCAGGGACGGTACCACATAAATTCGGCAATGATGCCTAGAACTCCTTACTCCTTATGCTAAGGGCTGGTTGATTCTGAGCTGGACGCTCCCTGTCGCTGTAACATGCGGCTGGGTGCACCAAGACAGCATGGCGGCTACTCCTGCACCAAAGTGTGCGCGCATGACATGATCACAATGAGCTGGCCCGCTCTTGGATTGTTGGCTCCTTCTGGATCTGCTTGCGCATAAAACCTTAGATGATACCGAACTGATAGTGCCTCAACTAGCCGTGAGCAATCTCAAAGTGTGACGCCATATGGACCATGCGACACATGCGGCACCAAGGTCGCAAACAACTATCACGCACCAAAAACAAGAAGCAGGCACTAAAACCGAAATCATTGCACCAAAAGGCACGAATCCGCACCAACTGTGAAAACACAGTACATGCGCAGCACAACATACAAGTACGTGAGGCCCACGAGTTCACGCACTAACGTCACATCAGAGCAGTTCGAATTAGGCCAGCTTAGATCGATTCAGATTGTACGACGGCAGTGCTACACCACTCAGACTAGCTTCAGCTGCGATCAGATCAGGTTAGGCCTCTTTGTCTGATCGGAAATAGTTCACGCTGGGGATCTGGAGCTGTCAGTCAACTCGATCTCATCTGATCTGATCTGATCCCAGCTGAGCTATAAGCAGTGTTGCAATGCTGTCGTACAATCTGATCTGACCTCGGCTGACCTGACCTGAACTGCTCTGATGCGACGCGCTGCACTAAGGGACTCAACCTTTGGCTTCACCGGGACTTGCCCTTGCCGATGCTCACGTGCCCAAAGCCCCTACAACTCTCAACGCCTGACAAACCTTGAAACACCCAAAACCCCTCAAAACTTTCCGCGCGGGACCTTAAACCCTAAACTCCTAAACCTGGACACCTTAAACGTTTTAACGACAAAGAACACGAAAGAACTAACCCCGTGTTACATTCAATCCCCCTCCCCAGCCTACAGCAACAACATGTGGGAGCCATGCTGCCGTTTTCAGACAGGTCATTACGGATACCTCGCTCAGGGCTCAGAACACCCGTAGCCAGGGATCGCTGTAGCCCCAGGTGTCTTTTTGACACGCTTTGCTGTGTTCGCCATCGGCCTGCACCCGACCTCGCCTAACTGGCACCGACGTGCCCGAGCCAACAGGGCAAAAGCCAGGCGCAGAGTACTTGTCTTTTCGCAGAAGGGTCCTTCGAGCCGTGACGTGCAGCTGTTACGACGACACCACACAGGGCCTTGTTGGGCCACCCACGCAATCATGAGCAAGCAGTGGCAAGAACAAGCCTACCACTGGCGCTACTGGCCTGGCACGTGGTCTCCTCGACAGCGTGGACGTGGCCCGAAGGAACGCGAGGAGGAGGCACCTTGGCGACGACGACGTCCTTCGGAAGCACAGCCACCGAGTTTCCCCGGTTACGCTGCTATGCAAGTGCCCAAGATACAAGAGCTTTCAGCTGTCAAGACAAGCGAGCCTGCTGGCTCGGACCTAATACAGCAGCTGCAACGTGCGGTGAACTTCGCACGGAAGTCGGAGCAAAAGGTGAAGACTCTCACTCAGGAAAGGCAGCAGCGCGCAGAGCAGTGGGAATGCTACCAACGAGATTTGAAGTCCAAGTATGAAGGAGCACTACAAGTTCTTGCAGGACATGCAGAAGTTGGACTCTTCTTTGGTGGAGGCTTCGGCTGCTTGTGCGCAGGCCAAGGAGGTGCTGAGGACGACGGCGTGCGGCCACGCTTTGACAGACAGTGCTTCCACACCTACCAGCACAGCCAGTCAAGCCTGGGAAGAGATGATTGCGACTGTACCTTCGGAGCTTGGCCCGGCTGCCGACAGCCAGGTGTCAATGGATGCCCTTCTGAAAGATGCAGCGCAAATGCTGCAGCCTGGTGGAATCGGGGCCGGAGCGTTTGGACACGCAATGCCCTCTACCCCACGGACTCATTCAACCGCAGCACCTGCCAGGACGCCAGCCCCAGTTCCGCATGTGCAAGAGCCGCCTTCGGCAGCGCTGGCTGCCCTGGCCAAGTGTTCCTCAGCTGCCCCTGCGCAGACTGGGCCCCCGCCCAGCTACAGCCAGTTGTCACCAAGCCTGGTCAGTCACGACCCGTACTTGTCCTCTCCAATGACTACTGCAGCCCCAGCCCCTTCGCCGACCTTCACTTCGCACGTCAGGCCAAGCGCGACCAGAAGGTCCTCGCCGCACGCTGGTTACGGGCCGCACCGCCGGGCGCCCGTCAAGGAGAGCTCCAAAGCTGCTACATCGCCTTCTCTGGAACGTGCTGGCGTCTCCAGGGAGGGTGCCAACAGGCTCGCCGACAAACTTGCCGCCAAACGCGCGGCAGTTGGAGCAGAGCTCCGCATTCCCCACGATGCGCCGGCGGTCTTCCTCGACGACGATGGCGACGATCCGGACCTCAACGAGCCCGGCCAGGCTTCAGGTGTTGGAAGTATGAGCGGAACGTCTTCCTTGAGTCTTGGAACACTGGAGCGACGCATCTGAATCGCTCCTCCGTCTTTTGTTGTCTCGGTGAGTGCGTTGAAGGGCGTGATGGGCCGCCTGGATTTGCTCATTTACCGAGCCGACGGGCGCTGGGGCTGACGTGGGAGTTGCATGCGACAATGCTGTGTACATAGGAGGTATTTTCCAGGGCTTTTCGCAATGCCTTTGTGCATTTCACTTTGCCTACCTGCCTGTTTGCGCAGATCCAGCCTGTGACATGCGTGGCGCGAGGTTCCAGTCCTCCTTGTCGCAGCCCGTCCATGCGAGACGTGGCACAGTCCTCTCTGTCCTTTGGCCGGGTTTCT